GAATTGACAGAAGCGCACTGCGTTGTAAGCTCCTGTTTTGTTCACAGTTAAAAGTTCTTCTCAAGGCACCAGGGGGGCACCAGCGTCGACGTTTCAAGCATCAGAGGTGCTAGCGTCTTCCTCAGAGAGCGTGAACCGCGCAGCTGCCAGGAGAGACTCGATGGCGTCTCGTTTCGCACGCGCACGCCTCATCCGCAGTCCGCTACCGGGCGCCATCCTGACGGCCATTGGAACTTGCTTGGTGGGCTTGCAAATCAAACGGACGTCTGGAATGGATCTCAGGGAACGGAATCTTTGGAAGCAAGAGGCGGAAGCCGTGGACAAAAACGCTGACGCTCTGTCTGGGATCGCGGCCTCACCTTTCCTGAACCATCCACTGTGAGAAAGTTAAAACCCGGAAAATAGCCGGGATGTCACCGGAACCGCGTACGGATACCGGAATTGAGCCGAAAAAGAAAATTCCGAACCCGGAAAATTTCAACATCGTCGTCAAAAGTTCCGACCGAAATCTGGACCGTAAAAGTGCCCGGAAAACACCCGGAAAACCTCCGGTGAAGGGCGGTCCCTGGCAGAGGCCGGAAAGTGGCCGGAAAATCGGCGAGAAACCCTCGAGAAACGGGGGCTAGGCTTCAGCGCGACGACCCTAGGGCATTTTAACTTCACTTTTGGGCCAGATCTTCAATAAGTCGTCATACTACTAGGCTGGCGCAGGGGCTTATTGACTCAGTGCCGGGCAACAGAGATAAGAAAATTGGTTTCTAAAAGCCTACGGAAAATACAAGATAAACACATAAGCAGTGAAAGAGTTAATATCTGCTTTGGAGCAAGAGCTATAGCCAGGGAGGCTTCCTCTAAAACTTCAACCTCAGAGCCTAGCCTGTGATAGCCTGAGGCTACCTACTGCCTAGGTACCGTCTGGATGGCGCTGATTTTGATAAGTCCTCAGCTAACCCGGTAGAATCTGTGTCCAGTCTGTGATGTATCATTGTATGTATGTGATGACGGGTTAAAGAAAGTCAGAAAGGGACCGGTTGACAAGGAGTTGCTACATAGTAATTTTAGAAACGTACGGCAGTAAGGAATCAAGCCTGGTCTAGTGGTTATGGTGTGTGCTTCTAATTTGTGATGTATTGCTGACGTGTAACGCGAGTTATCGCGTGTTCGATCACGCGGACAAACGTCAAAGGTTACTGACCGAGATCGATTATTTTTCATTTTCCGCGCACCCGGAATGACCCCGGATTTCCCATTTTCGGCATGTTTCCGGTACTGCTAAATTCGATACCGGAAAACCCCCGGAAAGTCGGGGGAATTTCCCCCGACTTTCCGGGGGTTTTCCGGGTTTTAACTTCGTCACAGTGATCCATGTCTGTATGGGGAGTCTCAGCCCGAGGACAGATCAGCTTCAGAAAGTTCGTAACAGTGTTGTTCAAAACGCCAGTTTTTGTTCACGGGCCTGCTATATTCGAGGGCGGCACACTTTTGAGAATCCTTCTATGTGCGACTTCGGGCTGATTTGCAACTAGACAACTAGAGAGCAATATGGAACCAATTTTTTACGCACGCTATTACTGTTAGTACAGAACTTGCTTAGTTGTACATGTGAACCCTTACCACTCTTTTCGCGTAAGCATCACTAGCTTAGTTTACAAACCTGTAATCGAAAAGATTCAAATTGGAAAAGAGCAAGGAGTTTCTCTTTCTTAAGCTGTGTTGGTTCGTTTGGACCAAATCTCGCAACTCATCCGAGATTCGGATTGATGTTACCTTTGCCCATGACACCAAGCCGTGACTGGAGAAGCGTGCCTTCTGCCTACATGCCACAAGGAAGATTGAGGAACGATACCGCTTAGCCTTGAGCTGCCGTTTTTACCTATACTCCTATACGGCAGCTTTTTGAATAGTAGCACGTGCCAACCCAGTCCAAGGCGTGAAACGCTGAGTCTCGGCCAAGGCTTGATCCTTTCGACGCGCCGTTGCCGCGTTCATTGCGTCATCTTCAGCAAAGTTTTTGCTGCATCGAAATCCAATCTCTAAAGTGGTGGCCTGTGCGCGCGCGCGGTCGCTTTGCAGCAGCCTGGTCGACTGACATGTCTAGGCCGCTCAGACTGTCACAGTCTACCATGTGGATGACCTGAAGAAACTTTCGTCAAACGCGGGCTCCCTATCAATGTATGCTCCAGTGCAACGGTGATTTGAGTGGAGGCCACTAACAGCCGAATCCTGTTTGATACAAGAGAGCCCCTCTGTTGGCCGGCGGGGCCGTGCCCCCCGTTTATATTTGTGTTTCGTACCAAGCGCCTCAGACTTCAGTGACTAGCAGAAAGCTTGCATCAGGCTGCAATATCGCAATGTTCGAGGCTCTCCCGTCAGTAAGTTTGAGCTTCCGGATGTGCCCTGGGTTGACAGGACGCGGCATCCTATTGGGCACATAGTACCCCCCTCTGAAACGTTCTGTGCACCAGAGGAGAGCGAATCGATTCTCGCATTCGAAGCTAGTTCATTGATCCGCGGAAAGAACAGCTTGCTCATGATGCGGAATTCAACGGACCTCAAACCAGTCAAAGACTGCTGGTAAAGTTCCTCACGTGCAGTGGATGATGCGAGCGGGCACTTGCGCGCCCTTGCCAAACGCCGCGTAGCCGGTTGTGTTATCTTCAACCGGCCCGCTTCGCATTCCGCCCACAAGCTGAAACCGGCGTCAGTACTTCCGCTTGCCCAATGCGTTGCCAAGGAGTTCGCTTACGGTCCTTCGACGCTTAGACTCATCTCAGACTTTGAAGGGAGCTGTCAACGGTATGGAAGTACGTATTGGCCGGACGGCCGCCGCAAGCGGGTTGGGCGCGTCAGAAATGTCATTGAAGTGGTGCCAGCTCGATTCCGTCCAAGAATCGAGATTGCGCAAAGCGCGCTAATTTGCGAGATTCTGAGGTCGTGCCCTCTAGCCCTCTCGCGTCCAGGTCCATGTCCTTCGCTTCGGAAAATTGCGCAGTGTGGCTGTTGCACATTCAACGTTGAGGATACTTTCCTGCCAGATTAGCTAGTTGCCGTGCAAACGTATCAAGTGTTGGGCTATCATCTAACCGCTGGCAATCGTCGAAGAGCGCAAACGAGACTACTAACCCGGATAGTAGGCTTGCTCTCGTTTCTCTCTGACGTTCTTCACTCTCGACTCATCGGACCTGCTAGTACATCCCCTGAGACAATACATCTATCTGAACAGAGGTCTCGATGCTTGGAAAAAATCTTTCCTGCCATGACATAGCGTTGAGGAATCCTACTTAGGCTGTCACGGAATCAATCGGAGCCCTGAAAAGCCGAACCAGTTTCGCTCGCTGTCCACAATCGTTGATGCGCTTCGCACCATAAGCGCCACCCGCCTTTCCGATTCGATATTGCTCAGAAGGGAAGCAACGGTACCGCTAATCGCCCTTTGGATCCTGAGCGCCGTCCCTGTAACTTTGTAACTTGATGTTCCAAGCCGTCGAAGCGCGCCACTTGTTGGCCTTCAGACAGCGTTATGGGGGCGTTAACAACTTAATTAGTAGAGACGCAAGAGATTGATCGCTTCTGACCATCTTAAACAGGAGTTAGTGGCGCTTAGGACGGCTTCGACCAGAAGCCTGATTGCTGAGTGCACAAAGATTCTGGTAACTCCCATTTCACTTAAGAGCCATTTCACTTAGGCTAGACGCCCGGGAGACGGGTAGGGTTGGTATGGTGGTTAGGTGGGTTCGGGTGCGGAGCGGCCCGGGGTGATTCTTTCGGTTAGGGTTTTTAGTTTTTTTGCCCGGGTACCTCGGATCTTAAGTCACAAATGGCTCCTAAGTGAAAGGGGACATACCGGTATTGCACAAAGCCCGTCTACCAAGAGCTCCGAGTCGTGTACGAATCATGATAACATGCGAGCAAATTGACCAACAGCTTTCCTTCCTCGACGCCTTCAACTCCTTCCATTCTTGACAGCTCCAGGGCCAGACTCGACAGAGCCAGAGCTTGACCAAGACTGCGACTGAGAGGAACCTCAGAGCAGCATGTGGCAGGCGATGAAGGACGGGATCAAGAACGTTTTTGCAGATGCGTTCTTCTCGCCATCAACGAAGACTTTGCGCATGCGCACAAGTCCATGTTGTGATAGCTGTGATGATGAGAAACTCAGAGCTAGTTTGCCTCTCGTTTGTCTGCTAATTTGGAAAGTCAGAGAGTCTCGGTGTGAATGAACAACGTCGTTGAGATACTTAGCTGAAACGTGAAAGCGTCCGCAACATCGCTAAGCGGCGGGATTTCTATAGGATACAGGCGCCGAGCCTGCCAACCCTGCATGGGCCCCAGTGTGATATATTGGGTTTGGGTGATAAGGAATGGCGCAGTACCGCTAAGAGCAGACCGAGCAAGCTAGTGGACTGGCGAGGGACTGGCGGACACGGCTACAAGTCAAGGCGTGTGCATGACAGCTAGGTAGCCCGGGGGTGAAGCTTCAACCGGTCCCTATGGCTTCTTATACAAGCCCGCAAAGCGACCGGTTCAAACCTCATAAGTCAACGGCCGTACAATGATGTGAAGGCTCCCTACCATAATAGCACACGTGTCACATTCGCTTCTTTATGACGCTGGCACCCGGGTTTTCCACGGAGTTTCGTCCCCCGGGGGTCTGACGTCAGACGTAAGGACCGTATCCTATAGGCCAAAATTTTCGGGCCTCGATTGACACTCTCCCAACTCCCGAGAGGGCCTCATGAGCCTCAAGCAGGCTCAGAGTCAAGGCACGCGGTACTCCACGACAGAGCTACCGGTAGTACTACCTAGTAAGTATATTATTATTACGGTAGCACTGCAGCCTGCAGGGCAGTCGGATAGGTAGTAGGTAGCAGGACCTCCATTGCATTGCCATTGGCCGGCAGCTTCTTCAACTTGATCTGCATTTCGTCAATGTGGCAATGTCTTCTGTCGTCATTAGACGTGGTGGGTTCGTCACGAGGACATCCCGGAAGGTCACCCAATAGACGACCCTTTGCTGCAGCCCTTTGTTGAAGTTTGCACCATGATCCGATCTGGAAGGTCGCTCACACATGTGATCGTTTGGCCACTGCATTCAGTGGTGGTTGCAACAGCATTCTCCAGAAGGCGCCAATGCTCCAGCAGACGCTAAGAGAGCTCAATTTCCGTTGTAAAAGCTGCCCTCTACCTTTGCCACAACCGTGACTGCCATGGCAACCCAGACGCTGACAGAAGATGTGCGTGCCTGGCTTGAAAGATTCAGCGCGGCGCTCGAAGAAAGTGACCTTGAGAAGGTGCTCGCGCTGTTTGGCGACCAATGCTTCTGGCGTGACATGGTGTCTTTCACCTGGAACGTCAAGACCGCTGAAGGCAAAGACGAGATCCGCGCAATGCTGGAAGCGACTCTCCCGAGCGCAGCGCCCGCCAGCTGGCGCGTCGAAGGTGAGGCGATGGAGATGTTCGGCGCCGTGACTGCATTCGTTGCATTTGAGACGGCCACCGGACGCGGAAAGGGGCACTTGCGCCTGGTGGACGGGAAGTGCTTCACGCTCCTGACCACCCTCTATGAGCTCAAGGGCTTTGAAGAAAAGATCGGCGCCTCACGGTTGCCGGGCAGAAACCTCGCCCCCGAGCCAAACCGCCAGTCATGGGCTGCCAAGAGAGAACTAGAGCGGGGGGAGCTCGGGTACGGCAAGCAGCCGTTTGTGGTGATTGTCGGTGCGGGCCACAGTGGTGTAATGCTGGCGGCTCGGCTGCGCGCATTGAATGTGCCCACGATTGTGGTTGACAAGGGATCCCCCGGGGACAGCTGGCGCAACCGGTATGGCTCGCTGCATCTGCACACGCCGAGCTACATGGACAACTTTCCGTACCTGGACTATCCGGCGGGGTGGCCGACGTACCCGTCTAAGGTGAGGGACCCCTTTGATTCTTCCATTGTATCTTCCTTTGGTCACAGTGGTGCTTGTGATCTGGTCTCTGTTAAGCAGGATGCAGCAGTCTCGAGCTTTTGTTTGGGGGTGGTTCAGGCATACTTGAATGGTGGTGAACTCCAATTCTGTGGAAAAGCAAGTGGGCTTGTCTTTTCTTGCAAAACGGATTGGACTGAAGAGAGACCTATCTAAGGTCAAGCTCAGATGCGACAATCACTGGCTGCAGCTCAAGAGTGGGAAATCAAAAGGTAACAACAATAAAGAGCCTCTTTTTTGACAAGGTGGCAGATCTCCTGGCTGTGCCAAGTTGTGTGATGGTCAAACAAATGTGCACTGCTGCCTTTGAGAGTGCTCCGCTGCACTTTCTGTAGGTCTTCATAGACACAAGCTCTTGAGATATGATTCTGTGAAGAGGAGGCATGCAGCTTTGCAGACCTGGTCTTAAGGGATCCCCCTAGAGGTGTTTTCCATTGCAAACATTTCAAAGCTTCGACCAGTGAAATGCAGTAGCTCTATGCTATTTTAAATCCTGCTTTAACCCATCAATCTGTTTTGATTGTGTGCTGAGAAGAGGACAGTCTGTTCTTGAACCATGGTTTCCTCTTTACGATTTTCATTCTTTCAGAAAAGGCCGCCACAAGCAAAGTCCCCACTCATTATCTCGATTTGATGTTTCATCAAGCCAAAACAATCACTTAGGATTACAGTGACCTTTTCGTGCAACAGAAGCTCTATACTCTGCAGCTTGAAGATTGCCTGTATCGTTTTTCAAATCACTATGGCAATTGGAACCCGATTCAATGTCAAGATTAACAACTTCTCATCTGCTTCCATTGCTGCATAAGAAACCTGCAGCATAGTGTGACACTTCTGCTCATAGAAGAGCCCTCTCAGCACCCAAGAGACCCTTTTCCGTAATCGAAGTTCCTAGAAGTTTCCCCCTTTTTGCAGTAGAAATTGGCTCATAGCTTTAAGCTCGTGTCGAGTATATTTTCCCTGCAGTGTTGATTGCCTGGTACAGCTATGACCTTGGTTCTTACAGTACCCCCTGAACAGAAGGGCCGACTGCGCCACGGTTGGCTTTCTCACTTTCTTCTAAGGCTGTGCGCCTGTCAATGGAGGAACTCTGCCTCCTTGCTCACAACGGATTCGTATACATTCTTGGGAACATCCCGCTGACCAGAACGGAGCCCATCTCAAGCCCTTACTGAAGTCCCAAAAGTCACCGGCCCTTTACAAAAGTGTACGAAAAGAAGCAGGAATGTTCAAGCCTCCTGCAGCTTCAAGCTTTCACCGATCTCCACCCTATTGCTCCGTTCTTCTTAAGACGAGACGGCTGACTGGATCAACCATTACTTGAGAATCACGTCCCACCTCTTCTGTTTCCTCGCTGACCGATATTCCGCCCTTCTTCTTCAGGACGAGATGGGTGACTGGATTGAGGCTTACGTCAAAATCATGAACGTCAACGTGTGGTCCCACAGCAGCGTTGAGTCCTCCACCTTCGACGACGAAAGCAAAGAGTGGGCCGTAGCTGTAACCCGCCCCGACGGCAAAACCCTAACCCTCCGCCCCAAACACCTGGTCCTCTGTACCGGGATGTACGGGGATCCCCGGGTTCCGGATTTCTCGGGCGCTGAAATCTTTGGGGGGTCGCAGCACCACTCCAGCCGGCACGGTTGCGGGGGCGCGGATTTCGCCGGGAAGAAGTGCGTCGTGATCGGGACGGGAACGTCGGGGCACGACGTGGCGCAAGACCTCTGGGAGAAGGGCGCTGACGTCACCATGGTGCAGCGCTCGCCCGTGTTCGTCATCCGCTCGGAGACGCTCGCGGCGGTCTACGTCGACCCTCTCTTCCACGACAGCTCGCCGATGAGTCAGCAACACGCGGACCTGCTCATGGTTTCCACGCCATATCGGCTGGTTGCGCCGTTCCAAGCCCCGATGGTTGAAGAAATAAAGAGGCGCGACGGCGATCTGCACGAGCGGCTGCGCGAGCGGGGGTTCAGGGTCCACTTCGCGGAAGATGGGTCGGGTTTAGCGGGGTTGCTTAACCGCACTGCCACGGGGTATTACTACAACATGGGGGCGTCCTATCTGATCGCAAGCGGCGAGATAAAGGTTCGGAGCGGGGGCGTGGAAAAGGTCACCGAGCGCACGGTCGTTCTAACGGACGGGAGCCAGGTCCCGGCTGACGTCATCGTCTACGCGACAGGCTCGCGGCCGGTGAGCGAGGTCGTCGCCCGAGTGACGTCACCCGAGGTCGCGGCGAAAGTGGGGCCTCTCTGGGGTTATGGGTCGGGGTTAGACGGAGACCCGGGGCCGTGGGAGGGGGAGCTGCGCAACATCTATAAGCCGACGGCGCAGGAAGGGTTATGGTTTCACATTGGCGGGCTGGTGCAGACGCGCTTCGGGTCGCTTCTCGTGGCGCTTCAGCTGAAGGCGCGCTTCGAGGGGCTGCCGACGCCAGTGTATCGGTGAGCGGCGGGGCGTGTTTGCAGCGAGGAAGCGAGAGACATACAGAGAATTACTGTTTTGGCAGCTTTGCGTGATTGCTGGCAACGGGCTGTAACGTACGGATCCAACGAGGGTGTCGAGTAATGGAAAATAAAGTAGATTGTTTTGACCGTGTCTTATCTGCGCTCTTAACTGTCGATCTCAATAATAAGCTGGGTATAGGCTAACACGTTTTTGAGCCCAGGAGTCTCGATACCAGATTGTACCTGCAAGCTGCAGGATGAGTTTAATTGACAATCATAGGACGCAGCGACAGGACTGCACACCCGCTCGCGATAGTACCATTCAATTTTGGCAGCACTGCAACAATCAGTGGATTGACAGTCAGATTACGTGCTAGCGCAACTGGACCGTCTGGGGATTGAATACGGGGGATTCTGTAGAGCTGCGCGCATCGCTGAACAGCTTTCCGTTTAGAGAAGCATGCATCCGTGTTAACCGAAGTACAAAGAGTTGTGGAAACGTTGGGACGTCGGGACACTTTTACCCTGAGAGATTAAGAGAGACAATCGTTCTTGTTGTCACAAAACTCTATTTTCCAATATGTTCGCTGGCAGGCATCCGGTCGCAGGCCGCACTACACTCACACGCGTACACGCACGCATGAGTGTATACAGTCGCTGCTGGCTGCATGCACCTAGCTGTCATGAAAAAGCGCGGTCACGATTTCGAGGCAGCCATGCATGCGAATGATCTTGCATGCCGATCGACGTGATTATTGACGGTATGTTTTAATGCACGTTGCAAAACAAGTTGCATACACGTTTGATATCGATGGAGAAGCTGCGAACTTGATTTCATCACCGCAATCAATTAGTAGATCAGTTAACGGAGGTTGCGGAAATGATTATAGATGAATACGGAGGGCCACCGCCACCTCCGTATGAGGCGGCTTCATGAGGCGTGTTATTGCATAAACACGCCTGGCACACCCGACGCCTCAAAATCGACTATGATGCATATCAATTCAAAATCATGTCTAGGGTGACGCGGACGGTCTACCTGTTAACGTACACGGTCACTTGTAGGATTTTGATGTAACGGTAAACACGATCAAAGAGACGCAATAAGGGGGTCTCCGTTTTGACGATGGCATCGCGAAGGTCCTTCTCCGTACATGACCATATTGAAGCAATGAATCGAAGTATACGTGTCTTGTAAAACTTGATCACAACGTGCGTGATTATCCTCATGTGCATGGTGAACGGATGTACCGAATTCATATGTATGATACAGAGTGCTGCTATAAACACGAATCGTCCAGAAATTACATTCTTGAGAAAGCGCCTGCTTTCGTGCCGTAGCCCATGCCGCCCTCCTTGAGAGCTTTCAAGGCCTCCTTGTACATTTCCAACTGCAAGACGAGAAGTCTACCGGTCAGATGCAAACAAGCACTCTAGCTGGGCAAATTGGATCTCTAGCATAGAAGACCGTTTCTCCTGGCCAAGCTTGGGGGCTCTGAAGCGGTAGGTTATGCAGATTACAGTTCAACACGGATTGATTAGACTTGTTTTGAACAGCACAAAAGAGCGCTTATACCGGGCGGACCAATCCAACGCTTACAGTCGGTGCCCAAGTGCGGAGCCTGTCCACCTTTTTCACAAGCCTCACGTTCGCTTCGAATTGGTACGGCTTCGGATATCCGTAACATCCGTGACACGAACACCGTCTGGAAAGAACCGTTTGAGATTGCGTTTCATCAGACTGCTTCCTCGCCAAGCCGGCCTTCCTCGGGAGAGTGAAACAGCATAAAAAGGAGACATTCTTACGATCGCAAAGCCAGAGAATTCCGATGATAGAAGGAGGTCATCCGGTGCCAAAAACGGACCTTCAGTGACTTGTAGACGCTTCGCTCCCACTTTCGCGCGGCCAGCTGTTTCGCCTTTGTCATGGCCGCAGCAAGGGTCGCCTCAATGTTTTCCCCAGTCTCGTCCACCAGTTCAGACTTGAGCGCATCTCGACCGTTGAACTTCGTCCTGCAACAGGAAAAGATGCAGGGTCAAGTCTGCAAAGCCTTCCCGTGGCGAAATCTGACAGGACAAACGGTTTTCCCTCATGCCCAATGACTTCCAAAAGTCAAAACCAACCCGTCGATCGATTTTTTGGACCTTGAGCGAGTAGTTGCTTTCACAATGCAATTCTCGAAAAGGATATTCGACAAAAGCAGCCAGCTACTGCAGAACATGCGGCATGCAGTCCTCACCCGAAGAGAGCGGCGCTTCGAAAAACGGAAGGAGACATTTTACACCGCACAATGGCATTCATGCCGGGGGTCAGTGGGAGCCCGATATCAACCTGCAAAAGCAACCAGACTGCTGCAGATTCACGGGGGAAAGAAAACACGGGGAAGAACGGCTCACCCAAAAAGGGCAGCCGTTCGAAAGACCGAAGGGGACATTTTACACCGCACTAAGGCACAGGTTCCAGGACGAAGACCATTCCCGATGTCGATCTGTGGGGGCCAGATTACCTCGCTTTATCCAAACGGACTTCATCACGTGTGAGAGCCTAGGCAACGCGCAGCCGTTCGGTCTCTGAATGTTTGACATCTCGATCCTTCCGTCATCGAGCGTTTACGTGATCTCTGTGAGGCAGCATCGCTCTTAAGAATCACACATACGCGAATCATTCTGTCCAGAACATCTGAAGCACTTTGCGCAAAGAGAAACCGAAGTGGAACCTCCCTCACCTCGCTTAGATACAACACGCCTTTGTCCGTGCGCATTACCCGGTAGTCGTGAGCGAGAGCAAGCATGAAGCCGCCAGCCGCTGCGTGGCCACTGCAGATAAACGCCTAGAGTCAGCATGCTACGATGAGAAAGGAAAGATCAGGGTACTAAACCAGCATAAAAAGAATGGAAAAAGCAGGTCAAACATAATAGACCAGCATGAAACAATGAAAGTACAAGGTTATGAGAACTCGACTAGTATGGATATCCGTTGCCAAAGTTGGGTTACAACTTATGCCGCATGAATATCCATGGCAAGGTCTATTTCACAACAAACACCAGCATTATAATGTCTGCCAGAGTTGTTACTTGACAAGTGTTTCAGCTTCGGAGATTCCTTGCTGACTCTCTCTTTTGGTGGTTCATGATGAGGGACGAGATCTCATTTTGAGCATACCCAAATCGAGAATAAAAAAGAATCAAGACACCAACAGCAATTCATAAAGAAACGTCGTGTATCTTCACGGTCAGTCTTCAAAATTCTTGAGAGCCAGAGGCTTTTTTCACCCATGCAAGAGATGGTCAGTTTGGGAACAAGCATGTAGGATGACAAAGCGTCACCTACTTGATAGCTGCAACTGTCGGCACAGGGAAGTGGAGAACGCGCCAGAGCAGTTCCATGAAGGATTGCATGAAGGACTGCAGGTATACAGCAGAGAGTTAGCCACAGCTGAAGTCTCTCAATGCTTTTCTATCTGTTCAAGTCGTAGGCCTTCACCTCCACCATGAATCTCAGAGGATTTTCAAGGAAGAAAGAAGTCAAAGCAACTGCCCTCTCGTGGCTTGCAGAGCTGTTGAGCAAGTGCGGTTGACCAGAGACAAAACACGTCAACTCACCAGGAGCTGTGTTGGATTCTTCTGTAGCCAGGCAAGGTCCAACCCATTAGAGAAGAATCTTCCATCATTGGTGGTTACGAGGGCGACATGGCCTTCAGATTTCTCCACCTGCAGATTATGAGTGGTGTCCATCAGAGATTCCTGATTGTAGGTTTCCAGCTCAATCATATCATAAGTTCTATACTAGCAGGCTTTCCCTTCTTGAACCTTTGAGTATGTGATTTGTATAGTTGAAGGGGCGGCTCACTCTTGATTCATCCTACACCTTGCTGTTATCCGTTTAAAGATGAAGTGATCCTATAGTTCCACTTCTCAACATCTTTTATTCATGTACTAAATCTGTGAAAGCTGAGGATGTCAGCATACCACTCCGTTATGACCCCTTAAACAATCCTATGGCATGTATTGGGGGTGGTTGTGAACGGGGGCTGGGAGTTCACCTCATCAAGTGCTTTATGGATTGCTGCCATGGATGTGGGGTTGAACCTGGATGCAGAAAGTAAAGGTGCATGAGAATGCCAGCAAGGTTGCACCTCTTCCAAGCCGCTACTTTTCAAAGCTTTTGGTCCAGATGTTCAGCCAGAGCAACGCGCCTATGTCGCACCAGCTGTGGGTATTTGGAGAAGCATTAAACCTGTAATTCCATGCTGGTGAGCTTATCACTCTCAGTTTGCAAAATCATCATCAGAGGAATTCCCTCACCTGTGCTCTCCTTCCCCCACCAACCGGAGGACAAAGACATCCCCATCTTTCTCCAAATGCACCGCCATTGGCCTGCGCAATGTGCTGAGCTCCGATTTGACGATGGACGGCCCTTCTCTTAGCCTTGCAACTTAGCACCCTCCTGCAGTCCTCTTCTTTGCCACAAATGGAGGCGCTGGCCAGCTGCAGACTGCAAACTGGAAAATTGTCCAGCTAGCTCGACTCTGCCTAGAAACAGGCTAGAAAATTCGTGAGTGCGCAGAGTGGCCGGACTGAGTCAGCAGCGAGGGTTTTGACTAACCAAGTTCTTCCAAGTTAGTCTCTGGACAGCGCTTGTACCGGGACACGACGGCTTTTCTGAATTGGGAAAGAAACTCGTTTCAAACCCAATCCATATTCGAAAACCGGGAGTGCAACGGCAAGGGCTGGCAGGCCACCTTTTCAGGTTAAGCGACGGGTGTCGTCGGGAAACCCAATCTTACGTAATTTAAGTGCTCCTCAGCATGACGAAGCACTGAACAGAAGAGTCCTGCTCACTGAAATCTGCAAGGATTGCAAAGAATGGCAGCACCAGCGGTCAGCAGCTGCGCATCAGCATCGGCTGCCAGGGGGTTTGCCAGCATTGGCCCAGCTTTTGGTAGGTGTCAAAGATTCCAGGCCACAGCATTGCAAACTCGCCGCCCGCACCGTCTGTTTCATGCATGTAGCTCTGCAAAGCCGCGCTACACTTCCAGCGAGCCACCACACTCTCTGCAGCCTCAGGAGAACCATCTGGAAAGTCGGATCCAGGCAGTGGTCAATCCAAGCAGAAGAAAGCTTCTCGTGGGGACTGGCTTGGCAGTAGCCATGGCATCTTCAGAAGGTCCAAGTGCCTCAGCAGCGGAAGGTGCTGATGCAAGCACCCTGCCAAAGGTTCCAATTGGGAAGGAGATTGCACCAGGTTTGGCACCGTCTGCTGTCATCAAGGGCTGCTGGCAGCTGGCAGGTGGGTTATACTTTGTGGAGGCAACCTGCATTAGTCATATGTTAGTTGGTAATGTGAACGCCCCCGATGAGGCAGCTTCAATGGTTTTTAGCAAGGGTTCCAAGTTCCTGTTTTCGAGTTCGGATACTAACAAAGGTCTGTATCTTTGTTGATGAAGGGAAGACATGATGACAAAAGGAAGAGAGAAGCAGGGCTATGCCTGATAGGTCTTGTTTCTTTTGGACTGCGAACAGAGTACTGACTATCCAGCGGTCTGCACCTACTAAGTTTGCCATTGAAAGGATGTACAGCAAAAGGGGTTTGGCGGCCCTTGAGGAACAATAATAGGCGCCAGTACGTCAAAGTGGAGCTGCTTCTGCCAGTGTTAGAAAATCGTCTGGTCTAGCCTTGCAGAAGTTTGCATCTGCTGACGTCATAGTGACATTGTCTGGTTCGGTGCTTTTCTCCAGGTGGTCACAGGGGCGACCGCAGCACCGATCGGACCACCGGCAAAGCAGCGGTCGAAGATTTCCAGCCATTTGTCAATGCTGGGATCACAACGTTTGACACCGCCGATATCTACGGCCCCTCCGAGTCCCTCATAGGGGACTACTTGCGTAAAACGAAAGAGTAAGAACCTTTCGCCCTTCTATATATGTGTATGCTTTGAACGTTTAGGGATCAGGCCTCTCGTGTTTGCATGCTCATCAACAGATATGCTTTGACGCTTTTGTCGTCCACGAAAGACAGCTTTTCTTTGTGGTCCTTTCAGACTGACCTATCTAAAAGAGAAATCACATCCGAAACCTAGCGCAGCCTTCTGGATTTTATCATTTCGCGTTGGGGCTGCCTTTTGAAAGCGCACCTGAACACTTCAGCGTCACAACCTGTTTCACTGAAGAGGCGTCAGAATACGTACAAGGCTTTTTGTGGAGAAGAGATGGACTGCACGCTCGGAGTTTTCTGGCTCGACTGGTCAGCGCTCTTGACTTTCACCTTACAATCGAAAGATCGAGACGTGGTCCGGAGATTTTGTTCCTATTCACGCAGGGCCTGGCAGATTAGACTCGTACCAAATCTCAAGTCTTTAGTGGGGGCTCCCCGCAGTCGGAGCCATGTAAACAAATGACGTTGAGGGATCCAATCTCTCGTTGCCCTCATCATTCGTGTTTTTCATCGCACTTATCATCGCACGTTTATTGCCCTTATTATTCGCTTTTATCTGCCAAGTTTACCAGACCCGCTGCAGCCGTCCCCCTGTGCAGGTTTTCACCAAGTGCTGCTTCTTTGGAAGCTCTCAGCAGAACGTGAGCCTCCAGGCCGTGGAGCAAAAGATCGATCTCTCTCGCCAGCACCTGGGGGTGGACTCCCTCGATCTAGTTCAGATGTACTGGCAAGACTATTCGGTGCGCAACTATGTGAAAGCAGCGCAGGCGCTCCAAGCGCTTCAGGTAAGGAAGGCCGTTTTCAAGGCGAAGACAGGTTGTGGTTCACGTTTCGACCAGTGGTTCGCGTTTCTGCCCTTGACCCGCATAAGGATTGAGGCAATGAAGCACAGGTTGCGGTCTGATCAAGCCATTTGTTCTGGACATCTTCCGAAAACTGGCAGCCAAACGCTGCTTCGAAGCATTCTGAAAATAGACTGCCTTTTGAAGACTTCAGAATGCACTCTTATAATCTTGCCCAACAAGCAGGGCTTGTTAAACGGGCACTCACCACAAGTCTTGGAAAGAATGGTTTGCTGTTGCAGCGCTTAAGTAAACGCATGTAGACACCCACACCTTGGACATAAACTTACATAGACACCCACACCTCGTAGAGAACCGGAGGCTTTCACCCTGGCAAGCGACGACAGACGCTAGACTTTCTCGCACAAGAGCTGCCGTGCATCTTTGGAATCTTGAGATCTCGGAGACGGGTCGTGGACTTACAGGTCCTTTCTTCGTCCAGGAAAAGGGCAAGATTCGGGCAGTGGCAGTCACCAACCTCGCCACAAAGCAGCTTGAGGAAATGGTCTCGGCGGGCGTCAAAATCGCGGCCAACCAGGTGCTTCCTTGCTATCCGTCTCTTATCTATCTTCAATCTATTCAATTGATCCAGAAAGCGGGCTGGTCTTTGCATTACATATTGTTGAAGTTTGCTTGACAATTACACGTCTCTTTGTGGAACAGCAGGTCTTGAGACAGCTGGAAATGGAACTAGGAAGCACTTTGCACAGTGCCGAGCAAAACGTTTCTACCTTGATACACATTGCCGCAGCACGTTCTGACCCTCCTTCCGCTCGCTCTCATTCAATCATATCGTACGGCGCCTTTTACACTGTGCCGCAAACGACAGGGCGATGTTCTGTGCTGAAAAATCGGTGTGCACGTTTGATGCAGGTGCAATACTCGCTCTTGGACCGACGGCCCGAGAACGGCCTGGTCGACTTCTGTCAGAAGCACGACATCAGCCTGCTGCCTTTCGGAACTGTCGGGGGGGGCTTTTTGACCGACAAGTGAGCGGCCAGCTTTTCTCCTTTTTGCTGAATGGTTTGTGGAGGAAAGACGTGCAGTCTACGGGAGAAAGTGAGCGAAACATGGTTCTCAAGTGGTGGGTTTCCGTAGGTTTTACGCAGCTTGGCGGTTGCTTTGTTCCCAAGGTTGTCCATAAATACTTTCTGATTTGGACTACGTCTGGATAACCGCTTTTGCTCAAGAGTATCCGCCAGCTCATGCACACCAAAGAGGTTTCCGTAGTGAATTCAAACTGTCCGATGTACTAAGAAGAGCCGCCATGGACCTTGCCAAGTCATAAGCACTCCGGACAGGCTCGTCTCTGCAAGTTGCTTTTGCGGGGCTCCAACAATGATAGGTACCGTCCTCTTCTGCTCACACGTGGCCGCATACTCACCTCGATATATCCCTTTCAATGCAATGTCGGTTTTTTGAGTCGCCTCGGTCCTTCTGTTTGTCTTTGCGACCCCGTTTCTGGTTCGTTCAGGATCGCACTTCGATCGACCGAGCTTGCCCCTCCGTACGCTTTTCGTACAGCGGGTTGCTCGCATTCACACCCTTCCGAACGCTGATCTTGCAGATACTTGGGAGTGTCCGCCGATCAGGCATCCAAGACCATCAACACGTACAGCCTCCAGAAATATGCCAACACGCTGGGAAGGGTGAGCTCTTTGGACAAGAACTTGATTCTAGATTTGGTGTCAAGATTAGGTGGACCAAATGGACCGCTAAGAATGATGCCAAGGTTAGGTAAACCATATGCACCGAGCGAAGGACGAACAAAGATGATGGCGGAGACCGTCAAGAAGTCATGTGGATCGGTGTTGCGGTTACCTTAATGCATTAAGTGCTCATTTGGTCCTTCTGGCGGCAGCAATTTGCCCTTCTCCTCGTCATTTTTTTGTGTGCTGTACCTCGTCCCAGAACTCTCGTTGCAGACTCGGAACGTTCGCGAAGCCATTTGCTACATGTCAGGAATTATCGCAAGCGCTTCTATTGAGATTGTCCGTTTCCGCACTTGTAGCTTCGTTCATCAGATCGCCCTTCGATCCCATAAGACCGTTCACCTTTTTTCTCAGGTGGGCTCCTGGGATTGGCTGCAAGAGCTGCTGACGTGTCTTCGCTCCATCGCTGACAAGCACTCGACTGACGTTGCAAACGTCTCGTCCAAGTGGGTCCTCCAACGGCCCACAGTCGCGGCAATAATCATTGGGGCCCGGAACGCCAACCACGTGGAGGATCATCGACGGCTGTTTACATTTGAGTTGGACGGCGAAGATCTCGCTACGATAGATGTGGTGTTGGCCAAGGGGCGTAAGCCGCAAGGAGACGTCTCCGTCAGTTGAGATCTTAGAGATGCTTCCTAGAGATCACGATGCAGGAGGAATTAGACAGTGCTGCATGCCCGCTGGATTCGTTGGCTATTAGAATACGCGAGACATGTTCGGGCCTCCGAAAGAAGAGTATACTGCAAGCGAAGCAATTCTGCAAGCCAGTCCTACCTCAGGTCCAGAGATCAATCTAGGTGAACATCATTTGCAACGGTCAATTTAGTATTTTCGACCAGTCATGCTGGTCGGACTGATTTCTATATGACCCTAATGCCTCGGGCATCACTAGTTGGGCTGATGTAGCAATTCACTTAGGTCCTTATGCATGTCGTGGAGCTTGAGCTACTGCAAGGAAGTTGCTGCACAGAATGTAGGCTGAGGCGGCGAAGCGTCAGGCCTATACCGTCTGAATTCCATTAAGTCAAGCAATGTCCGATACACCATATTAAGTTCTAATTGCTTGTGCTTGCATTGGTAGTTGTGTCCAGCATCGATCGATTCCACAGCTTGCGCGTGAATTTGCGTCTGTAACTAGCTCGAATGATTCATACACTTGAGTCGGTACTTGAATGGTTTGTTGGACTGTAGTGCGCGAGTATATTGCATCATTGTGTCTTGGACAATCAGGCGCAGTCCGACGAATTTGATCTGACACATACGGTAAACAGCCTCCCCCGGCTCACATGTAAGTGGTCGGCATGTGGAATATGTGATTCTGTACTTGTTTTCTCCAGCCGCAATTGAGAGCTCCTGGAGCGCACGTGATTGATTGTAAGCGGTGATGGAAACGCTGCAAGTGGTTCTGACCACCGCGGCTGCTCTAGAACTGGAGCTGGTCTGCATGGAATTGCATGGGCTTAACGTAAGACTCGATCAACCGTAAGATGCTTTCCCATTCCAACATTGACACAGCTAAGTGGAACGGGTTGCAAGCGGAAGAACAAATCTTCCGTCCTGATTCTGCGCTCTCACACGGTATTCCCATAAGATAACATGCCTAGGGAAGCGCCATGCCACCTGACATTGATTTGTCAACGCATCATATCTCCTATGTTCAGGTCAACTCTACTCAGGCTACAAAATTTGGCTGATTTGTTCCAACGCATCTTTAGACCCAGTCGATCTCCTCGATCTCCTCGTTCTTGGACGGCGGCCGTACAGCCACGACAACCCGTCCAAGCACCTGGCCTGAAGCATCTGCATCTGACCCCTGGATAAGCGCGAGGCCCGGTTCACCTGTCTTCTCAACAAGGTAGTAATGCTCATCCGACAACGCTCTATCGTTCCTATTCACTACCACCAACGCAGGTCCTCCAGACGTGCGTGCGCCGGCATCGCCGGGCAGTGTCTTGGCGTCCGGATGCAAAATCCCGACCGGAGCCTGCGCTTCGCTGATTGCCGTCCAGCTTGGAACCGCCACCCACTTCCCATGCCCCGTGGTCGTGAAAATCGGGAAGAGCGTGTCCGTCCGAGCGACAGGAGCCGCTTCAACATCGGCCGCCGAAACTTCGGACAGAGCCCCGACCACTGGAATTGCGCGGGGCGTCGTCTCGTCCCTCTGCAGGCGCACAAGCTGCAACCGCGCCGTCACGCTTTTCTTCACGTCCTTGTTCTTGATCAGCAGCTCCTCCAGTTTCTTCCGGCCCGCTTCCGTGACTACCACGCTCAATCCCTGTTCCAATAGACTCTCCCTCTCCTGTTCGCTCCTCGCCTCCTTCGCATTTCTATAGAAAGCGAAAGCCATTGCATCCCCAGGGGCCTGTGTGAAAGCGTCACGGCCCTCGCCCCCCCGCTTCCGTTCGTGGTCCTTAATTGCCTTGGCTAGTTCCCGGACCCCCTTTGCGTCGAGGTTGTTATCAATGATGTATTCTGCAGCGCTACGCCTCTGGTTGACGGCCAGAACACGCAGCTCGTATAGAACTCCGGAGCCGGCGATGTCAAAGAAGCGGAGCTGATCCTCAGGGAAGCCCTGAGCGCCCAGGGACTTGTAAACCTGCAGAGGGAGAGAATTTTGTGCTGTCAATTCTGCTTTTCCTAGTGGTGGTGCATGACAAGGAGAAATGTTTGGTACTCTCTTAGTTCGACATAACTCTTGACATGTCAGTCAAAGTACTAGATTAGCTGGCCCATGCACCATGGTAGCTTTTCGTATGAAAGCGGGAGAAGCACAGTTGAGCAACTCCACTCTCTGGAACAAGAGCCTGCCGCTTGTAGTAAATCCTAATCCTCTTTGAGACGAACTAGACAGGTTCAAGATCTAGATTGATGCCTTCAGGCTCTCTCTCAAAATCAAGCCACGTCCATGCCGGCAATTCAATCTAGTAGTTCCAAAGGAAACTTCTGAATGATTGTCTCAACATTCGCTGGTTCCCCAGCAGCGGCGATGTTGAAGTGTCCAAAGTTTTTCTCGAAACTGTCAAGCCAGACCCTTACCGTGCTGTGACCACCTCTTGAATAATAACAGCAACTGTTCCTCTGCTCATGCAGGTATGCACCTTTTTGACAATTCCCTTGGCTTTTGGATCTCTGCTGCATCTGACCAATTCTCACCTGCGCACCAACCACCGTCATGTTCTGCTCCACCCCTGTCAGACCCGTCACCTCATCAATCTCCTTGGGGCTCACGCCTTGTTTCTGCAGGAGCGAGATAAGTGGTGCCCATTCATGCCACAAACCCATCCTCTCAGTTAGCCTCTGCAGCATCTCTTCTTTGGTACCCTGCACAGTCTCCTCTTCTGGTGGTGCAACCGATGGGGGTGGTCTAAACGGCTGGTATAGGCTGGGTTCATTCGCTGCCTGGCAAAGCCACCGGTGGCCATTCTGGATTTTGCTTGGGAAGGAGAAGGGCTGCGAGAAGGGGAGTCGGCTGGACGGAATGCGGAGTTGAGAGACTTCTGATGAGGTGGTGGTTCTGTGGGAGAATGAGGAAGGCCCTGCGAGAGGACCCCTGCTCAGAGCTGTGGCTGCCTGCATTGTCGCCTTTGGTGATAAAACTCGGAAGAACGAAGACTGAACTTGAACTTAGATTCTGAAGGGAGAAAGAAGAAGGGAAAAAGAATGGCGTCTATCCTAGACTCTAGTAGTAGAATGTTGCAAACGACGACGAACGTGGAAGAAAGCACATCATGACATGGTGCACTTCTCTTTGTCCGGCCTCGTGTGAGAGGCAACTCTTCCAAGATTTCCTACGTTTGTCGTCATAGGCGACCTGATATCTACTATCGATAGTCCTGTATTATCATTTGAAATAGGCAAGTTTTTTACGAAGAAAGGAGCTCTGTCGTTGTGCGCCGTCATGCGCCGCGGCCCATCCACCTCAGAGAAGCATCGGCGTATGGGTGCAATAATGGGCCTTTGTACTTTGTCAATGTAGGGTAATTTATTCGTCCAGACTCCAACCAGTAATTTTAATAGAACCTCCTCCCTCCTTTGCTTGAAGTTGAAGATCAGGATATCACTCTCAGAGCTGCCTGCAGCAGCCAGCCGCAGGGGCGCTGGGCGGTGGGGGGGCAATTAGACGAGGCGAGCCCTGCAGGTCAATGCAGCCTCTTGGTCCCCCTATATAATCAGTCCTCCAATGGCGTGCGCTACAGTTGAAAAGGTCCGAGGCCTCCTATATTCAGACACTGGGCATATACGTGGTGGTCAGCATTCTCCATCCGCAGCAAATCTGCATTCAACAAGCTCACAGCTAGCAGTAGCTCGTGCACTTCACCAAGATTCGGTCTCTCGGCACGCTCGCACATTCAAAGCCAACTCTTATGCACATTTGGCCAATTTATGGCCCGGGGCATTCTCGGGCAGGCGTGTTGAAGGAGTTCCTTTGGGCAACTCAAAGGTTTCTAAAACAGCAAGAAAAGCACACCAAATTCTGGCCAGCACAACCAGACAAGTCAAGGTTTCAGCAGCCACTCTGGATGCAGTAGATACAATCCCTGAGCATGCAGAAGAAAATAACGGCGCCAAAACCCCGGCAGGCTCAGGTGGTCTACGGGTGTACATTATTCTGGTTCCACTGGACCTCCCCAATGGAATCCTGGCGGCAGCGGTTGATTTCACACGAGTTGCCTTCAAGCAGCGGATGGAGCATGCAATGACGCTGGTGGAAGGGCCTGATGGGAAGGTAAGCTCCAGGGCGCACCAGCTTGGGAGGCTAACCCCCAGTGTTGGATGGGACAGCCTTAAAATTATGATGGAGCTTCAAAGCTGCGAAAAATGTTTCTATGTGCGAGTAGTCTTGACGTACCTAGAAGGCTCTTTAAGTACAAACAATCTAGCTCAACTTTGTTGAAACATTTTGACTCCGCTCATTGTTTGCCTTGAGATCATTGGTAGCCTTGTGAATCGTGCAGATTGCTGTTTCGGTTCCTACGGGGCATATGAACCTTCCAAAAGGACTCTGACGTGCATCTGTTCTGCACAGTGTGTTTGCTTTGACTTCCGGCCAGTGGACCCCGAGAGCCCCAGCGTCTGCTTCACGCTGCTGACTGGCAGAACGTCCCCAGGTAAAGCGTCAATCATCTCGCAAGAAAGGCCTGGGCTGTATGTTCCCAAGTATGTTGACTCGTGTGAGTATGACAAAGCGCACTCCTGAGAGGCTCTCCTGTTTAGGTGCTGCAAGGATTGTTTGACAGTTATTGCAACATACTTCTAGCCCTTTCTCAACATGGGCACAAGCTTGCTGCACTATCCGTTGCGCAGATCCAGAAACATCCCTTCATGTTTCAATTGCGGGATTGGGTTGCATGTCCAGCTTGATTGGTCTTCCATATGGTCGCTGTATCTCCTTGCTTCTCTTGGCTCACCGAAACCTTCACTTTTGCCAGGCATCTTACGTCAATCCCGGCTGAGCCGGCTACCGCGGAAGAACTGCTGGCTGGTAGGCGAATCAAAACGGAGCATCGAGGAGGCGGTCGACTTCCACAATAAGTGGGACTCCAGGCTGCACCTCGTGCGGAACAACTGTTACACGCACACAGATGGCACGTCTAATTCCCTTCTGCAGTCCTGTTTCTTCCCGTGTCATATCCTGCACATCGTCTCTGTTTCCTGTGACGTACCGGGAACGTTCTGTCTTTGCCAGTGAAGTCATTCTTGAGACATCCAGAATGACATCTCCTACGAAACTTGAGAGGGAGGCTGTGTTCCTCACGGGTCAATCCTTTATGTAAGCTCAATTGATATTCTTCGATGACGAGACACTATTCAACCCTCTATTCATGGAAGGCATCAACGGCTCAGCAACTGGACATAGTTTGAGAAATTGATTCTTGTCCGTGTTTTGGACTCTTCCCTTGACTTCATGTCAGCATGTACGTCTGCCAACAAGTCGCGTTTTGGTCAAAACTTGGTTTTGCTCACTCCAATCGTTATTTGAGCAGTATTCCTTTCTAAGACCTGCATCTCCTCTCAAATTGTTAAATCGATTCTTTTAGCCCCTCTCCTCTCAAATTGTTAAATCGATTCTTTTAGCCCCCATCATTTGAAAGTCGTCACCGGTCAAATTGCAGCACTCGTGGAACACCTGACGGGACAGCCGCGAATCCTCGAGACCCTGCAATTGGGAGCCCAGAAGCGCCTGGTTGAGGTGTTTGCCCTCAAGGAGCGCAAGCAGGCCTGACGCACCGCGCAAACGCATTCGAGCCAGGTCATTGTGTTGGTGAGTATCACACGTTAACTTTTTCTATAGAGAGGTTTGCCAGGTGTCGAGTATGGCTAGGTGCCAAATCTGTCTTTACAAACTTCGGTAGGGCGAGTGCCAAGTCTCTGATTCCGAAGGATTCCGAACATTGGCGGTAAACCGATTGTGCTCTACTCGCCTCGTCTTGGGTCTTCTGCTCAACCCGGCTTTGACTTCATTCCGCAAAGTGCTTTTGCTGACGCTACGCCACACTTAGAGGACTCCGTGCACCGTTGATCTTTCAATCGGTATAGGGCCGTCCTCCATAGTATGGAGTGCACCGTTCTGAATGTTTCTTGTGGTAGATACAGCCTCAATTGCATATCTTCAGATCTAGAGCTAACCACTTCAGCATTTTCTTTCTTTGTAGACGTTTAGGTGGCCATTTGGCTCATCAGCGCGGAAAGGTCGCTTAGTAGTTTTGTGCAGATTTGGTGAATTTAGAGTAGACGCTAGGGTTGTATCAGGAAGTTAGCGTTTGTACATTTGGATCGCAGAGAACCACAGATTCGGGGCTGCTGTGTTTGTGTACGGTGTCAACTAAGGGGACTTGAAGCCCGTTTCGTGCTATCCATTCACCTTGATTCGAGGATTGACATTGCCGTACTTCCGTGGTCTAGGCTCAAAGTAGGGGTAAGGTGATTTAGGGCAATGTTATCTGTTGGATTGAGTAACTGAGCGAGAGACTTTGTACAGCAAGGGCAGCAGGAGAGAAATAAGAAGCCATGGGTTTGTAAGCGAATCTGATGTAAGTTAAGGTGGCCCAAAACGAGTGAGTGGTTAACATTAGATTGTACAACAGGAACTGACCTGAAAAGAACTCAATGTGCGAGACAAAGACCATTGGAACCGTCAACGATCATTATGTTCGACGCGGTACGTTCAATACCTTCGAAAACAGGCTGAGGCTTAAGTACGTCACTACACGCGTACAATACTAGCTTAAAGACACGATGCATATGGCCAGGCCGCCCCCACCCACCATTATGTTGTACAGACGCCGGTGCCAATGTTGCTCAACTAACTAGCGCACCGTGGGTGCCGGCCGGCATGTTAGACACGCATGAGCGATCGGATGCCAGGTGCGGCGGCCCTTCTTTGGCCGGTAGATTTACCTTGCATGCTCGCGTGCTAAGGGCCCCTTAGTCAAACATTGCATGCGTGCGTATACCTGCAAGTAGATCACGCGCGCGATACACGTATTGCTCTGGCCGCTTCAATTCCAGTTATCACCAGTTTCGTACCGTGGTGACCCGCGGTGACCGTCAATCAGGCTCTGGCTGGGCCGTATAGGCCAACTTCCAAAGCATAGGTTTGTGCATAACGTTATGCATGATGTACATCTCTGACGCAATACCAGCCGGGATGGCTTGCTTGGAAGTTACATCAATTGATGCTTAACTCACACGCAACCAGCTCAATCCTCGTGACTTCGTTGTAAACCCGGCGTGGCACGTGCCTTAGGAGTACGCAGATGGATCAGTTGAAGCCGTCGAGTTATGTCAAGACGACAAGCAAACTGAGTACCAAGCTTGTCTTCATACTCGCTGAGATTGAGGTGCTCGAGGATATTCGGCAATGGCAGGGTCCGCCTTGCTCACGATTGACAACGGACGGATCGTTACGGATGAAGACCAGAAGCGCGCATGGCGGTACCACTCGTTAAGATTAGGCCGGAGCAGACTTTACTGGGTTATGCAAGAGTATGCTGCAACAGTAGCGCACACTCTTCTAATCCAAAGATCTGGGTCCGGGGCTCACACGTAAAACATTACAGGTCACCACTAGAGGCGGCATGCGATCACTCAACAAAGGCCGCTTTCTCGGAACGCACCTTGGTCAGGGAGCACCCCACTATCACCTTAACGGCAGGAAATTAAAGGAGCTGATGTCACGTTTTCTTTTGGCGCAGCAAAGTTCCATAACGTCTTCTGTACATGGGAAACGGGTTTCTCTGTGAGCTGCGCCCCTTCGTTTGTACGTGCGTTTGTTTCGCAAAGATGCTAGGACAAAGAAGACCCTATACAGATCCTTCCAGGAATCTCGGACCTGACTCTCAGCTGCACTGGAAACTAAAGTATCCTCGACGTTACATTTACTTTCCTAAGCAGGGCGACCGTTGGTTGATCGGCGGAATCGCCATACGCTTCCCCTCTACTAGTTTTCCACATCTCAGATCGCCCATATGTGCATTTGTCCCTTTCAAAAATGTCCACTTGTTTCTGCTCTAATTCTGCTCGATTTTACCCTCTCTAACCAAGCCCCACTTTCTTACCACCCCCTATTCAAAACCTCCGCCTGATCTCATATCTTGGTCAGCACTTCCGCCTCCCCCCAGCGCAGGTACTTCTTTTTGGACGGCAGGTCCTCTGCTTTGATGTTTTTGATGCCCCGCTTCTCCGCCTCCTCGTCCGAGATCTTCAGAGGAACGATCACCCGGTCCCCGATCTTCCAGTTGGCCGGGGTTGCCACGTGGAGCTTCCAGTTGAGCTGCAGCGCCGCGATGCACCGAATGATCTCGTCGAAGTTGCGGCCCACGGGGCCGGGGTACAGCAGCGTCAGCCGGATCTGCAAGGCGGGCGCGTATATGTTATGTGGCGCTTATATTTGATGAATACTGAAGAAAGGGCCAAAGTTGCGGCCCACCATGCCGGGGTACAGGAAGAGTCAGCCGGATCTGCAAGACGGGCGCGTATATGTTTATTGAGCGCTTATATTTTGATCAAAGTGTAGAGGAGAAGGGGCGGATTCTGCAAAGACGAGCGCGTATATCTCAATCGAACGCTTAAATCTTATTCAAAACGTGAAGATGAGGGTGAGAAAACAGATCCAAGATGACTGATCTCAGAGAAGGGAGACAGGTAACCAGCAAGACAGACCATATAGCCTGCTGTGACCGGACCATGAAGTGAAAGCCTCTAGTTTCAGTAGAGCAAGAGATAGTGCTTTTAGGGGCAAAGGCAGCTGTCGGCTGGTCTACTGGGTGGGGTGGGCGGACGCCCACACGCCTTATCGTCACAGCCCTCCCCTTCGAGACCATTACTTTTGAGTCAAAGGTAAAGACTTTCAGAATCTGATTAGAGGCTCTGGGCCCGCTGTGACCGAGCCAAGAATGTGGAAAGATCTGCTTTACAGAGAGCGAAAAGGTTCTGCTCATACTGGCAAAAGCGGTCGGAATCCGCAATAACTGGGGCCCTGGGCAGACGCCCACATGCCATATCCGTCACAGCATTCCCCTTCAAGACCACTACTTTGAAACCAAAGACGTTCTGAACATTTTCATAATCGTGTTGGACCGCCTTATCCGAATTGAGAATATCAAAGCATCTGCCTTCCAATGGCAAAGAGTATCTGCTTCCAGTGGAAGAGGCGATCGGTCTACAGGGAGTGGAGTTGGGCTGAAGCCCATACGTTGTATCGTCCCAGCCTCGCCCTTCACAAAACCATTACTTTTGGCAGCGAAGACATTCTGAATCCATTTTAGACCGTTTTTCGGACCAACAACGTGTAAAGCTCTTATTTTCGACGGGCGAAGAGATTCTGCTCGTAGCAGCAATGGCTTTCAGCGTGAGGAACAGCTGGTGTGGGGCAGAAACCCACGTGCCGTATCGTCACAGCCTCCCCTGTCGAGACGGTCACTTTTCAAACAAAATCAAAGACGTTCTGAACCTCGCTTGACACGATCGCGAAACCGAAGAAAATGACGGAGGATCGAGCTTGAAGGTTCATAAGACGATTCAAGGAGGCTAGGAGACATTTACGGTGAGGAGAGGGCAAACTGTGGACTCAAAACTTCGCAGAGTGGCCGTTCAGAAAGACGAAAGAAAATCTGAGCAGAATTTGCACCTTTAAAACTTCAGCAAAGCTGCAGACGATTTACCTGCATCAGCGTTTGGTCCTGAAGCAGTTCCTTCACAGGAACAAACGAATAACGCGAAAGGCAAACCCTAACCCGACCTCCCACGAGACGCCACTCAGCCTCTCTAGTCTGGATCCAACAGAATTAAGAGGGAGATTGAAAAGTGCCGCTTAAGTAGGTTGTCGCGGGGGTAGCTTCGATTGGCTATCCGGAGAGCCAAGCTGCCGAGACGAACTGATTCAACGACAGAAGAGAAGCTTTTCTATGGTTTCTCGCGCTTCCAGCCCAGAAAGCGCAGCACTGGAAGCGAGGACGCGAACATGAGGAGCGGACTTGGTTGGACGGAAACGAGAGAAATGATGAGATAACGGCACTGGCAAAAGTTGTAGTTGGGGTGGATGATGTAAACCCAGCGCGCGTTCATCAAGTTGCCCTTTCCGTTCAGGTTACAAACATCAAAAGGAACAGAGCTGAAAAGATGAAACGGAACGGAGCGTAACCCTCCCCGTTACAGGTTACAGGGTCAGCCGGAACGGGGCGGTTTGATGGAACTCAACGGAGCGGAAATGATATGCGGACGTGCGCGCGCACCTCCTTGTCAGGCCGGGTTTGGATCCCGCGCGCGTTCATCGGGTTGCCCGATCCGTTCAAGTATAATTCAGACGGGACGGAGCGGAAAGATGGAACAGAACTGTGAGGAAAGTATCTGCGGATGTGCGCGCGCACCTTTTCGTCGGGGCAGATGATGTGGATCCCGCGCGCGTTCATCGGGTTGCCCTCCCCGTTCTGTCCGATTGAACGGAGCGGAAAATATGAAACGGAACGGAGCGGAAAAACCAGCGGACGTGCGGCGCGCACCTTTTTGTCGGGGCGGATGATGTGGATCCCGCGCGCGTTCATCGGGTTGCCCTCCCCGTTCAGGTTCTCCAGGTCCAGCAGGTTCAGCTTGTCCGAGATGGCCCGGGACGGGTCGAACGCGACCGGGAACTCGATCTTCGTCTCGGCATATGTCTCCACGTCCTTGAGCCAGTTGCCAAAGTCCTGGTTGTCCGGCGACTCGATCGTCACGCCCATCAGCTTGACGTCACGCTCCTTGAACTTGGCCTGGTACTTGGCGACCACGGCCAGCTCGGTGGTGCACACGGGGGTGAAGGCGGCTGCGAGAAATGGGGGTAAAAGTGGTCGATAGAAGTGCAACCGGGAAAATGGTTCCAGAGAAAAACTAGATGCGCGGAAAACGGAGTCCGTCTTGTTTGAGGAGAAGCGATTCTCAGGTAGAGAGAGGAGCGCATTAGAGTGCTTTAGCGGGTGGCAAGAGAGATGCTATCTCGAAAGGACACGCAAACAAGAAAAGCGAAGCACAAACGGTGACTGTTTTGGAGAAAATTAGGTGTTTGAGAGAGTGTGCCGTTGTTGAAACGGGCGAAAGCGTTCCCCTATCACACCGTCCTGATATGAATTGCGCGCGAAATCTGCAGATCCTTGTATTGGAAGCAACAAAAAAATCGTGGCTCACTTCCTCTTAGAAGGACTGGTGAGTCACCAGCCATCAAGGAACATTTTTTTCTTTGCCACGACATTTTGATCGCAGACAAGCAGGTATGAACACAAGGAGTAAGCCAGCGGTACGGACTTCTACGTTCAATTCCCCGTGCATGGTCAGATTCTGCTGCAGGTGATAGAAATCAGAGGGTAGAACAAAGCAAAGGTGGTTCTTCAAACACACAGGCAGGAAGTAAAACCATTTTTCGGTCGACCTGAGGTTTGGCGGTCAGGGGGGAGCAGGAGGCTGACAGATGTTTCTGCCGCACTGCTGTTTTCCGTCAAAGCCAAGACGACGAATTTCAGTGCTGCAAGGGTTTCCGCTGTTTGAAATGAAGAGCGGAGCATGTGGATTGCGAGTCGAGCACAAACGTATACCAGCATGTTGGGATATTTCAAGAGCCCAAGAAAAACCAAAAGCGGTTGCGTTATCCAAACCCGGAAAGAAAAACGTGGGTACAGCATCATTTTGTTCAAAGACAGCGGCATGCAAGCAGTATCTGAAGTTATCCCTTCGACCGCATATCTTGCTGCTATTAAAAAGGAGTCAGAAATCAGAGGCTATGCAGAAACTTTTACAGATCTGTAGAATAGGCAATCTGCTTTCATCCTTTCAGACAGGCTCAATGATGACTTGCGACCTCAGTGTGACCATCTCTTGTCATAACTCAAGAGTTGGTCCTGTTTCTCAGATATCTTTGTCAACCAGAACGTCTAACCCCTTCCCTTGCGTTGTGAATGCATGTACAAATGTTGGGTTCGTTTCAGATATTGGGCCCTCGTGCATTCTGAGATGCTCTTCTTCCTTTAGCCAAGTTATAGCAGAACACTCAATCCCGAGATTGCTCCAAAAAGTTCAGGGCAACGCAGAATCTACAAACCCCGCTGAAACACGACCTGCACCCCAGTAAAAGGAGAGCCCTCACGATTGAAATGTTATGGTACGGACCGCTCACCCGGGAAGGAGAATATCGCTCCCCAGCCATCCCCGACCCACTCCTGCAGCTTGTACTTGCCCTTAGTGGTCGTCACCTCCAGGTCGGGAATCACCTCCCCCAAACGGACCGGCATGGCTGACTTGGACTTCGCGTGTGAGTAAAGGGAGCAGCGCGGTACGTACCGCCAGCCGGGGTGATGCGGCGCTGACGTAAGCCCTGGGGAAAGGAGGGGTACACCGGAGAAAGAGCGGGAGAGAAGGGGCGAAGCGCTGCGAGAGATCTTGGATGCGAGGGAAACGAAGCGGGCAGAGTTGAGTTGGAGCCCTGCGCACCGGATTGCTTGCGCCGCCATAAAAGTCTTAAGGTTTCGAGCAAGTTTGAGCAGAGCACTATCAGACAGATCCAGACCAGAAAACTTCTTCCTGGAGGTTCGCCAGACTCGCAAACCTCAAATGTCTGTCTCCTTCCTTGCCCGCACGAAGCTGCTGACTGACAAAGCTGCGAACCGCGCGCTCGTGCGAAGCGCATGCGGAACAATATTCTTTGCTTCGCCGTCTTTAACTTTTATGAGTGACATGGCAAGCTTTTTGATTGGTGTCGTCGTGCATGCTTGGTGCCCGGCGCCAAAACTAGAGTGCGCGCGAGCAATTCGACTGAATCGTTTGCGAAAACAGCTAGAACAGCGAAAGGGAGCTGAGTCACTCAAGTGCATGTTCTGGACTGAATGTGCGTCAGCAAAGTTTCGATTTGGTCTGTCTGACCACTATCAACCAAAATCGGTTTCTGGTCAGAAGCTGTGCGCGCGCGCACGGGTGCATGAGAACGGCAAGCCTCGGATCTAACGGTTTCGATGCACAACGGTCTTATTCCTCTAGCTTGCCACTTGTGTTTCCGCCCATCATGACGTCGGCCAGAGCGTACCGCTGTGACAGGGCGTTAAACCTCTTTTACAGGACGCTAGTGGTTCACAGTACGCGCATGTTCGGAGCGCCAATCGTGTTCCCAGAAGGCGAAGTTCAATGCGCTCTTTCTCTGGGACGGTTGATAAAGGTGCAACTCTGATGATGCCCTTATCTACTCGAGTACGTTCGCAGTCTGCATGGAATGCAGTCGCGAAAGATCAAGCTCGCGCGAGGAAATGGACGGTGTGTGAAATTCAGCTGAAGCTTGCTCGATTGATTGCTGCCGATAGATTGTAGCTAGCTTGAATGACTTTGATATTACGTACGTCCCTTGCATTTGGAAATTGTGCAATCATTTTTGGCCGCCACGGGGATCATTCATAAGAATGTTCCTCAATTGTGGGCCACGTTAAGAAATGGGTGTCTGAAAGGCTTTCATTTCAATGTTCAGTGCGATTCAAGCGTGCGCAGGCCACACGATCATGGCTGCGGGATACGCTGGCCGGGGGCGATTGAAACTTTGATCGTCGATGCCCAGCACTTGATCATGTTGACCCACGCAGGCTGGTCCATGATTGAACGGCGAAGCTTCATACCACGTTGATACGCGGGATCGTTACAGTGCTCACTTTACATTGGAGTCGGTACAGTTGATAGGGGCTCGTAGGTGCTTTAATTTGAGCACCTGGAAGGAGTCGAAAGCGGCGGCTTCCATTGTGCGTACAGCAGGTCTGTAACAGACTCATAATATGCACCCCCGGGCATCATTGCCTCTGCGTCATCGCTCATCTATCATTTCCTTTACCTTGAATCCCGTGTGCCTCGCTGCTGAGTCTTGTATACTAAGCAAGACTCTGTCCCCTAGCTTTAGTTTCGAAACGGAAATGGGCACGCGCTCGTTCTCCCCTCCATCATCTGCGAAACAAGATCGGTCATTACTTCGATACTTCAAAAATATTTTGAGCTCGTCGTCGCCGAGGTAGTGGAATGTGAGTAGATTGGTACATCGCGGGCAAATTGAGCGGCTTCTCTCAACCCCTTCAAGCTTAACCAGCGGAGCTGCCTTGGCGAAAGGCGGCCGGCGCCAAGTACACACAACAACATTTGCAACTTCGCGGTCGTTCGCAAAGTACACGGAACAACAATCTGAAATCCGCAATCTTCACATATTTGAGCGCTGCCAGCGCCATTTCATTTTAGTAGCTGAGTTTAGAAGGGACGAATCTATCTTGCAAGAGGAACCAAGTCCAACCGACGCACCTGATTGGGCAGAGCCCACGAGTCGGACGGTCTCCGCATTTTGCAGCAGGATGGAGTGTCGCTGACCGTCGGCCTGAAGGAAAACTCTAACGGAAATCAGAGGCGTATCACAAGTTCGGACCAGAATGGAAACGTCTTGAAGACGCCGGAAAGAAGACGTCAGAAGCCGATCTCGCCGGCTCCTTGTTTCGGGTACTGTGAAGCCACCAAGTGGATATGTTTACGGTGCAACCATCCGCCTCCTTTACTCAGGAAAAGAACCCATGGCAAACTGAGAAGAAGGCGTGGAACGACGAAAGCAGAATTCCTTCCAAAGCGTTAAACCGTCAGTGCGACTTTGCCGGAGGACAGTCGCCGTATGCAGCTTGTGTAAAAATTCACAGCCTATGTATAAACTGTTCTCTCGACAAACGTCAACGTATCAAGAACACCTGATCTCCCCAGCCACGTGGCCACATTCAGGAGCGCCTCCACCTTAGCTTATGATTATGGGGCCAGTCATAACCAACCGCCGCAGCTTACCTGTGCTTCTACTAGAATCAACGGCCGCGACTCGATTTTGACCCTCCCCACGAGAGCGCTCCGCGTGAGGCCCTGTGAGTCGACCACCAAAACCTCCCGACCGCTCTGCAGCTCAGAGAGGTAGGCTGTCTTGCCGCCCGGGGCAGCGACGTAGCTGTGAACAGGGCCCTGAAAGTAGAGAGCAGAACTGGTTGGACAAAGTCGTTGTCCTACCGTGTTTTGAACTCGGAATGTCCTGGATTCGCGAAGCCGCTCATGTAATAAGAGGACGGAGTTTTTTGCCACGTACACGATTGCACCTCTGCCGGTCCGAAGTGAACATCCTACTTCAGGTTTGACGCAGAGATTGGACGGAGCAATTTCAAAAGTTGCTGATGGACAATCTCAGTGTTTCAACTTCAGATGGGCGATTTCATAGTTTGCAACGGTCCTGCCATCTGATCGCAGTGCGCCATAAAGCGTAGCTTGCACTGTGTGCAATTGGCGGTTGCTCTGCGCTTGAAGCCGCTCAAGAAGTTGCTCTTAGCGCAGCCAGAGCTTGTTAAAAGGGCGTTGACAAGGACCGTGAGACATATCCCCAAAAACTAGTCGACTCAACAACACTTTCGGTTCAGGGGCAAAGTATATTGAGAGTCCTCACCGCGTTGACTCGGAACGGCCGGCTGGCGACGTAGTTAGACTCGAGGCACTCGGAATGGACCAGAAACAGTGCGCGCGCAAACGAGCCCACCTGCAAAATCTCGGATCGTCAAGAGCACGTTCTGCCCAAGCAAAAAACTTGTTATTTGCAGTTCAAAAAGACTCTGAAAAGCACTCGCAGCAGAAATCTCGTGGGAGACATCGAGACTTGCGCTGACGGCTCCTCTAGAAATCTCCAATTTCTTATTCTTTCGTACATGAAATGTTCGAATGCGGATCAGTTCCTCAATCCTGATTAACCCTCACCGTTCACGTGGTTCACGACGTCTTTGACGAGAAGGTGGGTTTCACTCGGTCGCCACAAGGCCACAGATACAGTGGAAGCTTATGAATCCTGTCTAGAAATTTTCAAGCTCAAAATCGGACGTGTGTTGAAAATCCCAACTTGTTTGACCGAATTTACCTGTTTACCTACTCAAGTCATTCTTCGAAAGGCGGGACGATGCTGGGCAAAGACGGAGATGACTGACCAGCATCCCCTCCCCCGGTTTGAGCAGCGAGCAGAGGTCGACACACGCGCGATCGCCCATCCCGACTGGCTCCACCCTGGTCACGTGGCCGTATACGAGGGGAACGCTCGCGCCCCCTGCACGCCGGTCGACGTACTCCTGCATTGGAGAAGTGGATGCTGATGGTTCAAGCAGCTTCTGACACGTGGATCGACTTGTAAAAGCATCTTGACTTGTGCGTCAAGGTAGGACTGGATTGCGAAATGGTGATTTGAGACAACGGGTTCTCGATTTGGCTTCTCCGGCTTAGACAAGAAAATACCAGAACGCAAAGACGTGGATCTGGGAAAAGCAAGGACGCAAGTGTTGCTACTTTCTGCTTCTTTCGTGCAACGCCCGATCATCGTGTCTTCGGAGATCCTTCAAATTGCTACTTACAACTCCACTGTTTGGGTGTGACCGTGACCAGTTCAGAGGAACGAACAGATGACACGCCCACCTTGATTGCGAAGACGTCGGCTGGGTTCTCCGTCCGAAGCACCACTCCGTCCGTTCCGCGCTCCAATGCCTGCAGAACTGTCGGCCCTGATTGTGACAGAAGCTTTGAACAGAAGCAAAGCAACCACTTAACTCTTCCTTGTCAATCTGGAGAGTGGTCAGGCGAATGCCAACCGTCCGGATAGTCGTGCTGGTTGAGAATGAAACGGCATATGACGGAGCCACAAAGGAGTGCGAAGTTTCTCATTGGGCAACCGGGGTTCATTCTTCCAGTGCCTCTATTTTCACCGCCAAAAGAGGGACGTACAGCAGCGAATAGAGCTCCCGAAGTTGGCTACGACGTAAGAGATGCTCTTCGAGGCTTGGTACAACGAGCTTGCAACGGCCGGATCCAGGAAGGCGTTCGTAGCCCACATGATCAAGAATCGAAAACGTCCTACATACACCCTAACGGTAAGGCGCCATAGGTTAGCTCAAAGTCGCGAGCGAACCCACTCGTAAGTTTTCGATAACCCACCTCGAAACTGACTATGGCGTCTTGCGCACCATCTGCAACCGCAAACAGTCGGCCCGGATGTCCGTCGAACGCAGCGACCAAGTTTTCTGCTGGAATCACCTAGGATGAAGGAACAAAAAAGATTGTGAAACGTGGAGGTTTGTTTCAAGTCGTCTAGACCTTAAAAAGATGCCTGATACTAAAGCTACTGAGAATTCGTTGCTTTGCCTCGAGATATTTGAATGTTTGAAATGGAGGCTGTGAGAGAGGTGAAATGGAGCAGTGAGGCGGAGCATCTGACACTGTTTAGAAAGGTGTTGAGCAACTCGCAAATTATCGACGAGCGCAACTTCTGTTGTCGATCCGCCAATTTCGTTGTTCGGTTTGCACACAATCCGGTGGGGTCGAAATTGAAGCCGTTCTGCCTGAACAAGGCGTGCACAGGAGAATAAGTTTGCGGGGCTCACTTTCCAGTCTACGAACTCAACAATGGTCGTCGATCCTAGAAACGCAATCGTGGGAACGGCTGCTATGACAGCATCCAGTTCGCCTGGGTTCGCAATCGGATGCAGTACTGCTTCAAGCGAGCCAACGTCACTCCTCAACTCCCCTCCCAGGCAGTAGAGGGCTTTGAAACTGGCGAGGCCTGCGGGAAAAAAATGCTAGATCGACGACCTCCAACAAGATACATGAGGATATTATATGACATGCTGCAATGAGAGGGCTGATACCAAGCACAGTAGCATTGCAATTGAGAAAAATTGACTGAGAGGCTTTTAAACAATATATTCTGGTCGATTAGATTTATAGCAAGTGGGCTGGCAAGAAAAGCTTTCGAGATGAAGTCTCGAGAATTAGTAACTTCAGGGGAGTTATTGGCAGGCTGCCAAAGAACCTGCATCATTTCCATGCAGTATTGTATGGGCAGCTGCACCAACCAGTCTCGACATTCACAACAAACAAAACAACGTTTCCGCTCTTTGAAATGTAAAAAGGACAGTCGGCTCTCTGATTTTAATGGTTAACAAGTCAGTGACAAGCAGGACTTCAGGGGTGGCTGTGCGCAGCCCCTTGAATCAAAGCTACAGCTGAAACCCCACCTTGCCAGGTCTTTGCAAGCTGTTGGTCTTCATCCGACCCCGTAAACACCAGGTGATTGAAGCCAGCTTCGGTGGCGGCAGTGAACACCTGTTTGCTTTGGGTCCATATCCAGACTGCCTTCCTACATGCAGAAGCTGTTGCTGACATGGGCGCTGTAGAGGCTGTGTGAGCGCTCAAAGCTGCAGACGAAATGACACTGCTTGTTGTCCAGTCTTCAGTAAAACCACACATAGAAGCGAGTTCCATTGCTTCTCTAATTAGCTTCCTACCTGATGTAAGTGTCTGGGTTGAAGGGAAATGAAGAACGCCTTTCTTGTCAATCAATCCCTGGTGATTATGCCCAGATGTATGCAGGTCCGTATAACGAGTGAGGGTGGACTAGACACTGGTTTGAAAGGCCACAAAAAATTTCTGAAAGGAGTTGAATGGAACAAAGAGGCGAACGCTAGAGCCGTCTCAAACACACCATGGTGATTGAATTCCGGCGCATGGTAGCGAATGCATCGAGTGGGCGTTCAAGCAGTACGTATCACTGACAGCATTGTGTGATGGGCGCAGTCGCAGTCAGTTTGAGGATGAAAATGCTCTGATTGCCTGCTTACGCTCCTGTCTTGGGGCCGCCGAAGCATCAACCAGAGGTCTCCCCGCACTTTCAGGCTCAGGTTCCGCTTCCAAGATGTTTCGTGCATTCCAAGCTGCCAAGTCTGACAATTGGCTGTCCTGACTCGGACTCGTAACCTTGCTCTGGCGGGCAAGTTTCCGAGACAAGTGCTGGCAAAAGGCTGGCCTGCTGTGAAAAACACCAGCCGCAGAATGAAGCTGAGTGAATGCTGGCAGGAAGGAGTATTTGGCTAGCCGATCAAAGGTCGGGGAGCGAGACGCTAGAAATTTGCAGAAAGAAAGGCTTTGACAAGCGCAGCAGGAGGATGATGCAGCCATCACAGGAGGTGGTGTAATCGCTCAAATACCCTTCATCTGTTCTAGGTCCGAAACAAGAGCATTTGAGCAGCCTCAAGAATGTGTGCAAAGCTGGGCACCACCCGCGTTGCAGTGGTCCTGGATTCTGCAAGCTTGCAACCAGAGTATCTGGCGCCGATATAAGGTGTCTTTTCTCCTATTTATAAGCCCATATCTAGTCCAACGTCGGCACGCGGTCGTATAAAACGGCAGTTTGGTGTGACGCTGCGGTTCCGGCGCTGTTTCCCTTTTGCGATCCGAAACGCCAACGGAACCGCTGTTTCCCTTTTGCGATTCGAAACGCCAAAGCGGGACGAGTAAACCGGCGGACCATACGTGATTAAAAGAGACTATAAAAGCCGCCACCCAGCTATATTATTATAATATCGCTGGGCACAGCATTGCGATGGTCCTGGATCTAGAGCTGCTAGCCAGGGATCATGGGGCTAGAGTTGGAAGAAGGGCTGCCTTGCAGGGGGAAGAGTTTTGAAGCTGAGCAGGAGACATCTTTTTGTTAAGTATACACGAAGCTAGCGAGCGGATTGGCTGTCCAAGGTTTATTAGGGCGGGTGAGGATAAACGAGGGGGAGGGAAGGCGCCAGCTTGGTCAACACTTCAGCAAACAGCGGTGCTTCATAAAGCAAAGTTCTGTCAAGCGAATTTGGAGTTAGCAGCTAACTAAGATTGTGCTCCGCTATGGAAGCAAGATAATATTGACCTGAAATCCGCAAAGTAGGAGACCACAGCACCTCAGCAGCTGCAACAGCTAGAAATGGAGCTGCTTCTGTGGTTACCATGGATTCTCGTGTTTTCCCTGACCTGCCTTCTTCTGGTCCTTCGACGTAAGCGGCATTGCATATGGTTCTTTGGGTTAAGGTTGGAAACCTCCTGTTGCTGCTATCCTCTGCATTCTTCCCTGCAAAACTCTACTGTAATCTTATGTATCTCCAGCTTACTCCGTCGGATTAGAGAAGCAGCTGTTCATTTTGGCCCCATGTTGACAAATTGTTGCAGGAAGTCTTTTGGTCACCTGCTGGGAGTTGCTGAACAGTATCCCACCTAAGTATATTGAAGGGTCAGCCGATTCAGGCTCAAGCAGTTGGCCTGGGGCAGAGTGAGTATAGCCACTCAAGAAGGAACTTTTGGACGGGTGGCAGAAATCCAGACCAAAGTACGTCTTACTAAGCTACTCCGTGCCTGAAGTAGAAGTCGAATGCGATATATGGACCCGGAGAGACATGCTAGGCCTCTAAGACCACCAAATCTTGATGTTTAATACTGTTCGGTTTTGACGATCAAACAATGTAGAACCCAAGGTTGACCGCCTGGTTTAACTCTTTGTTGACCAGATCCGGGAACAGCTCCCTGCAATGAAAAGAGAGGGTCTGATCCCATGCTCTATCGCTTTATCAAGCTTCTGAACAGGAACTGTATCTGCTTCCTGCCTTCCTTGGCCGTCCTTGCATGATCTAGGTAGCTTGGAGGGAGTTTTCAACTGTTCAGTATTCGACTCATGAAACATCCCGACTTGTTTTAAGTGCAGCCGGCCTCAGGTTCGATCAGGATTTGATCCATGCCCCGAAGTAAGGACATACATGAAGCAGTTTCGGCGCTGGGAATGGTGCCGCTATCGCCCAATGGCGTTCCGTTCGGCGAACCCATGTGGATCTGAGGAGAGCACAAACGCCGAGATAAATAGGACCGTCATCGACTGTGTGAATCAGGTTAGGCAAGCCAATGCCCGTTTGTGGGGTCTGTCTCAGATCAATTGTCGTAAGTTTGAAATTGTAAAAAGCCTGCAGTGCTCTATCCTTATTATCGATTCGTGCTACTTGCTAGGCTACTCTCTGGGTGGACTCGTTGAGGTTGCATGGATTTTGTTGATTCAAGCACGGTGCGCATCCAAAAGTTGTAGAGCTCATCGTCCATGACAATGGACACTTGACCCTAAGGACTCGAGGAGCAAACGACCTGCCTGTTGTCCTCCTTGATTATTGACGCCAAAGCCCGAAGGATAGCCCTCCATATTCCTACGCTTGGACCAAAGCTGGTTGACGAGACTGCCTTCGGATTAGCTTCCCTCGTGTTACCAAATCTCACATTTTAGTTGTGCCTGTTGATGTGCAGCTTCTGGAACATGATGACATACTGGACCTTCGGAATTGCCGAATTTACAGCCTTCCGGTCCACTTGCAAAGGCAGCTGAGACTAGACGAATCCAAGCGATTACCAGCTTTTACGGTTGTACGTCTTGCAAGTAACTCTAGGAGGTAAGCCGCAAAGCCGGCCTTTCCGCACGTTCGGGTCTTCTTTGACTCTGATGCTCTGCAGCTAATGTATTTCCACTTGCCAACAACGGACCAGAAAAACTAGAGCTTGAAGAAGTTAACAGATTGGCGTTTCAGGGACTCCTGGACTGACTTTGGAGGCATGCAAGGTTTTTCTCGAAGCTTTCAGGGAGGTTTGGGGAAGTAATACAACGCCGCTGTTGCTGTCAATTCGAGAGAGCATTCAAGTTTCTTCAAAATCTGGATTCAACATTGTCAAATGCGGCTGTGCTTCTTCTTAAATCAGCCCCCTTCGCTTTCGAAGGTATATTCCCTTCGTTCGAAAGGTCCAACTCTGTCTCAGGGTTCAGTTTCCTGTCCATTTTCGACCCCTGATCACTTTCTCTTCATGCAGTGATGGTCTTAAGGATGTTATCTCAGCATTTGAAGGCAAGAGGCCTGAAGTCGCAGGCTTCTGGAGGCGGGGGACTCTTCCAGACACTTTGGAGCAGTACGATGCTGACTTGTAAGTGTAGAATTTGATGAATCCAACACTGAGCCTGGACGATGTTTTGTGTTGAGACGAGACATTGCAGTCACACACTTCTGACTTGTCAAAGCCAAGCATTTTGTATGGCAGAATTGTTTCGTGTCTCCTTGTAGCCCAGACTTTTGAACAGCAGCTCATGCAGGGTCCTTTGAGATCAGACTTTGAAAGCTTGAACGAACATTCAGTCCGCTCATCTCAGGCGACCGCCCTGGCTTAATATGAGCCAGTTTGTCTACTAATGCTCCATCGAGGGTCCTTTTGTTCCTCCCGCTGTTAACGACAGCTTCTCTGAGGGCATCGTCTCATAAAGAAATGGCCCGACATTCAGGACCTGTGGAGTTTTGAACGACGTACAGTGTTATTCAACCAACCACGTTGGCGCACTGCAGATCGACCTATTGCTTTATTGCTATTTGCAAGTCTACACGCATTTATACAGGGACTTCTGTAGCGCGCTTCTGCAAGAATTGGACTACATGCATATGTACCACGTTCCTTGGGGCTTAGTCGCCTGCCTCGCATACTACGTCGTCTTATATGAAGACCCCCGAAGTGGCGAACTCAAGATTTCGCAGGCGTTGCCCTATGACCAGCCGTCACCGACAATTGTCATGGTGAGGTCATCGTTGGACGTCGGAAAGTTGTCAGTCGTCAGGCGCTCACAAGTTGTAAGCGGCTTTTGTGAACGCGAAAAGCTGGTCGGCAGTCCAGACGCTCTGCAACTCATTTCGAGCCTTTCTAGAATGTACTGCACAAAATCCGGAATGTACTGCACAAAATGTCGCCACAGAGTTGTGCTTGAAGGTCGTCAAACACGCCGGCGCCAGCGAACTCATTGAATCAGACCGGTAGCCAGTATTTTGCTGTTCCCTACCGACCTCTTTATTTCAGACGCCTCGCACGAATATTGCCGCGAAACCTTGGTCTCACAGAGGAGCATCTGAATTCTGGATCAACGAGAGTCGTCTCTTGTCTATTCAAGGCCGCTACGGGATCTGAAATTTGAGCTGCTGTATCAGCTGACACCATTTTGTCGACTAGCAGGTCATGTACTACATCATCCGTCAGAGCTTTCTCGCGCTCCACTCCCGTCCCTCGGTCGACTCCCCAGCACTAAGCACGGACCCCTCCAACGCCCCAATAGACGTCTCAACCCCACTGCTCGGCAGAAGGTCTCCGCCAAATCCTACCGAATTGCTAACCAAGCGGCGCACCTCCCTTCGCATAAAAGAACAGATTGCACAGTCCACGAAAGGCGGTTCGCAAGCTACCGGGCACTTAGGCACGTCCCCAACGAGGACGTTAGAAACGGTTTCGTGGGAGTCACTCCGATTGCAGGGAGCGGATATCGGCTGGGGCCGCTCGGGAACCGTCTACAAGGCCAGGTAAGGAAGAAGGTTTTTCGTTGCTTTTTCGTTGATTACGCTTACTTCTTCGATAAGGAAACGGCTGAAACTCGTACCAAAGAATGTGATGCAGCTTTCTGAATCGCATGCCTCCAGCGGTGGATAGCTTCGCGTGTGGCACACCGTCCCACAGCCAACGTGGATTGAGAGAGCCTGCGGGGCCTTGGTTTCTACACATGAGGCTTTTGGACGGCAACTATTCTGGTCCGTTGCAACTCGAGCAATTGAAGTCTCTCTTTTGCAGCTTTCAGGGTCGGTTGGCAGCAGTAAAGACGGTCGATCCGGACGATGAAGAGTTCGAGGAGAAAGTGCTCGAGTTGAGAAACGAGCACGGCATCTACCTGCGCTTGACTCCCTTGTGGGGCACAACAGTCCCTGAACTGCTTGCGTTTGGTTTCTGTCCAAATCTTGGGACGTGGGTGTTGATTACCGAATTTCTGGAAGGGGATCATCCTGCCCGTGGGACCATGTCAGTGCGACAGAAATTGGAGGCCGTGAAGTCACTTGAAAAGCATTCACCGGCTAGGCGTGAGGCATAACGACGTCAAGCTAGAGAACATGGTAGTGGTCGGGTCAAAGGTGTTCTTTCTAGACTTTGGATTCTCCACCCTGAATGAGAACAAGGAAGAACGAAAAACGGAACTCGACTATTTGAAAAGCGGCTTGATGCCACTCTGACGCTTGTCTTTTGGAGCGGATTACGAGCCCTAACTTTTGGAATGGTCGACATGAGGACCATCGTTCAAAGCTTCAGGGTGGTTGGATCAAGAAGGATGTTTCAAGATGTCTTGTCGACTTAATACGTGCGTCCATGGGTGATACAAATTATGACCAGCTGTGATTTCAAGAAGAACCCGATTTTTTAATTGCATGACTTCTGCCGATTGCTATCTACCATCTTAAAGATCAAATCTTATACGAAGACCCCGGAAGTGGCGAACTCAAGATCTCGTAGGCGTTGCCCTATGACCAGTCGTCACCGACCATCGTCATGGTGAGGTCATCGTTGTACGTCCAAAACTGTTCCAGGCATCAGGCGCTCAAAAGCACTGGGCAGTTTTTGTGCATGAGAAAAGCTGGTCGGCATCATTCCACACGCTTTGCATTTCAACTTCGGAATTCCTCGTACAGTGTGCTGCTCTAAGAAGTTCCGCGCGTTCAATAGCGACAAGTTCCTGTTTAAAGATCTACGATCATGCCGGCGCAAGCGTACAACTTGATCAGACGGTAGCCGGTGGTTTGCTGTTACCTGGTGAACTCTTCGTTTTGGACGCCTTGTGCTATATTGTCACAAAAACTTGGCCTTACAGCAAAGCCTCAGCGAAGCAACTCGATATCGAATCAACCAGTGTCGTCTCTTGATCATTGGAGAATATTGTCGGTTTTGAAGACTCGGCTGCCGATTGACATACTACGAACGACCTGCAGGTAATTTACTATATCATCCGTCAAAACTTTCTCGCGCTCCAGTCCCGCCCCTCAGTCGACCCCCCAGCACTTAGCACGGACCGCACCAATGCCCCAACAGACGTAACCACCCCACTGCTTGGCAGAAGGTCTCGACCCCTGTCGCCCACTTCTAACGCGTCGCTAACTAAGCGGCGCACCTCCACTCGCCTAAGAGATCGGACAGTAAGGTCGACGAAAGGCGGGTCGCAAGCTACCGGGCAGTTAGGCACGTCACCAACGGGGACGTTAAATACGATTTCGTGAGAGTCTCTGCGATTAGGGGCGGATATCGGCTGGGGCCGATCGGGAACTGTCTACAAGGCCAGGTAAGCAAGAAGAGTTTCCGTTGACTTACTTATTTCTACGATAAGCAAACGGCAAGGTTTCGTACCAAAGAGTTTGATGCAGTTTTCTGAATTGCATGCCTCTAGCGGTGGATGGTTTCATGCGGCAAACTGTCCCAAACCTAATGTGGATCGAGAGGACCTGCGGGATTTTTAGTTTCGAGAGATGAGCCTTTTAGAAGACAATAAACGTGGTTCTCTGAACCTGGCGCATACAAAGTCTTTTCTTTTGCAGCTTTCAAGGTCGGTTGGCAGCAGTAAAGACGGTCGATCCGGACGATGACGAGTTGAGAAACGAGCACGGCATCTACCTGCGCTTGACTCCCTTGTGGGGCACAACAGTCCCTGAATTGCTTGCATTTGGGTTCTGTCCAAATCTTGGGACGTGGGTGTTGATTACCGAATTTCTGGAAGGGGATCATCCTGCCCGTGGGACCATGTCAGTGCGACAAAAATTGGAGGCCGTGAAGTCCTTGAAAAGCATCCACCGACTAGGCGTGAGGCATAACGACGTCAAGCTAGAGAACATGGTTGTGGTCGGGTCAAAGGTGTTCTTTCTTGACTTTGGATTCTCCACCCTGAATGAGAACGAGGAAGAACGAAAAACGGAACTCAACTATTTAAAAAGCCGCTTGATGCCACTCTGACGCTTGTCTTTTTTGGGCGGATTACGAGCCCTAACTTTTGGAATGGTCGACTTGAGGACCATCGTTCAAAGCTTCAGGGTGGTTGGATCAAGAAGGATGTTTCAAGATGTCTTGTCGACTTAATACGTGCGTCCATGAGTGATACAAATTATGACCAGCTGTGATTTCAAGAAGAACCCGATTTTTTAATTGCATGACTTCTGCCGATTGTTATCTACCATCTTAAAGATCAAAAATCGTAGTATATTAGTACAGTTAACAATACTACACGATTTCGCTTGCAGTTTACGATCTGCAAACATTGCCGTGTCTACGCTGCACCAGATGTCCATCTGCAACTCATGCATTAGGATATAATCCCCACGATTCATTTTGCATGACTCGAACTGATCGGATTAATTGCAGCACGACCATGATGCATGCACATGTGATGCCAGATCAGCATGATCATCATGAAGGCCGACTCAGTCGGATATTTTGACATGATTTGCTGTTCACTGCGTAGCCTGGCATGCAGTAGCTAGCTAACGCACATGCAGGCCGGCCGCTTAAATATGACGCCGGTGCCGCCATGGAATCAGTCCGTCGATCCAATTGCTTGCACAGATCCGATCGACGGATCCGACGTTGCAATTAAGATGCAGCGGCAGCTCTAGCCTAGCCCCATGCCATGCCGGGAAGGTGGGAGTCATATCTAGTTGTGAACGCGTTGCGAACGAAGAACATGTGCGATACATGTTCCATGAGATCGCGCCAACGTATATAGAATTCTTCAACTTGCCATGCCACAGGCGTGGCCGTTAGAAGACTCGTCATGACTGCGAACCCAGTTTTTTCTCACCTCTCCCAATAAAATCAGCCGGACGTCGCTTCAAGCTTTTTACGACTGTGTTCCTTGAGGAATCGCTTCATCTTCCATGAAGCCATGAGGCGGCCGCCGGTCGCCGCCGACAATGCAAGTTTGGGCAACTCAATGACGGTCCGGCTACATGCAGAGAATATGTGGCATGCGTGCGCGAACGACAGAGGTGGGCGCCATCAACACGGGACTTACATGGCATGAAGTAAGCATAGGCTTATGTCCTGGAAGTAAGCATAGGCTTATGTCCTGGATTGCTAGCGCAAACATGGTCGGAAGTGTCATGCAAACTGCATGAAGGCCTGCTCAAAATCCAACCCGCATGCAACTAGACACACGCGGCCTGTTTTACTTGACTGGACGCACGTGATGGTAAGTGCCTTGAAACGTCATCAAAATTGAACCTTTCATGCATATTCTGACACGGCAAATGTGTCCAGGAATGCCGTTGCGCGGTGCCAATACGAACCTCTGCTCGAACCTCAGACGCGGAGCTCCTAGTTTTATGTGGGTTGCAGCGTCCCCGCTGACGCTCGCCGTGACGTTAGCGTTTCCGCAGCAGCTTTGAGCGCGCCCGGCCGCGGCCGCCGCAGCGAGTGCATCAGCGTGAGCACGATCGTAAACAGAGTGAGAGCACCCGCCTGGTGGGCTGACCCCAGAGACACGGGCACGTGCAATAGAAGAGTCGACACGCCAAGGGTTACCTGCGGATGAGAGATGACAGTTGCATGACGTAGGCAGCACATCCCTGAGCGAGTGAGGGTGAGAAGAGGGACGGCGAGAAGGCTCTGATTTGCACGTAATGGGGAAAACAGAGAGACTCAGTCTTCCGATGAGTCGGACAATGAACACCAAAACTTACAAAGCAGCCTCTTCTGATTACGCTTCAAGAAGCACCCACTTGTATGTATTCATCCAAAATCCTCTTTTTGCTAGTACGACGATCAAGGACGTTCATCTCAGACACGATCAATGTGCGGATGAAAGCTTACATGCAATTACACCGCAGGTCAAAGCATCTCAAAGGTCCTTTTGCACGACCTCTGTCACCCAGATCTTTCGAGTGGGTTGTCACCTACGCAGCACGCCCCCAACCGTGACCAAATTGCACTGTGGTTCGAAGATAGGCCGTCGGCCTTAATTAGAACGACGAGCAACGCTGATCTTATAGTTTGCATCGCTGATGAAGAAAAGACTGCCGCTCACCTGCAGTGCCGTCATCCCCATAAGCCCATGCAATAGCAGCTTGGTCCGGGGGTGCAATGGCAGCCTCCGGGAGGTCGCCCAGACCGCGGTCACACTTGCCAGAGTGGTCAGCGCAAGTAACCGGTGGTCCAACTGCAATCGGGAAAGGCATTAGGATTGAGATGAGGCATTTCTTGGAGTTCCAATGAAATCCTAAAAACATGGCTCCTCTGTCTGCGCAACCTTGTGATCCCAGCAACAAAGTCGCACAGGGAACAGTGGCGACGGATTACGATAGAGCACGTGAAAAAGACCATCTGCGAGTCCCGCGGCTTGCAAGCAACCTTTTGCTGCATTAAGACTCTGCATTGAACGACAGTATGTACTTCGAGAATCAAAAAGGCGGACGCTGGGGCAAAAGTTGGTTATTATGCACACCTGGACTGTGGCGGTGTTTTCGAAGAAGTTTGCGAGGAAGGGCTGCTTCTCAAAGAGGCCCGGAGGCAGCCACGTCTCGCCCATCTTCGGGAAGGTGTTGAACGCGTGGCCCTGTGTAAAGAGCACACGTCAGCCTCGCTGCGGATGACGTCAGCAGAAGGAGGGCAGCGCGCGCTGGTTGAGCCAAGAGAAACAAATCTGGCACTACGAGAAGGCCTCAAAGATCACCAATGAAATCAGCAGAGATTACCCTTTATGTATCTATGCCTCTTAACACAGGGAACGTGTCGAGCCAATCCGAAAAATTTCACAAGATCCGCAAACAAACTTGAAACTGTGCACTCGTTAAAACTCCGGTAACTTACCGCATCAAGACCGGCGACAAAAGCGCCAGAAAGCGCAGTCACGCCAATGAGCGCTGCCAGAGGGTGGATTCTGCCCCGCAAAGCAGCCCCCGCCTGCGAAGCGAGCGCACTGAGAGTGGGAGGGGTGGGGCTCGCGACTGTGAGAGCCGTCCAGAGCAGTCCCGAGTAGATGACGAACGCTGACGTCAGGTGGGCGGCCAGTCGGTAGGGGCTGACTCGAGGAACGTCGTACTCGGACTTGGGCTCCTGAAATGAGAATAGCAAGAGCACTCAGAGTCCATCTTCTGAGCTTGATGTGCGACCAACTTCGACAATCAGGGAGTAGCTTTCAATGTACTGATCAACTTCTAACATGAAGGGCGAGGGAAATGGTCGAAGACAAGGTACGAACAATAGCATTTTAGGGACTTGAAGCTCAATCAAAACGCGACGAACGCCATTTCTCTTGAGTTGAAAGTCCTACACCCGTTTCAAAAGGCCCAAGGTCCGGCAAGAAACTAAGCAATTGCAACTCCTTTTCATTGGCGGAAGCTCCACAACAGTCCGAAAACGCGAACATTAGGACCTTAACAGCAAATCAATCTTCCTTGCGACAGCCCGCCTGAAATTTCGTCGATATTTGAAGAGCTTGGCATTTGATACTTGTGCTTTGTCCGGGTCTCGAACTGCTCTGATTCCCAGGAAACAGAACCCTCATAAAGCGAAATCACACATAAGTACCACACGAGCAGTTTGAATCCTCAACATTTGGTTCTTCAGATAATTTCTCAGAAGAATCTTGCTAGGAAAATGGATTCGAAGCTCCTTCGAATTTGGAACACCTCAAACGTCATGCCTCGATTGCCGATTCCTTTCTAATCTTTAAAGAATGGGTTTACCTGCAACCCGCTCTTAACCATCCACCAGCCAACCAGTCCCTGCCCCGCCCCCAGTGTGAGTAGTACCCCCAGCCTCGCCGCCAGTGGTCGAGTGACGTAACCCTTGACCGCAAAGTAGGCAAACGGGACGGTGAAAACGAGCCCTAGAGCACGGCCCCACATGCGATGCGCGTACTCCATCCAGTAGATGAACTTGAAGTCATCTAACTTCATGCCCAGATTGACCCTGCGTAAGAAACCAGGTTAAGAAGCAGGTTCGGTTGAAAAGAAGATTGCCCAGAAGATGAAAGCAAAAATGGAAGTTCAGACAACAGCGAAGGTTTACGTACTGGGAGGTGCTTGAATCTGTTCTCCACTGCAGGATCTGATGTGATTGCTTATGTGTCCTGGTCGTGTGATGGCATCATCAAACGAGCAACAACAAGCCCACTTAAACATACCAACGGCCTCTTCAGATTTTCACAATAAAGTGAGGCCCAGCGACAAGCAACCCGCTCAGGCTTGTGCCAAAATCAGTGTTTCAAGAATTTGAAATGGTTTACCAGGCGAAGGTTGTGGAAAAAAAGAAGAAAACATGAAGAAAGGTTCCATGCGAACAAATAAACGGATGTGGCGACTCACAAGACTGATGCAGAGCCGCCATGACCAGTACCAAAACCAGCTTAGATCAAAGTGCACACATCGCATATGCCTCAACAACTTGTAGTGCCTTCGTACTCACTTTTTGTATTCTGGGGATTGCTTGTACTTGTCAAACTCCTCCTCCCACTCCTCCTGCGTCATCGGTGGCAGCCCCCCTGCAAACCGCCAATCAGTCATCGACAAACCCGACCTGGTTAACCGCGTAACCCCCCCCAGAACCACCATGCTGAAAACCCATCCTGCGCAGCCGAACAGCCAGTATGCCACCTGTTTCTGAGCCACGGGGCCCCCCTTGACCAAACCGGTTGCTGTTGCGGTTGCTGCGGTGGACATAAACTGGGGTGTGGCAGCCGCCAGGGGGGTTTTCACACCAGCGATGCGGAAGCCTTGGAGGGTGGTGCGAACAGACCCAGCGGCAAACCCCCTGGAAAAGTGCCCATACTTAACTGTCCTGGTCAGGGAACTAGAAAGGAGAGATGAACTCTTTGCAAGTGGACTGCTCCCATAGACGCCCACCAGTTTTGCGCTCCAAGCTTTGAGATCTCTGCTTAAAGGAGTATTCACACCACCACGGCTGGCCCACATCGCTTGCGGTGTGAACTGGGCGCCAGACTTGACTGCGCCAAGCGGGCCGTGCACGGATCGGATGAAAAGGGCATGGTGCAAAGAGCTAGGAAACGGCACTGTGTTTGAAACGATTTGGGGGCTGGCGGAGAAAGAAGCTATCAGCTGCTTCCGAAGGATTTGCTGGATTGCGAACCAGGTGGCCATCTCTCCCCCGCTGAGTCAGTTTCTTCCAGAAATGATCATAGAGAACTGTAGATTCTTAGCAAGAAACCCGTCAAAGGACGAAGCTAATCACCATTCAGAAAAAGCCGCCAAAGCTCATGGCAGCATTGTCTTCCTCTAGGGAACTATCAGCATTTCAGTGCAAGACTAGTACTTCAGCAGATGTGAGAAAGTGGTTTCTCTTTGCTCCTTGGCTGCTATTTAATAGTATGAACCACCGCCCCTTTGCTCCGTCGTCGTTTGGGAGACGTGGCCAGCTGCCCGGCGAAACTTTTGCAGTACGTACACAAACCAACGTAATATATTATATGACTTTTCTGATATTGCTCCCGTGCAACGGTGATTAAACTACTACAGGGCCTCGTTGCTCCTTTAGACGATAGCTCGATCTGACATGTGGGCCGCTGTTTGAACAGCCCAATTCTACCGCGAGTTGGCAGACGCGACTTTCAAGTGTTAAAATGTATTACCTAAGGCTAACTGGAAATTCCCAATCGGGAAAATTGTACCTACCTACATTTTCGCTTCGATTGCGAACTCAGTACTAGTATAGGACTACTTGGCCAGCCTCTGCAGAGTCTGCACGCCCCATGCCTTCGATGCGCACGGGCTATAAGAGAAGTGTCCATGGAGGCCGCTTCAGATGGCACCTTCTCTTCTCCTTGAAGTTCTCCACTAACCATGTTCTAGCTCTTCACCAGCAGCTATGACACCTGCAGAAGGAAAGAAGCCAGACACCCCCACCAAGGGGGGCGACGGCGCGAGCCCCGTGCGGTTCAAGATGGCTGCGCAGCTGCCCCCCCCGGCGCCCATCAGCGGCCGGTCGTGGATTCGATCTCCGGAGGGGCCAAGCAAAGAGCAGCTGGAAAAAGACCCCATAGCAGGTGGGCAGTGGTTGAACTAGAAGCGGGGATGATTCTGGTTGGTGTTGCATGACGGCTGAGATGGAGGAGTGGTGGTACAGCTGGCGGCAGCTGTCGTGCTAGAGGGACACCTTTGATTTGAACAGGGTTCATGGGATAGGATGAAATTGAGCTGCTTTATAGTGTGAAAGGAGAAAGAGAGACTTCAGTCTGTAAGAGGCAGTGGGAGGGGCAGCATGTGATTTTCTGGAGCTGACAGCTGTCTTTCTCGAAGTTGGCAGACAGTGCCTGCTTCCGAAGGTTACAGCCCGACATCCCCCGACGTTCGTTACAGCCCTGCTGGAGATACTTCGCACGCTGACGTTAGTGACAACAAAAACAAGGCATGGCACTCGGAAAAACAGCGAAAAATGACTGGTCAGAGGCATGCGCAGCGAAGAGGTCGCAGGGGCACTGGCACCGACTCCATCGCATCAATCCTATGACAACTGGACTTTCTTAGAGAACATTGGTGCAACTTTGCTAAAGCAATGCTGGTTCTTTGCAGGGGACTTCGGGCTTTACTTCAACCTCAAGATTAAGAAGTTGAAGGAGCAGTACCAGGCGGGCATAGACAACGACTTGATCACGTGAGTGGACCTCAGAATTTGCTACACATTTTAAGATTCTTTGAGAGCTGTAAGGTTTTGAAGTCCCTCGTTTGCAATCAGGTCAAGTGCTGTGTGCTGTGTGGTGCGGTTCTGACATGACCCGTGCATGCTCTCAATCCTTTACAAAATTGGCCAACTAGCTTGCTGAGGAGCTTGCAAACTTTCAAGCAACTTTGTTGAAACAATCTTGTTACTCCCATTTCAAAGGATACACCCCGCACTTTCTAGAATCAGATTTGACGTCCGGGACAAGATCTGTGTCTCGAGTCAGTGGGCCGTAACCTACTTCAGCCACAGTATAACAAAGGGGGTGGGTGCTTTTCTTGTTTTCCAGAGGGGAGGTGTCGCAGCCAGGCAAGTGGGCGAGCCAGCTGTTCAAGGGGGTCAAGATCTGGGTGAACGGCCACTGTCGCCCGAGTCACCAAGTGAGGCTTTGTCGCAACAGCTATGGTCTTTCTGTTCTCCAAGTTTTTATCATACCAATCGCCATTTTCCAAGGCTTCCTGTAGGCCGCGGTCCTGTTCTAGATTGTCCACCTTTCATGTTTGGCATCCAATCATGTGTCCAGCTGGGTTGTTCCCCATGATCTTCGATGACATTTGTTGTTAAAGACATGTCAATGAGGGGCTCTGCCTCGGTAAGATTGGGAGTTGACCGGTATCCTAGGAACACTGGAAACATTCGTGAGTGTTGTTGTTCTCGAAGATTCGTATAGAGAAACGGGTTCAGCTCCACCAACTTCACTTCTCTATACTTTCCAGGAGCTGAAGCGACTCATGGCGCTGCATGGCGGAGGTGAGTCTACGCGCTCAGGTCTTTCTTTATACGAAACTCCCCATGTGGAGGGAGGTTGTTTGTTCTTGAAGGATTTCTCAAACTGATTCCACATACAGAGAGGTCGTTCGTTTTTTGCAGTATTCAATGTACTCGTGCTTTTGATTTTGGTCAACTGCAGGTCATGGGGAATCCCTACTTTTTGGTGTGCTCGCTAAATCGTAACGATTACATTCTGACGGTTCACCCCCTTTGCTCGTTTTGCCCCTTGTTTGTTTCAAACGGGTGACCTCGAGGAGTAAAGCTTGCGGCAAAGCTGACGGCCAAAGAATCCTGAATTTTAGTACTAAAACGTACTTTGTTATCTCTAACGTGCTTTGTGAGAGTCATTGCTTGCTAGTTTGCGTGCAGTATTCGAGACTTACTACACGCCCAACACCGGTGTGACCCACATCATATGCACCCACCTGACTGACAGCAAGTACGCCGATTACAGGTGCGCACTTCAGGGGGATCCCTCAAACTGTCGCCTTTGTTGAAGCCGTCATATTGTGGCCGCCCGACATGCATCGTCGAAAGGTTTTCAATGAAAGGTTTCCGCTTCCACAGGCATCGTTAGGTCCTTACGTCTCTTTTTAGGCTACTCGCTCTACAGCCGATATTTGCGGACTTCCCGTCAATGCTTATGTCATAGATACCATCTTTCTTTCTTCTTTCTGAGCATTTTTCTTTCTTTCTTTCTAAGCGTACCTTTCACATCGTACTTGCAGGCATGGGCGCGGCCGGCCTCCAGTCCTCAAGCCCGAGTGGATCACCGACTCCATCGCAGCCAATAAGCTGCTGCCAAGTCAGCACGTTCCCCAATTTTCTTCATGCCTTTCTTGTTGCAGTCTTTCGTGCGATCCTCCTGTGCTTCTTACCGTCCCCCTACCATTCACAGTTGCTCAGCGACGGATGTCCGACTGATGCGCAGCAACACTGCAATGGAAAAGACGACTGAATTACGGACATTCAGCTTTAAAATTCTCAAGACAGATTAATGGGGCACCGCCTCTCCCCGCTCTCCTGACAGTTCCATTCTCACGCACATTGTCAGCTTCCATGTTACCGCAATCCGAGCTCAACCCGTTTCGATTCTTTTCGAACTTTTTTCCACCTTCTTTTCAGTGGGCCCGTATGAACACTTCTCAATGCTGTACACAGAGGACTTCGTGTCAGTTTCAACATCTCCTGAGTATCGATGTTCTGAGGCTACCCGATTTTGATGTTCTAGCGCGTTCCTTCGGCTGTTTGCAGTTGGTCCAAATAAGCACTTTTCAGAGTTCCTATTTTTTCTATTTTCTTTTCAGTTCAAACATCACCATATCCAATCGTCCGAGCCCAACCGATTTTTGAATCCTTACGATTGCTTTCCTTTGGCCCTTTGCGGTGGGTCCGTACGAGCACTTTCTGTGATGGTTCGCTCAAGCCCATTTCGTCTCAACTTCAACGTCGCCTCAAAGTCTTCTCTCCAAGCCCACCATGTTGTGCTCTTTCGGACGCTTTCCCCTGTGCAGTGGGGCCGTACGAACACGTCCGCATCAAGCACGACCCCGGCCAGAGCGTCCTCGGCCGGACGCTCGTCCGGCTGGGGGGGTCAGATGCACCAGCGACCAGGCTGCTGGGCGCCCCCCCCTCGGCGAAACCGGGGCCGTCTCCACCGGCTTTAGTAAGTTTCGGGGGGGACCCAAGATCCGAAAGGAACGTGCTTCTTTTGGAGGGTCCGGAGTCTGCGTCCGGAGGGGCAAAAATGGAGTCGGAGAAGGGAGATGGCGTCTTAGACGGGGCAAACGGCGAGATTGTTGGGAAGGAGTTGGGGAATTCCGAGGCGGGGGAAAGGGGAAAAGGTCCCAAAGGGCAAAGTGGAGGGTGTTTCGAAGACTGTATTAAAGAACGGGCAGGACCGGAAGGCGGCGAAATCCTGGGAAGAGGTGCTTCTAGAGCGGAGATGAGTGGAGTGGAGGTGGGGGCATTGAACGAGATGGCTGCCAGATCAGGAGGAACATCCCCCTCGGAGTTTGCGTCAGGGAAGAAAAGGTCACGGGACGCTTCCGAAATGGGGGGAGCGGGGGAGAGCAATTCGGAGATGAGCGAGGGGAAGCCTGGGGAGAAAAGACCGCGCTTGACTTCTGAGAAAATTGAAACAAGAAGCGAGGAAGCAACGCCAGGGTCAGACATGGCGGGTAGCGGAAAGGCAGGTAGCGGATTCGCAGGGAGCGGAATCACCGGAAGCGGATTTGAAGGGAGCGCGATTGCCGCCCAACGAGACCCGGCTGTAGGAAGTAGCGTCGAAACGGGTGATGGGGAGGGGGGTCTAGATGAGCAGGAGATGAACACCCCTGGAAAGCCTACTGTTCGCTTGAACGAAAGCGAGCCCCACCAAAGTGAGGGGGGCATTGAAACCGGCAAGGAGACGCGGGGCGTCAGCGAAAGCACAGGCGGAACAATCAAGACGGATACTTCCGAAAAGGGGGGGTCGAGGGGCGGGGCTCCGGAGGGGGGGGTTGCAGAAGCAGGTAGTTCCGAAGCTTCCCCGGTTCGGGGGGGCCCGTCTCGGGCGGTTTCACACCAGAGCGCGTCCCCCAGCGGCAGGGCCCTCGGGTACGGTGTGAATAAGCCCGGGCCGAACGGGTACGGTTCCGCCCCGTCTGGCGCCCGTTCACACTGCACGAAAGACGACCCCGATTTTATCAACAACTATTACAAGAACTCACGGCTGCATTTTATTGGCACGTGGAGGTCTCGGTATCAGGCGATGGGGGGCGGGGAACAGTGGCGGAAAGGGGGGGGAAAGCCGGAGCTGCCGGCGGAGGGATCCCCTGCAGCGGAGAAGGACCGACTGATCGTGCACATTGACATGGTGAGAATTGGGAATATTGCAATACGGTCCTGTATCGAGTGTCCTGTCAGGTATGTGGGCTCGTTTCACAATTTCCGTAAGAGAAGGGTGGTCATTGAAGGTTCTTTGGCAGTTACCTGAGCGCCCTTGATCCACCCAGTTGGGTTTTGTCTATTGCTTCAGATTTAATGTCTGCTTTTTTCGCAGCCGCACCCGTTTCTTCAGGTTGGCTCGTTCCTTTTGTGGCACGTCAACAAGTATGGACAAAGTTTCTGTCTTCAAAGTGGTAATATGTCTCGGATTTTGAAAGTCGATTGTCCGGAAAGCCGTTCTGCACATACCATGAAACGCTGAAGGTACAAACTGTCGACTGCTCAAACGCTCCTCTCCCCAGGACTGTTTCTTCGTGAACGTCGTCGTTCGAGACCGTCCGGAGCTCTTTGGCAAAGCCGTCGCCGTCAGTTGGGGCCAGGGCGCAACCGGAGGGGGTTCGGGAACCGCCGAAATTTCGAGCGCCAACTACAAAGCGCGCGAGTACGGAATAACGGCCAGCATGTTCGTGCGCGAGGCGAAGCGGCGCTGCCCGGACCTGGTTATCGTTAACTACGATTTCGCTGCTTACGAAGAGGTGGGTTTGTGGGGCTGGCCAGTGCAACTAGTGGGTTTGCTCCACTTTCCTATCGTTCGAAAGCGATGTGTTAAGTAAGAGGATGCCAAAAGTTTCTCAATTGCAAGCGAGAGTTTTCCTTGCTTCTATGTACTTACGATTTGAACTGATCGTTGTTGGTTTCTTTGTTTTCAGGTCGCCGATAAGCTATACTCGCTGCTGCACCAAACGAGCAGCAAGGTCCAGGTAGGTTTCGCTCTCAATCTTGACACTGAGGTCCCGTCGTTACTCTATTCGCTCTGAGTTTGTAACCCTTACTGTAGACTCCATGCAAATGCAAAGCTGATGCTGCTTCTGGCCAAGCGCTGACTTGCTTGACTTTCAGTTGCCGCGCTTGAATCTGGTCGGTTTTTTTTCTCATCCCCTCTGCTTTGGTCCATAACTCCTCAACTGCGCTTTGAATCTGGCCGAAGTCTGATCCCCTGCCTGGATTTGATAGCGTTTAAAACGCGCTTCGATCTTCGACCGAAGGACGAATGACAGTGCAACAACTGCTTGATCGCGTCGTTGCAGGACCGGACTAGCTTAAGTTGAACCGGGCCCTCCGCATCCATCCTCTTCACCCTTCTGCCGGTTTACCAGAGAGCCCTCGTATGAATCTCTTGAAGGAACTAGCGTCTTTATTCTGGTTTTTCTGGACATGTGTTTATCATTTTATCGTTCACCGTGCTGTTCTTCTTTCATCGTTTATTGTGCAGTTCCTCTTTTCTTCCTTCATGTCCTTTTTCATTCTCCGTCTCCAAAACAACTCTCTTGTCTCTCAGGCCGTGAGCTGCGACGAGGCGTTTCTGGACATTACCGGCTGTCCGGACCCGTCCGCTCTACTTTCCGACCTGCGGACGCGCATCTTCACCGAGACGGGATGCACCGCGAGCGCGGGAATCGCGCACAATTTGCTGCTCGCGCGCATGGCAACTAGAAAGGCGAAGCCCAACGGGCAGCACCATATAGAGTTTGGACACGTGGCGGAGTATATGGCGGAGCTGCCGGTGGGGAAACTTCCGGGGGTGGGCTGGTAAGAATCTCGTGGATCTCGAGAGCAATTCTTGTCGCATATTGCTAGGTTTCCGTTCTTCGTTTAAGATGATCGATAGAATTTTGCTACACCGAGAAGCGGGAGATCCTGGCAGCTGGAAGACAGGGAAGGACGGAGCGCGAGGCAGGACTAAATGCAGAAAGGTCGGCGGATTTTGTCAGCAATCCTGTCTTCTCGAATGAAGTTATCTTGCAGCTTTTTGGTCTTTCAGTTGCGAAGCTTGTTCTATTCTTCTTATATCGTGTTTTGAAGGCAACGTGAAACCGCCACCGTCTAGATTGTCTACATAACCAACTTCTTGTTTCCAGGTCGCTGGAGGAGCGCCTCCGAGTGGCGGGCATTCACACCTGCGCCGACGTGCGTCGGGTCAGCAGGGAGGCCCTTCAGCGCGACTTCGGTGTGAAGACGGGCGACATGCTCTACTCGTACGCTCGGGGCGTCGACATCAAGGAACTTGAGACGAACCAGAAGCGCAAGTCGGTGAGTTGTTGGACGGGTGCCACGTGTCACTCTGTGGTTGAAAGCGACTTGAATGCAGATAAAGCGCGAGTGGGTCTGGCTTTCTGTCAATCTGTTGTGCTTAGATTCCTGGAATGGGAACGAAGTCCGTGAAACGTTGCGTTCGCTTGATTTGGTTTTTCGAAATGGACTTTCCGTTGTGCTTCCCTTTACCTTTGACCGGATTCTGCCCTTTGTAAACCGGTTGCATCCACCGTCCAAGCTTTTCTTTCCCCTTCTCACCTCAACGATTGATTCTGGTCAACAACGGTGATAAAACCGGTGGGGTGTGTTTTTCGATGAAGACGTTGTCGATCTGCGATCTTAATTGTTGGTTAATCGTAACCCTTGGCCTGTCATGTCCTAATCACAAACCTTATCTCCCTGCCAGGTGGGCGCCGAGTGTAACTGGGGCGTCCGCTTCAGCACCGACGCCGAGGCGCTCACTTTTCTCTCCAACCTAGTCACCGAGGTTTGCCACCGCCTCGCCGAGGCCGGGGTGCGCGGGCGCCAATTCACACTCAAGATCAAGAAGCGCAAACCGGGCGCGGGCGAGCCCGCCAAATTCATGGGCTGCGGACACTGCGACAATCTGAGCCGATCCGCCGCGGTCCCGGAGGCGACCGCTGACGTCAGCATCGTGGAGCGGCTGATCCGGCCGCTGTACCACGCGCTGGCGGTGCCCCCGAAAGAGATTCGGGGGGTGGGGATCGGGGTCACGCGGCTGGAAGAAGATACGGGGGGGAGCGCAAAGGAGGGGGGGATTAGTGGGTGGCTGGAGCGGGGGGGAAAGGAAGGGGGGAAGAAAGCGAAGGAGGGGGGGGAGTCAATTGGGGGAAGCGAGACTAGAGATGAACTCGAGAAGGCTCCCGTGGGTGAGGGTATGGGCGGAACTAGGGGCAAAATCGATGATGAATCTGCCCGTGGGGCTTTAGGGGGAAAGTCGGTTGGTGAAGGAGACATGAAGGAGAAGCGGGATGCGGTTGTTGCTGTCGGTTCTGGGGCTCTGCTCTTGCCCGAAAAGAGCGGCCTTTCCGAACCAGGGGGTATTAACGCCAGCACGGGGGCCCGTCCGCAAAAAGATGAGGTGCAAGCTAGCGACGGTGTAATTAAGCGCCCGGCAGAGCCTCAGAACCTGGCTCACGACGACGAGGAAATTTTTCACACTTTGGACCCCCAGCGGCGGCAGCATTTGCAGGAGATCAAGGCGGGAAAAGCCAGGGCGGAAGACACGCAGAATGAGCCCCCCCCTCCGCAAGACACGGGTAGCAGTCTGAGCCTTCCCCCCGAGACGGAACTGGATCCGGCGGTGCTGGCGGAACTGCCGGAAGAGATCAGAGCGGAACTCGAGCAGGCGTATCGGCAAAAGTTTGTTGGGGCGGGGAGCACAAGCCGGGTTCAAGAAATTGGTGCCAAAGGGCCTGGCATCAGCGGAACGGAAGGGGTCGAGCGGAACCGGAAACGGGGGGCTAGCGAAACGGAACGGGACGGCTTCGAATCGAATCCAAGTAGGAGCACGGTTAGCAAGAGTGTAGAGCCCAGGCAGAGTAGTGCCTCCATCGACAAACACGAGAGGGACTCGGTGGAAAAGGGGTTGGTCCTGCTAAACAACGAAACGGCGCTAGCGACCAGCGCGGCTTCTACGGAACTCTCAGTCGGACACGTGGCAGCGGCGGCGCCGTCGGATGCGCTAGTGACGGTCCCAGCGGGAGGGACAGTAGTGGGCGGGTTGAGTGGGACAGGAACTAGTGCGGGGGGCAGTAGCCCTATCAGCGCGCTTCCTCCAATGTCACAGGTACGACGTTCAGATCTACAGTGCCAGAAAAATTGCTCCTTGATTAAGGGGGGATGTCACGCTGAGACTGAGGAAGATCAGAAGCATATGGAGTTAGCGGTGTCCGCATCGTTTAAAAAACGTCGAATTATTCAAGAAATGGTGGGCAGAGTCTGCAGACCAACAACAACCTCAATCTTGCTTATCTGCTCTTAAGATAAGCTACTTAATCTTCTATTTGCGAACGACGTGTTGGATCACTGTCCTAGACACTTGTGTCCCAATAATCTCTTTGTCCTTGAATACGAACACCTGCTCTTCATATCAAACCGCATAACACGGTCAACATTCCAAGTTGCTTATCAACTTCAAGAAGAGGGTATGCCGGAGACTTACTAGAACGTTCCGTCCGTTGCCAGGTGGACCAGTCCGTACTGGACGCGCTTCCGCTGATGCTCCGAAGGGAACTAGAGCGGGCGTACGAGACGCGCGAAGGATCGCGCCTTCCCCTTGGTCCCAAGTGAGCTCCAAGATCCCTAGGATTCTCGAGAGCTTGATGTACGAACAGATCATCTGTAAATTTGCGTGACTTATTTTTATTCTTCGTGGTGTCGGGTTTATATTTTGCGCTTTCCTTTTGCAAACGGCCTTCGCGCCTGCGGTTGTATGCATGCTTTCTTCAATTGGAGAGGGTCGATTCCGATCGCAAAGCAGTCAGCAACGTCGCCCTTCTGGGCAGTACTAGAACCGGTCACTGGAAAAGGACACTTGTCACTCGTCGATATTCGCGATAGGCTTCCCCGAGTGCTTTAAGTCTACACACGGCCTTGATTCACCCGCTCATAGTAAGTATTATCTTCAGCTCCTTCCGGCTTCAAACTCATTCGCGTCCTCCCCCTGCAGGCGGAAACCGGGTCCGGTCAAGTTAACCGGCACCGTCTCCCGCGCCCAAAAGCAAGCGCGCATCACCAGGCCATTGCCTGCCCCCTCCCGACCTGCCCTCAAACCTGCCCCCAAACTCATGTCCAAACCCGCCCCTAAACCGGTTTACAAACCCGCTCCAAAACCCACTTCGCAGTCCGCTCCAGAACCGCATTCTCGTCCGCCAGTAAATGCAATTGTCCCTGCTTTAGAACCCCCCCCTGTCGCTAAGTCACCATCTCCGGTTCCTGACCCCCCCCCTCTGGAAGCCCCCGTTCCCTCCCTGTCAAACCTCTGGTCAGGCGACCCCCCCAAATGGATGCGCCTCTGCGCATCGGGCCTCGACGTCCTTCAGCCGCTTATGGACGTATACGTACAGCACCCCGACGGAGAAAAGCTCGGCTTAGCCGACGCGTTACAGGGCATGGCGCAGGGGGGGGTCCTGCCAGTACTCGCGTCCCAGTCTAGCTCACCCCCCCAGGGGAGCGCCCTTCTGCGGCTGCAGTGCACGCCTCCCCCTGGGGGGGAAATGAGGGCGAAAATTGAGGCCTTGAATGAGGCGCCAGTGGAAGCGTATGCGGCGGTTGTGGCGCAATATGTGGAGGGAGTGCTCGAGGGGGGTCTGGAGGAAGTGCAGCGCCTCCTGAAGACGCTCAGGAGGTGAGGGGATTTGGTACGGCGGATTTGGGTCCGCACTTTGGGCTCAAAAAGCGTGGTGTATGGGATTTAGCGGTAGGTATTCGAACGCATTGAGCGTGCAATTTGGGCTTGATAAGCGGATACTTTGAGCTCATCAAGTGCGCTGTAGGGGCCTCCTCAGGAGGCAGTCTGGACTTGATAATTGTGTGGATTGGGCTCAATAAGTCACGATTACGGGCCTCATTAGAGGGCGGATTTGGCTTGATAAGGGTGCAGATTGGGCTGAATAAATTTGCAGTAAGGGCCTCATAGAGAGGGAGGTCTGGCTTCTAATGCGTGCGCTTCGGGCGTGTAAATCTGCAATTCGAGCCTGATACGAGTGCGAGTTTCGAAAGGTCGCATCTCTTCAATCAGGCCGGACTAAAAAATCGGAAAAGCTGCAGATGTTCAAAAACAAGTCGATCTTTGCTGATCTGCTGATTCTGAAACCCTCTACTCTCCAGGCTTGCCGATCGCTGGAGCTTCTGGGGCGCCATCCAGCAGCGGGCCGAGAACAGCATCCAGGTAAGCTGACCCGGAACTCAGTCTGTTGAAAAGTTCAGTTTTCTGCTCCTTTGAGCTTCCTTAGCGTCTGACGCACGTGTTGGATTCTTTCAGTCTGAACGCCTTTGAGGCCTGATACGAGAAGAATGATTGCGCTTTGGAATATGCAGGTCAAGGTGCAGAACATGTACGGAGGTCGACTAAGGTTGTAAGGGCGGTTCTCATACGGCCATGTTCTGCGGAGCAGCGGACGAAAGAAGCAAGCATGATCGAGGTCAGGCGGTGGCTCCTCTTTCCTTTCTTCCGCATGCCCACGTTGATCGCCTTTGATTTCGGACGTTCGCGCTCCTTGTTTGTCTCTTCTGTCGCCTTAAAGATTTCAAAGAATTGACGTCTATGCGCTTGAACGGGCTGATGCGGCAAATGCTCTTTTAATCCAATGATATTGTTTCGATCAGGTGACGGACGCAGCCCTACGCGAAGTTTGGTCTCCTTCTTCCTGCACCTGGATTCGAAAAGCACGTTTTTGAATCTACATAGGACAATCCAGGTAGACCCTTATACCGTCGTTCGATGAAAAGAGCAGGTTAAAAGGATCGTTCAAGATCAGCCGGCAGCAAGTCCTTGGTCGGTAGCGACCGTCCACGACAAGATAAACGTACGGCTTAACAGGATGAGGAGTTGACTTTTGTAAGTTCGAAACCAAATGCATGCCTCTCCTTTCCGAAAGGTTCAGTTCTTGAATAAGACTTTGCAGTTCAATATTGAGCGATGGTTAGGTCAGTGCTCACATGCTGCAAATGCCGGGCAGCCGAGTCCCTTGTGTCAAGAATGGTATATTTGGAGCCCCTCAGTCAATCTGCAGGCGGCTTCTTTGTTTTGCATATGAAGAATTGTGTCACGTATATGGGCCGTTATATGCACATGATGGGCCGCCAACAAGAAGAAATCTTTCCGTATCCATGTAGCTGCCCCGGCCCTTCCACATCTGCTGAGACGCGCGGGCGCTGCCAGCATCAAAACCATTTCCTCGCGGACAAGTTTTTGTACATTTCCAATCAAATTGTATATGCAATTACAAGCATCCGACATGGTTCAATGTAGCCTATACATAGCTAGCCGTTCATATATACGAGCCAAGCTGCATGACGTCTGTGCTTGGTTATAATATCATTGTCACATCAAATTAACATGTCACAAGCCGCAAACATAAAACTTGAAATTCGGGAGGCGAAATGATCAGAACCACACATATTATATGTGCACAACTTATACCAACGATTTCAAAGGCTCAGGTCTATTGGATTTACAGTACGTTCAACTTTCTGCTCGTGACCCTGTGCCCACAGTGTTTGGTTGTATTTCGAAAGTACATTCCCTTCCGTGGTGGAAGGATCGGCTAGAGGCCCTGAGCCTTCTGCTTTGCAACAGAACCCTTCCGATCTGGATGGTGGTCCGCTTGCAAGACTCTTTGAGTGACTGCCACCACTATAGGTCCCTTCTATTGTCTGGTCCAGGCAGCCGCACAAAACATCAGCTGGCCGAGGAGTCCATACCCCTTGATGGCTACAAGGCAGACCTAGCACATCGGTCCTCTGTATATCTTCTGTACAACTGCTTACAAACCTATATATAACATATTGCTACTACTCTGAACTCCCTCCGCATGAAAAAGTCCCAAGAACCTTCACCACTCGACCCGTTCGCCCATCGCATTGAATCCGGCTCATGGACACTACTTCTTGTTGTAGCTGCAAGGGCAATAACAAGAACAATGACATTTGAAAGGCTTCAACTTATCTGGTTGGCAGGGGTCGAGCAGAAAGTGCCTAAGGAATCAACATCAAGAGTGAAGTGAAAGGGCACTCTCAGAGCAAGGAAATTGTAGGCTGCTCAGCCCACTTGAGTGCAGAGATTGTCAACCAGCAACTGGACTCACCCATAACGATCTTCTGCCACGGCCTGCATTGCAGATTTAGTGGTGGTTAGGACAAATCATTCAACAAACAATTGTCCTTAATGATTGTATGTAGGTGCCTCTTACTGCCATGTTTGAAGTGAAGGCACGTTGATAGTAGGACTTCATTGGATTTGACCATCTCAGGCTTGATCAACTGAGAAGGGATTTTATGCAGACAGGCAGGATGTTAGGAACTTTCCAGAGGCTTCCAAAACCCACTGCAGAGACGCAAGCAAAGGGGTCAAGCTGGAGAAAACCTCGTCCTCTGAAAAGATGGTTATTCAGGCACTTCCATATTCTTGTGGCCCTGCGAGTCATTACTCTTGGATATGGAGCTTACCTTGAAGTAAGAACCCGGATTTGAAATCCCCTTTCCATTCCCGTTGCTGTATGAATTGTTGTACCCATAGGAATTCTTTGCCACCGTGTCGAAGTAAGCGCTCTGTAAGAACCGCCAATGGTGGATAACACTTGAGAGGGGCTCTGAACTGTTACATTTCGCCACCTCTGTGATTTGATTTCTGAAGTCTGGCTTGCAGCAGCATACCTCAATCTTTCAATTCTATGCTTACAGATGTAGGGGAGACCAATGCTTCTAGAAAGATATAAGACAATGCTGAAAGATCAAGCAGTGCATAATGTGAGAAAAGCCAGACATTCTGGAACATTGGCCAGCCATTTTTCACAGACTTTTCGCAAGACGGTTCAGATGCAACAGGCAGACACCTCCAAATTGGATGTCAGGCCAGCAGACATACCGGGTTGGAGATCTTCTCTCCATAGCCATTCGAGTAGGTTGCATTTCCTTTTCCATCCCCGCCGCTGGTCCAGTTCTTCCCCTGCTGATAGTTTCCACTAGCCATCTCCGTGAGCGCTGAATTGTTGCGGTACGAAGTGAGCTGTTGGCAAAAAGAAATCTGCTTTGAAAAGAAATTTCTGCTTTGAACCAATGCGCTTTGACAGAAGTTCACTTTGAACCAGTGCGCTTTGAAGACTTCTGTCTGGCTTTGGCCGGACAGCTAACCTCTCACCAGAAACCCGGGTTGGTTAATCCTCTGACCATGTTCAGATGGTGTCGCGACTCGCACACTGTCCCTGAACTCCATGTCGACACTTTAACAGAGCGGCTAACGAGTAACCCTCCCGAGTCGATCCTGTCAACCAAATCAGCCGTCAGCAGGAGCTTCGAAAGTGGAGGAAAAGAAGAAAGCTGCCACAACTTCGAGTCAGTTGGGAGAAGTGGCGGCGCTACATCTAATAGTAATACCTAGCTTGCTTCCGAAGATCCTTGCTCTGCCTCTTCATCACACCCTTGCTGAGGTTGCAGTGCTGCAACGCGAGTCATTCGAAGCCGAAAGCAGGGGTTTTGTGCGCTGGAGGAAAAATGAAAGTGACGCCCCACTCACAAGACTAGGTTTTCCAGCTTGTTTCGAAGAGAAGTCAGAAAATGGAAGGACTGTAGCGTGGAGAAGGATGGCACAGACAGCTGGTGACTTTGAAGGAGAGATCAAAGGGATGGAGGGTCCAAGCGGGACGGAAGAGGACCTGGCAGGAAGACAGAAACAGGAGATGCATGGTGAGCGTCTCCTTTTGATCTTGCTGCTGATCTCTTGTTCAGAACATCTCATGTTCTTTGGACAAATGTCCAGACTGTCAACATGACTTTTTCCCTAGTTTTGAGAAAGTGACCAGGACAACCACTTGCAGTAGCTGAAAGGTGATGGAAGGTGGTACTAATGTTGTTTCCCCAATGAAGAGTGTTTGTTTTTCAATTGTTTTTGGAAGAAGAGGATGCTCAAAGAAAATTGGAAAACTTTTATTTGCTGTATCTGACTCCCCTCTTTGGCCTGCAGCCCTTCAAGATGCTCAAAGGAGGTTGCGCGACCGCCTCTCTCTCACGCGGCATCCTCTGCTGACGCTAAAGTACTTCTGCCTGGCGGTCCTTGAGTACCTGACGGAGACGCTGCAATATCTGCGGAGGCGGCGGTTCATGCAAGCAGTCCTGCTGTTGTTTGGTCTTGTAGCCAGCACATGTTGGGTCTTGGACGTTCCACAACACAAGGTGAGTGCGATTTAGCCCTTGTCAATATTTGCAATTTGGAGTGATGTGCCATTACTCTCAAGATGGGGAATGCTTACCCAAAAATTCTGGTGTGGAAGATGTGATGCCGAGTCTTTTCAAGGCAAAAAAACGGCATCTGCATCAGCCTCGAGGGCCAGTCGAAGAAGTGGTGTAGAAGAAGTGGTGTAGGATCTGAAGGTGGACAAATCAGAATCTGACGTTTGATTATTGATGCGAATGATGTTGATGAAAAGTGGTTGCAGTGGATTCTGCAGATGTTCGGGAACTTGGAAGTGGTTGTCAAGTCAAGAGCTGCTAAACAAAATCAAGGAGGGACTTTTGTTTAGCCATCTTCAGAAGCAAGGATCGAGCAAGTTTGATTCAAGCAGTTTTTCAACCGTGCATCCTGCAGTACATACATGAGTTGGTGGCAACATTCAAGTACGCAGTCTGGTGGATCCTCTTGGGGATTGCCTCTTCCATTGGCCTCGGTAAGCACGAGTGTCATTGTGGAAAGCCTTTCTTGGGAGGTCTCAAAAGAGCGACGGTAGTTATGTCAGAGACTGCCTTGGATCTGAGGGGAAACAGTTGTCTTTTGGGGTTAACACCTCGATGCTCGTCACTGAAAGGCTTTTGGAGATCTTTGCAATCACGTGTTCCTTGGCTAGGCAAGAGCGTTCGTTGTGCTGGCAGGGCGCCTCATGTCGACAAGAAGGTGCCTCCGTAGAGTTCTCGCGACACCTTCCAGCTCAGACAACCAGGAATAATCTGGCAGGTCTGTCAGTGACAAGCCAGTTTTCCTTCGTTGCTAGTCCCAAGTTCTGGTCGGGAACTGCTTTTGGAGATTTGTTGTTGGGAAGCACTTAAGGTCCTCTGAGCCAGATGCGTTGCCGTTGTACCCCACGATCACTTCCGAGGGAGTCATACTGTCTCACGAGTATGTTTCGTTCATCTGGCCCAAGATGGGCCTGAAATTTTGATCGGTGGTTTTAAACCTCGATCGATGAAACCTACCGGACTTACCAAAGGCTTGAGCTTTTTCTGCACGTCTATTTTCAATTATTTCTGTCTTATCTCGTGCAGTTTGCTTGGGTGGAGCTTTAGATCACTAATATTTTTTCCTAGAGCTTTTGGCACATCTCCGGCCCTCATCTGGTTCTACTTGTTCTCTGTTTGGCATAAGACTCTCAAAACGTCGTTAGGCTTCAATTTGACCAGACCCCCCCTCGTAACCCCTCTCAGGTTCCGGCCTGCACACCTTCGTCCTGTACCTCGGCCCCCACATCGCGGCGTTCGTCATGAAAGCCACCCAGTGCGGCCGCGTCGACATCAAGCAAAGCATCTACGACACCGCACAGTGGCACGTGGAATCCACATGGGCCAGAAAAAGCTGCGAGGACCTGGGCCCCCCCGCGTTCCCGCACTTTCCGTCGGAGCATGGCGGGTACAAGGTGCCCATTCTCACCCTGCTCCGGCAGGTCCAGGTCGAGGCGGTGCTCTGGGGGCTCGGGACGGCGCTCGGGGAGCTGCCGCCGTACTTTGTGTCGCGGGCAGGTGAGGGAGGGGGAGCGTCGAAAGCAGAGTTTTGTGAACGGTGGAAGAAGCTTATTGAAAAATGAAAAGAAGTGTTTGAGCAGATTGCTGAGAGCCTCTGTGATCCTGGGGGAGCTGCTTCGTCGCAGGTAGTTGAGAAAACGCTTGTTTTGACAACCTCGGAGCTCGAAGGGTTCGGAAGAATCGTAGACACGACTGGGTTGCACAATTCTTGCCGCATGTTTTGGGGCCAATAGTGGCATCTGGACACTTACCAGGTGAAGTTAGACATGCGCTATCGTCTCCCTGAGGATGAAGAAAGCGCCAGCTGATGGAAAGGAACCCTTCCCACTACAGCCTCAGAGGAGTCGCTTCTCTCTTCCCGAGCTTTGGGGCTGCTCTCTTCTTCTTCTTCTCATCAGCGCCTTCTGCCGTTCTGTCAAGTCCAGCGTACATGTCACCTGGCAGAGCATTGTTTACAGCAGGCACTGTGCTCAGAAAGGGCGAGAACAGTAGACGATCTTTCAACCGGAGCTTTCAACCTCCGGCAGGGGTTGTACACCTTTGTGTGGGTCAAAGGCAGCATATACTTATGATATCTCAAGAAAGCTCCAGGTTCGGGCGACAGAAACAGCGGCTCGACAAGAGATCAAGGTTTCGTTGCGGGTTCTCCTCTGCAGCGCGCTTGTCTGGGGAGCGGGTGAAGGAGCTGGAGGACCTCGACCGGGAAGACACGGAGGGGCGAGGAACGCTGATGGAGCGCGCGCAGCGGTTCATCTTCCACCACGCCAAGAACTTTGGCTTCTTCACCATTCTATTATTCGCCTCGGTGAGCGATGGTCCGCTTCTTCGGCAATGGCATTGCCTGTCCGGCAACGATCAACCAACAATTCCTTACGTGAGAGCACTTTAGAAAGTCATTGTCTGTTTGCGTCGGTCTGGCCAAGCAATCAACGATACCAGGCGTCTCGATGATGGTCTCAGAAATTGCCGGGCGCCAGTCGTCTGAATGTCTCAGGGTTTACTTCTGACAGCACCAAGGACCCAGATCACTTCTGTGAGCGGCAACGACCAGACTTGCGTAGGGTTACGTGGACTCATCGTCGGTGTCGTCACTTCCTGGATTTACGTGGACTGGTCGTTGCTTTCGTCATGTTGCTGATATAAATCGAGTCGGCTTTTTTAGTATTTTGGCCTGGGTGAGATCCCTTTTCAACCCGCTCCTTCATCTCGATAGTTCATTCCAGGACTTAAAGTGCCTCCCGTTCTGCCTGACAGGTACCTAACCCTTTGTTCGACTTGGCCGGTATCACCTGCGGCCACTTCCTGGTGCCGTTCGCCAAGTTCTTCTCGGCCACGCTGATTGGGAAAGCGATCATCAAGACGCACATACAGGTGGGCAAAGGCAACTTGTTATTCAGACAGTTTGTCTCGCTCTCAGTTGTTCTTAGGCTGGCATGCGGAAGCGACTCGAAGCAGAGGGACGAAGCGAATCACGGATGGCGCGTTGGTCTCTTGAACCCATATCTGGTCCGGTTGTTTTCTTTTCCTTGCGTCGATGTCGAAGCGGGGTGCTTTCAGGCTAAAGTACTTTGTTCGAGGGGTGCCAATTCAGCCGATGGCTCGGAGCCGGATCCAACGGCATGGAGATGTGCGTAGGTTTTGTCATTCAACCCGCTGAGCAGTCGGCTTGTGGCTTTTGCAAATCTGCTCCCGCTTTGTGGTCCTCGCAGTCAGTTACCCCAAGAAACATTGCCAATATTGACCTTCGCCCCCGCTTCTCAGTACCTCCCTCCCCCCTCGCTGCAGACGTTCTTCATCATCTTGGTGTTCAACGCCGCGTCCGTCGAGCGCGTCGAGCGCGCCCTGCAGTGGGCGATGAAGCACGCGCCAGGTGGCAGCGAGCGATTGGTCTCCCAGGTGCTGGCGCTGTTCGACAAGGCCCGGGACAAGTTCTCAGAGGACTCGAACGGGAACTGCGCGTCTATACCGCAACCCACGGTACGTGTTTCGAGCTGTCGGCATGCTCAGGAGCGTCATAACTGCAGCTTACCTAGATTTGCACCTGGAGACGACTTTTCTACCGTGCACTGTCCGCCCCAGCGAAAGCTGAGGCTGGGCCTGCTTTGTCAGGAGAAGGCCCCATGGTTAGGACTTTTTGGCGAGCCCATGTGGGGTCTCCGCTTATGGTGTTCCTCGGACTTGACCCCAGAAGCGCCGCGTTCCTCCAGGCCGGGCAGAAAATGCGTCTGTCTTGAAAACCCGTCGAGTACTTCGTCTTAGCGTTGTAGGTTGTCTAAGTTCTCAGAAACCATGTGTAAGCTGGTCAGCGGAGACTTTCCCCCACCTTTGTGTCGTCGACGTCGATCTTGGTATGACTGTTGACACTGTCGTTGAAAGCGGTGCAACATGAAGTGAAGCTGAGAGCTGATCCGCACTCTTGCGTTGCAGGAAAAGTCAGCGAAGCTGTCTGTATCAACAGTGTGGAACACGATCGTGACGCTGATGCTGGTGGGGTTCCTGGGATCGATTGTGACTTCGACGGCACGAGGTTATCTTTTTGAGAAGCATAAGGCGGAGCTATTGACACTAGCAGGCAAGCAGAAGGCAGAGGCGAGAGGCGATTCTTTGAGCGAACAGAGATTAGATAGATTAGAGAGCAAGGAGGCATAGAAGCTCATGCGGGTGATATGATAAACATTCTTGATTCAAGTCTGGAAGGTTGATTCAACGAGGATTACAGGAGCGGCTAGGTTCCGGGCCCCTGCGCTTGTCAAGGTCATTGGCGACACAGCCGGAACTACTCCAGTCAAAATATCCGACCCTCTTGTATACCCTCACCGTCCATCATTTTGTGGCCACGGGCCATCGATGTCTTCAAGTCGCCGCTTGATACACATGGCGGTGGCTATGCCCACTCATAGAAATTTGGCCACGGACCATCCCAGTATACGCGTCGACTCCATTCTATTATTGCATGGCATGCATCCACAAAACTGCGCCGATCATATCTGTTGCATCGTGCCGCTGCCAACAGAGTGACATGACCCATACGAGTCACTAGAACGACGATTCGGGCCCGCAATGTTGACCAGACATGCACTCACTATTCATGGAGAGCTGCATACGTGGCAGTATCCTCAGTACCTGGATTCGCTGCCGAGCAAAAGTTGCAAATGATCAGAAGAAAAGTCTGGCGTACCCTCAAGCTCTCCCCACGTCCGCGAGCACGAACTGTTAATATCACTCCATTGTCACTTAAGTATCATCTCATACTAAAGCTGCTCATTCATGTAACTAGGTACCGCACTTGCATCACATGAAAGCACGTAAACGCAGCCAACTCTGCTGATGATCATATCGTGACACCGCTGGCCTCTTATGCACCTCCTCCCTTCTCCCAAGGAGCTCGTTTTGCCGAGGCCTTTGCCGCCTCCCGTTTGGCTTCCACTTCCAGCCCCGCGGAATCGCGAAGCAGCTTTTCGATGCCGCGCAGCAAGTTCCTCACATTTTTCCCGTGGCCAGTCCAGCTTCTCTCGTTGTCATGACCGAGGCCCTTCATATACGCACGGTTGAACGCCAGCGACTCAACCCTGTTCAGCAGTTGCCGGACCCTCGCTTGCATCAGAATTGCTTCCGCCGGCGACTCTTTGCAAGCCCACTGAAGGTGCTGGCCCAAGCAGAGCAGAACGGAAGGCCACAGTTCCTGTGAGCCGTTCTTGATGTGAATCGCAGCCCTTTTGCTTGTAAACAACGGAATCAGAAACGCCGCAACCGAGCGAGTTCTATCGATAATGTGCTGGCCCTGTTCTGTCTTCTGCATGAACAAGCACAACTCCGTGGCAAAGGCCCTCGGGAACTGGTCGCATACGCTATCCAGCAGCTGAGCAGCCTTGCGGCATGAAGCTCAAAGTGGCCCTCTGCTTCGATGTGGTCAAGTCGTTCGGCAGAGATGACAACTTCGTTCAAGACCCACGGAGTGACAATCGAAGGCTCAGGCACTTCCGCTACAGCCTGCTGTTTCGTCATCAGCGCTTCTTCCGGAGAAGTTGCTTTCACATAATTGGAGTCAAGCTTTTGTAGCTGTTCAGGGGAGATGCTGTCTGCGCCAGGGCGACCCCACCTTGCGGTGTACCAGTCGGAGAGACCCATGGCGCTCAGAAGTGCGCCCATACGCTGTGAAGAAGTCACTTTTTGCTGAGCGTCAACTTGAACAAACACAACTGTTACGCGTAATACTTCGCGGCCGCCAAAAGGCACGCGGGCGCGGTTTGGAAAGGGTTTTGAGAAGCGAGCGGCTTCGCTGAGTCGCTGCATTTGGGGCATGCGGCCGCGGCCGGCGGCCCTCTCTCGTTCCAGATGATTCCGGGAGTGGGCTTGGAGAAAAGGTCCTAAGAGATGGTTCCAAAACGCGTCCTAGATGCCCGTCGCTTTCGTCGTGTTTATTCATTAAGTAAGCTCCTTTGAATCTGTGCAAACGTCGTTCTCGCCGTAGGTTTTTTGAGATCCGATCTGAAGAGGCGCTCTCTACTCCCGCCGCCTCTGCTTAATGTTCCCCCCCCGAGAGATGCAGACGTTCTTCATCAGTTTATTTCTGTCAACCCCTTGTCAGTCGGGCGTGGGGAACGGGCCTGCAGTCATAGGCAATGAAGCACGCGCCAGGTGGCAGCGAGCAATAAGTGGCCCGGGTGCTGGCGCTGTTCGACAAGGACGCCCCGGACAAGTTCTCAGAAACTTGAGATTGGAAACGGCAATACATACCGCAGCTCAAAGTCCGTGGCTGGGTCTTGTTGTCGTTTGTGACAACGACTATCTTCGAATCAGAAGGAGTTGTAACGGTGTCAGCTTGAATCGCCAGGACAACAAAGATGGCAAAGAGTTTAAGCCAATCCTGCCTTAGCCACGTAGAGAACAGGAACTTGCCAGCATCCATGCGCGATCTCGTCTCCTTGTCGTTTGAGCCTACTTGGAAGCGCCGGTTTTTCCAGCCAGAGCATAGAAGCCCTCTATCTTGACCCTTCCTTCCGTAACCTGCAAATTGTTTTCCACGATAAAGATATTATGCTGGATAGAGGGATTTGCCCCCGCCTCTTGAGAAGAAGGGGACGTCCACGTGGACGTCATTCCTGGTCGGACTGGTTACCCTGTCGTTTGGGATGCGGCAGTGAAACACGAGCCCATGCTGGCAAGTAGGAATGTCCAACATGAGGCTGAGAGCTGTGCTGCAACGTGTCGGTTGCAGGTGACGTCAGCGAAGCTTCCCGTATCAGTTGTATGGAACACAATTGTGACGATCATGCTGGTAGGATCCTTTTTCTCTCCGACGGCACGAGGTTCTCTTTCGAGAGTCATAAGGCGGAGCTATTGGTGCCGGCGAGCAGCAGAAGGCAGAGGCAAGACATGTGTTCGAGCGAACTGAGATCAAATATATTGCTGAGAAAAAAGAAAGCCTGTATGCTTATCATAGTAAAATCATAAACAATCTTATTCCACGTCGGAAAGGTAGATTGAAAGACTTTGCGCTTCTCACGTTCATTGCAGTGACCCTGATTTATATCAGTCCTCGCCATGTTGCGGTGGCAGCCGCACGCGCTTGAGGTTAAAATTTTCTACGCGACAGCTATCATCAAACGATTTCAGAAGATCCGTCCTCCACGGTATCGTCATGCGCCACGTACATGCAATCAGCAGATATGCGTCACATTTAGCGAAAACAAGAAGATGAAATTGAAAGGTAACTGAGACCATGGTATGGGCCCTCGAACCGATATCTCAGACTTCGTACCCTGTATAACAGTATATGTTTCCCGAATCTTCAATATGAATGAACCGTTCACGAGGACTCGAGTTCTGCGTGCCGGCCTACCTAAGTTTCCAGCCTGATATGCCTTAGTCCTGCCAAGTTCACTTCTTATCGCGCGGAATTCTTGGCCGGTACCATACTTTCTGCACGATCGAGCAGCCGTCTGGTAAAATTCCATCTGACGCCGCCATTTTGTATGCACTTAGCCTCCCTTTTCCCAAGGAGCTCGCTTTGCCAAGGCCTTTCCAGCGCCCCGTTTGGCTTCCACCTCCAGCCCTGCGGTCTCACGCAGCAGCTTGTCGATGCTGCGCAGCAGTTTCTTCAAGTTTCTCCCGTGGCTAGTCCAGCAGCTTCCTTCGGCTCCGTTGTCATGGCCGAGGGCCTTCATGTACGCATTGTTGAACATCGTTGATCTCATCATTTTCAGCAACTGCCGTACCCTCGATCGCTTGCACCACAATCGCCTCCGCCGGCGACTCTTTGCAAACCGACTGCAGATGCTGGCCCAAGCAGGTCATGAAAAACGGCCACAGTTCCTGAGAGTTGATCTTGATGTGAATTGCCGCCCTCTTGCTTGTGAATATATGGAGCAGGAACCCCGCAAGCCAGCGGATACTTTCAGTCAGTTGCTGGCCCTCCTCTGCCTTTTGCATGAACAAGCACACTTGTGCGGCAAGTTCCTTAGGGAACTGGTTTCCATACTCTCTCCAGCAATTGAGCAGCCTCCCAGCTTGAAGCTCAAAGTGGCCCTCTGCTATGTAGTACTCAGACTGATTGCTAGAGGTGACGATTTCGTTTAGCACCCACGGAATGACAATGGAAGGCTCAGGCACTTCCGCCACAGCCTGCTGCTCCGTCATTATCGCTTCAACTTCGAAAGAGGTTGCTTTTACATGTTTGGAGTCAGGCTTTTGTAGCTGGTCAGGAGAGATGCTGTCTGCGCCAGGCCCCAACCTTGCGGCGAACCAGTCGCAGAGACCCATGGCGCTTAGAAGTGCGCCCAAACGCTGTGAAGAAGTCGACTTCTGCTGAGTGTCATTTTGAACAAGCACATCTTGACATCTGCCGTCAAACTTCGCGGCCGCTCAAGATACACGCGGGCGCGCTTTCCAAAGGGTTTTGAGATGTACAGGCGGTATCGCGGCGTTCGGGTCGCGCGGCCGCGGCCCTAGAGGCAACTCTATGCATATGTCACAGTAGAGATGTTCTGAGAGATGCTTCGAAGAGATGTTCCACGAAACACCTCAGAGATGATTTCGAGATGATTCCAAAAGATCATTCCGATATGCCTGTAGCGTTCGTCAGTCATTTAATGAATGATCCATTGAGTAAACTATATACGTACTTCGGTCTACTCTTCTATACGTACTTTGGTCTACCAGAATGAAAATTAGGCTGGTTAGAAGGAGCCGCCCAAGCCTTCGTGAGATTTGCACGTCATTCACGGTCAGAGTGACTAGCTAGTAGGGTCATTGAATATGCGGCACGGTAGAAAAGAAATCAAGCTGCATCTCCTAACATGTAATCAAGCTGATCTGGAACATCTCGGTTGCAATCGTAGCTGAATAAGCTGCCCGCATAGATTATATGCAGATTAAAAGAGTAAGCTGCAGATGCATATGCTGGTGGCGTTCCTGTCGATCAGATTATTACTTCGACGGCACGAAGTAATCTTTTTGACAAGCAGTATATAGTACAAGGCGGAGCTGCTCAAGTTGTATCTGGAGAGCAAGCAGTGGCCAGAGGCGAGAGACGAGTGTTCAAACAACCTAAGATCAGATCTAGAGAGAGTACAGAGCAAGAAGGAAGCATGAATTTGAAGCTTATATGGGTAACTCTCATAAGCTTCCTTGAGTCACGTCAGGAAGTTTGATTCAGCGAGCTTTGCGCTTGGGCTCACCTTCATATTGCGGTATAGCTGAAGCCATACATCTTTGACCTTCAGGGTAAAGATCCTAACCATCCTCATCATGTGCGGCGGCAGCCCCGCGCGCCGGGCGGCTTGAGGTTCTCAGTTCATCGATGCGCAGGAGCTATCTTTAATCGACTTGACATCACAGTATTTCTACTCGCCACACACATGCAATCAGTGAAGGATGCATTATTCCCGGCAAGTAATACTGGGAGACCATGGTTCGGGCCCGTTCGTTGATGAATGCTCACAATACGAATCGTACCCGAAGGCGGGCCTGTATAAGTTGTGGGCAAACTTCAAAATGGAGTGATCCGACCATGAGGTCTCAAGTTCTACGTACTCAACTGAGTACCTAATGACTTCTTAGCAAGACATTCCTTGTTTATACTGAGTCTATATACATATCTGCACACAATATCTAGCAGGGAGACCACAATTTTGCAAGGTTAGTAAGCAGCGCCTTTACAGCCAATTCCGCCGCCTTTTATGCACCTAGCCTCCCTTTTCCCAAGGAGCGCGTTTTGCAGAGACCTTTCCAGCCTCTCGTTTGGCTTCCTCTTCCACTCCTTCGGTGTCACGCAGCAGCTTTTCGATGCGGCGCCGTACCTTCGTCACGTTCTTCCCGCAGCCAGAGCAGCCGTGACCGAGGCGATTCATATACCCATCGTTGGAAATCAAGACTTTCATTCTGTCGAGCATTTGTCGGACTCTCGCTTGCATGAAAATTGCTTCCTTCGGCGACTCTTTGCAAGACCTTTCAAAATGCTGGCTTAAGCAGTCCAGAAAGGAAGGCCACAATTCCTCTTCGCCAATCTTGATGTGAATGGCCGCCCTCTTGCTTAGAAACAGTTGGAGCAGGAACGCCGCACCATAGGAAACCATGTCATTAATCTGCTGACCCTCCTCTCCCTTCTGCATGAAGATGCACACTTCTGCAGCCAGTGCCCTTGGGAACTGGTCTCCATACGCTTTCCAGCAACTGAGCAGCCTCCCGGCTTGGAGCTCAAAGTGGCCCTCCCCTTTGAAGTAGTCAGATCGATCGATGGAGGTGACTACTTCGTTCAAGATCCATGGGATAACCACCGAAGGCTCAGGCACATCCTCTGCAACCTGCTGTTCCGTTATCAGCGCTTCATCTGCAGAAGCTCCCTTCACATGAACAGAGTCACCTAATTTGTGGAGCTGTTCGGGGGAAACGCTGTCTGGGCCAGATCCCGGCCTTGCGGCTAACCAGTCTGCAAGGCCCATGGCTGCGATGGCGCTCGGAAGTGCGCCCAAGGAGCTGAAGCACGAACTTCAACAAACACAGCTCAACATCTGCGTTGGTCGGTCATTGCCGCGCGTCGGCTGCGCGGCCGCGAAAGGAACACGCGGGCGCGGTTTGGAAAGGGTTCTGACGCTTGCCGCCGCCGGCGCGTCGTGACGCCCGTATAGTGGGCGCGGCTTCGCGGCCGCCTCCAGTCGAAGCGGCGCCGCCCGACGGCGCGGCTCAGCTTCGAACCTTCCTAGAACCTCGCTAGCAAGCGACTTAGGAACTCGAAGACTACCGCGGAGTCGACGTAGAATCTACGGTAGAACGAGGAGGCTCTTCGCAGGAACAGGCGAAAGAAACAAACCGACAAACTTACAAAGGCGTTTGTGCATCTCAGCCTCAGGAGCTCCTTTTCAGCATTCTGTCTTGGTTCTGAACGTTGTTAACTTTCCATTCCCGTCTTCTGTGTCCAAAGTGACAGCGCGCATCCTCCTTATCAGCGTTCTCGGAACTTTGTTCAGCGGCTTCACCAGGAATCCTCCAAGACCATGGCCACGACTGCGGACACGGAAATGGTGTGGCCAGAAGTGCGAGTGAAATTGGTCAAGAAAGGCCAAGGTCCGCAAGAAGTCGTCCTCCACCCGCGCAAGGGGTATACAGCTGACACGATGTTGAGGGACGTTCTGGGTATGTGGCTGCTCTTGTTTTCAAGTTGTCCCTCCTCTTCTACTCGGCCTTCCATGTTTGTGCCCGTGCTGACATGCAGGCTGCAATGATGCTATGTTGAAGAATCGTACTTTTCAATCGTGAGCTTGGCTGCTGCAAGCGTCACAAGAATTTCAAAAGCACAGAGCTCCAGCAGTGAATGGTATCCAGGACTGAGCACTTTTTGGGTTCTTCAGGTGACACGTGCAGGAGAGCTCAGACCTACTTTGACGAGGATGAATTGTGTGCCATGACCGTAACCGGCCTGCATAACGGCGTGTATGACGAGGTGGATGAAAGTGCGTGGAAACTACCGCTGGCCGGTAAGGTGGTCGACTTTTCGAGCAGCAAAAGCCTTTCGTTGAGCTTGGCTGAATGCAACCTGCAAACAACAAATTTGTGGCTCCATCTGCTCTAACTTGACAGGTTCCTACATCTGAATCTTGATTGAACCACAGGCTATATTGGCAATGGTCATAGTTGGAACTTTGGTTCCGGTTGAGCTTGGGCATGGGGCAAAGGATCGTTCCCCCCATTCCGCCAATGTTAGTGACTGTACTTCCTGAATCCTCACACAGAGATCGGTTTTTTGGAAAAAGCGACATTCAGTGCGGTGTGCAGTTACTGGACTTTTCCTGAGTCGCAAAGGGGCTATTCATTCTGCTAATGGAAGCCGGCGTCTTGGTGTCTTCTGAGTGTGGCGACTTCTTCGCAAGGGGAGACGTCAATTCAAGTAATGCCTTCTGAATCAACCATTCTTTGTTCTGTTCGCTGCAGAAGTGTTCCCTGTGGTTTCGACGTTGATTGTGCAAGTTGTGGACAAGCGTCTTTACGCTGAAATCCGTAAACTGGAGGAAAGTTTCAGCGAACACTTCGAAGCTCTGACGTCCCGGCAGCCGATATAAAGACCTCCCACTGTACTTGCCGAGAGGTGCAAATTTCGCTGGATACATCTTTCAACTCAGACTCTTTGTCCAGAGTTGTCAGCTGATTGAGAAATATTCATCTGGTGGAATAGGAAGCATAGAACCAAAATCCCTCGGATATCGCTCCTGTCGCCTGACTATGACAGGCAGAAGCGGAGCTGAAAGTGTGATGCAACCGAACTTGCTTTCAGATATCCAGTGCATGCATCAGACGCCGGGACCGTGAAATCTTGCAAAAAGCATGATCAGGTCGAGTCGTACGAAAGTAAGAAAGTATCACATGCGAATGTATCATTCCAAGCTGTCCTGGATGAATTAACGGCATTGAAACTACTGACGGTGTACGTCGGTTGGCCGGCGAGTGTTGGAACTTAAAGGAACATCAGGCCGCCGTCGGGCCGCGAACGTTGTGTAGGATGATGCAGTCTATGATATATGCATTCAACGCAGACGTGCACAACAGATAGGTACTGATATATGGGGTATGTTCAGATGGATGGATGGGGGCGCCGCCGCCCGGGCCTGGCATGCCGATGTTGCCTGCTTGAGTGTATCATAGCTAGTCTCATGTCTCGAGTTAAAACTACAGGCGATCGAAGTATTTTATGAGCGTGACTCATGGTCACCTCGAGTTTGATCATGCATGGTCCATTATGATATCTGCCCGGGATGCACCTATTGTACGTCAGTCTAAGAACATGCTGCATGCACCAGCCGTTCAGCACAAGGCTCTAACGGGCATGCGTGACGCATCCTCATATTAAATCGCATCCTTCCAAGTGCCAACCACCATTGCCATGCCTACAATGGGGCGCGTCAAATAGATGGCGTCAGCGGCACTCAAGTTTCCGAACACGTGGATGCGGCACTACTCAACACCAGCGGCCGAGGCGATCATTGTACACATGTGCGCTCTTCGGCCTCCATGCAATACCCGTTTTTGAAAGTGCAAACGGTGACGTTTTGTGGGCCAGCAAAGCCATAGCAATTGCTTCAATGTTACATATTTGTTGAATGTTCCAGAATCGGGCCTGCGCTGAATGAGGGTATTCCGCACGTTGCCAGAGTCGATGCGAGCCAACAGGAGTCGATCCTGCTAGCTGGCTGCTGCCCCCGCGTTGGTAGCAACAGCAGGCTTTGCGGCGTCGATGACTGGAAGTAACGTTCGCCATACGTCCGCCGTGTCGTTTGCAAGACGCGCCTGTAGAAATAACACGAGTCTGGTTTAAAAGAATTCTTGGAAAGCTCCAATTCCTCATAGGATGAGCGATGATCACTTAGGCAAGTCTCTGGTTGAAGACCTTCCGTTTGACCCAGAACAAGCGAACGGCGCGTCCACATTTTGCAACTCGAGCAATTTCGTACGCCGTCTAGATCCTTATTGCAAACAGTGACAGCAAAGGGTTCGTCTTAAAAAGTCTCTGCGAGATGCACCACACGTCTCATACAACAATCAATTGTTGACGCTGGTACGTCGGGCCGCTATTCAGGCTTCGCGAGCCGCCCTCGAAAATCTCGAGAACGCATCCGCCTCACCTGGCTGGCCGCAAAGTCTCGCATGACTTGGCCCAGATCTCGCGTCTTCTCCTCTTGGAACCGCGCCATCTCCCCTCGCATCCGCTCGACAATCAGGTTGTACTTCTCCTTCGCAACATCCGCTTTCCGCTCCCCCTGTTTTCAACAAGAGCGACATTTACATCACTACCGTCTTCTTAGAGGTGTTTGCGGCAGACGTGAGTTGTCAAGTTCATGGACTCTGACCTGCCAACGCGCGAGAAGGGCCGTTGGAATTGCGCCTGCTGTCCTTGTGGCTCAGTAGGAAAACCGGACTTCGAAACCGAACTTACTTTCGTACATCGCGAAAAGCCGGGTCCGCAGTCAAACTTCTTCCGGCGGCAACTTGTATTGGTGCTTTGAGCAACAACTTTGAACGCTCTTCCTGAAGGCAGCACTTGCCAGAAGAAGAACGTGCCTGGTCGACTGTTTGACAACGTGATCAAAAGACGCATTCGGTATGGACTTCGGGAACTCAAGAGGTAGCCTTTCCAGCAACCCGAAAGCATACCTCTTGGATCTCCCGCTCAACTTCCGCAAGCTTGGTCGCAGGCGCGGCCGGCTGCGCAGACCGAACGCGAGCGCTGCACGAGAGGACCCGAAAGGACCTGTCTAACTTCTTTTGTGGTGAATGTTTCACTTATAAACGCTGATCGAACGACTGAGTTTTATAAAAGAGCCAAATTTTGACCACAGCAACAAACCCACACACCCATAGAAAAACCGAAGATATCCAGTAAATATTACTTCTTCCCCTGTATGTTGCTCATGCTTCTTGTTCTATCGAAAAAAGTTCGCGGGCAGAACGAGGCAGTCTGCTTCCAGCAGTCATAGCGAGACTTGATCAATTTTACGTCGGGACCCAATGAGTCGCACATGTTCGTACGCAGGTCTGCCACGTCGTGCTTCGTTAGCTCTGCCGATTACGAGTTGCAAGCACCGCAGAGTCGTCCTCCGCCAACCGAACCTTGCACACGCCAAATTCAGCTTGAATTACAGAGAGGCGCTGTTCACAACTTGACTCGCACAGGACTGTCTCGGAGGCTTTGAAGGGCAGGCTTCTCTGACGACCATGCTACTCAGTCAGTTGCTTGTGGCGTCACCAGAATCCAGGACCAGAAAAGAGCTCGTGTCAAAAGGGATCACTGCCCAAGCAATTAAGCTTTCAACAAAAGTCGAGACAGCCGCCATAGAGAAGAGCACGCTTGGCAACACGGGCTCTTTTACAACAAGCTCTCAACCATCTGCTATTAATTGTAGCAAACCAAGCGACAGCGAGAGACTCACAGCTTTTGCTTCTTGGCCTCTAGCTCCGCCAGCAAGCTTTGGTGCGACTGGAGGGCCTGCGCTCGATCCGCCATCACGTGCTGCAAAAGCACAGTCGACATCTGTCAACAACTTGAGCACCCGCAACCACGTCCGTAAGTTTTCCGCATTTGGAACAGCCTCATGAGGAAGACGGTGAAAGGCGTGCCCCCACGTAAACATGCCCCGCCGCGTTCATTTGGCAAAAGCCACGCACTTCCCAACTTTTGTTGATTCTCCGGACGAAATGGCAGATAATCTCTTAAGTAAGCTTGAGTTGGCTATTGGATGCCAGCAAAGTAGGTTTCAGGTACACTTGAGGTGTTTGAGCCAGCGAAGTAAATGGTGAAGGATCAGCACCCGCCGTCAGAGCAGTCAGATGAAAGTAGGAGCAACCGCACAAAGTAGCCCACCTTGATCGAGTGCACCATCCGAACGTATTCCCGCAGTGGTTGTTCGAAACTCAACGTCAGATCGGCTGCCTGAGAGTGGCAAAAGAGCGGTGCGTTTGAGTTGTTGAATGGAGCGATTTTGATTGTGGCACGAAGTTTTTGAGTTTACGAGAATTCGTCCCTCGCAGGACAATCACTTTTTCGAGAAGCACAGAAAAGCGCATCTAAAGCCCAAACGTCAGCTCGTGGGGAAGAAGAAGAGCGAGCAGGTTCAATGCTGGCGGAACACAAGACGACTTATCTTGGTGACGATGAGATAACTACTTGACCTTCCCGGCTGCGGCTTGCCATTCCGGCGCCCGCCAATCGCTTGTGTCTCAACACCCTTAGTTGCATCAAAAATCTATGCACTGACGTCAGTATATGTTCAACGACTCACTGGCATCAACAGAAAACCGACTCGCAGGATTTGTGGCGCGCTCCTCACCTGCTTTTCTGACTTTGTCGACAGCACGTCCGACCGGTTCCCAAGTTCCGTAAATGCCGCCCCCAGCCGGCCCCCCTCGCAGCTGCCCAAGTGGATCACCGCCTCGCCAAAGTCGCCCAATGCCGTAGCCAGCTCTGCAGGGATGCGTAACAAAGTGGGTTTGGGTAGCGGATTCCCAAGACTGGAAGTAATCACGCTGGCCGAGTTGAAAGCCTGTCGACAGAAAGGCTCGTTTAGAAACCAGCCATGACTTTCGCAACGCTGAATCCCGAGGTCTTGGCTCATGCTCATGTACAGAAAGGCAAAGGTTCGTCTCGTAGCGAAATCCAGAATTCCCTGCAGACGACAAGCGTAGGATTCAAAGAAAGCGAGCATCTTGCTGCCTTACTCGCTGGTCGTGCTGAAACTCGATCCTAGTAATCCCACCGTTTCGTTTACCCGAATCATTCGCTCAACTGCACGACTTACTTCGCGAGCCTCCTCGTCGCTTACGAGTGATTAGAAAAGTGAACCCTGAACCCGTCGGACCCACCGTTACGCCTGCGCACAAGCGGCTTGCTCTAGTTGCGCGCCTTCCTTTCAGAGAACCCTCCAGCGAGAGCACGTAGCGCCGAGGCTAGCATTGATTTGCGTGCTGGAATCCTAAACCTAAGACCCTCCTTTGTCCTGCGGACCAGTCGTTCGCTCAGCTTGCGTGCATCCTCCAACCATCCCATACGCAAGCCCTTGACTGCTTCAGGCTCTCTTAACTATTCGAAAAGTCAGCGGCAGGCAGATTGAAACCTTGCAATTCCGCATTGTGAAGTTCAGAAACCCCGAACCCACCTTTGTGCCTGCGGACCAGCCGTTCGCTCTACTTGCGCGCCTCCGCCAGGTGTCCCTTATCACGAGCCCCTGACTGCGTTGGGCACTCTCACTCCTTCATAAGTTGAACGTAAATTCTAGGAGCTTGAGCCCCGAAACTCCGACGTTCAAGTTCTTGACACCTCACACCCACCTTTGTGCCTGCGCACCAGCCGTTCGCTCTGCTTGCGCGCCTCTGCCAGGTGTCCCTCCAGCGCGAGCACGTACTGCTTGAGGCTCTCGTACTCCTCGTCCTTCACCACCTCGGGGGCCTCCTTTCCGAGCACCACGTTCGTCACGCTGCTCTGCACGCTCTGCGCTCGCAGAGGAGATAGATTGGTGTAAGATTCATGACCGAGAGAGCTTAATTCGAGATGGTCTGAAGATGAATTTCCGATAAACGCCTGGACCTCGCGCTGCTCTGCACGTTCTGCGCTTACAGAAAGAAGAAACAGATCTTGGTAAGAAACAGGCTAGCATGTGTCTTCTGACGCACGTCTGGTTTGAGAAGCACGTTCTGCGCCCATGAAGCGAATAGACTGATGTAAGAAAGAGGACATCTAGAAAAGCTCAGTGTGAACAAGGTAAAGTCGCTTTTACGACGCACGTTCGGTTGGTCACGCTGCTCTGGTTGAGACCAGTGGGTCAAGAGAAGTGTTCAAAACGTCAAATTATGCTGATGAGTGCAAGCACGTTCGGTTTGTCGGCGAACGCAGTTTTGTCCTTGTTATGAAAGTTAGCCGATACTCCATGTTGTGGACACTCTAACCAATCAAAGCTTACGGGCGAACAAATTCAGAGTAAAGTGCGTTACGTTTCTCACGTCGTTACGATCCAAATCATTTTCCTCTTAGGTTTTTGAATCTCCTTGAAGAATTTTCAGAATTGTTACCAAACCTCAGAGTGTGGCAAATTGCCTTCTGTTTATTGCAAAGTCTTATGAGCAATGCGTGCGAACGACAACCAGAAACTGCATTAAGTAAGCATCGCTGATCGAAATGGCAAATGCAAAATCATGACACGCTCGCAAGAGTCCTGTTAGTGCGTCGGTTCCCGCGAATCGTTTGCCACTGACCTTGAACATGTTCAGAAAGTCCCGCGGCTTCTTCTTGAGCATGCTCGTCGTTTCTGTGGCAGTTCGCGAGGTCTCCACAGCCTGCGGCAGAAGTGCAAGCGTCAGAGACTGAACTTCAGGAAAAAAAAGGCGCCACGAAGAAAACGGGCTCTCGACAAAGTCGGCAAAAACGGGTACGGAGACACCCCCTCTTCCCTCAGGAGAATGAAGTGTGAAAAAGCTTGACAAAAAGGCAGTGCACAGAAGAGAGAGGTTCGTCCAGAGGCAAAGTCGCTCGAACTTTGTAACTCACAACCTTCAATGAGGACTAAACAACAAACCCGAGCTTCCCAAGAAATGCCGAGCATCTAGTCAAGCGATATCATCCGCTGTCAAAGCAACAAGGCAACAATATATCGAGGGCACCCCGAGAGAGGTCGAAGACAGGAGGATAAGTGCCCAAACACCCACTAGAGTCCTCGTTCGCTTCCAGGATAGCTGCAAAGTACTCCTCTTGTCTGATGCAAACGCTAAGATTTCACCAGATATTTCTGCACCCTCAGGGACGAATGACCCTTATCGAAGGAAAAGCGAAGCATTGCAATCGGACGACCAGCGCTTACCCAGACGTCTTCGTTCGTTCTTCGCAACGAAGAAAGAGCTGCAAACCATCTCTCTTGTTTGAACGGAAACCCTCAAAATAAAAAAGGAAGAAAAGCAGAAGTCTTGCCGTCCAACCAATGAAGCTTACCCAGACGTCTTCATTCGCTTCCAGGAAGAGTTGCAGGTCGCTGCTGTGGCGCAACATCTGATGGGCTGCCACCCGGTTGATGAACACGTCCAAAGCGCGCCGCCGCTGCTCGATGAAGTCAGCGCTGAACCGGAACTTTTCTGCACCGGAAAGAAGAAACGTATTGCGATTAATAGCAATTTCAAAATTGCTTCCACAGTTATCGGGACTTACTGGGGATCGCTGAGGCGTCGTACAGTGGAAGATGTTTCTTCGATTGGGGATGTATCAAGCAGCGCTTCCTCAATCGTCTTCCATTTCAGTTGGGTGTCAAGTCAGTGAGACGAATCATTGGGGGCGGGGAACCCCCAATTCGAAAATGTCCATGTCTTTTATGGCCAACTTCGTCAGGCGAAAGCTTTGGAAAGCCTCAACGCAAAGTCAGTCAGCGACCTAGGGCGCCCTTAAGGTACCTACTACTAGTGCGTTTCTATCGGACCCATTGCTGCTAACACCATTCAACTTCCTCGCCAAGAGTATTCCACCCACCGACAACTATCATTGTGTCGACCATCAAAATGCCTTCCCCTAAAAAAAGTCTTAAAGAAGTGAGAAAAGAGGAAGTAAAGGGAGCGCTATTGCTTACCCATGGCGTTCTTCTCTGGGAGTGGGGGAATGATGGTGCCATAGTTCTTCTCGGCCAAGCGGTCGTGCAGCCAGATGAAGTCACTGAAGCGGCGAATGACCGAGAATTGGGGAAAGCGGTACTGAGGGAGGCTGGTCTGCAATTACAACAGGTGAATCGAATGGGTTTGAGGTGTCCGTAGAAGCTTCGGGTGAGAACCATTCGAATAAGGAGGTTTACAGTCTGCTAGTAATTACATCGGTGTGGACTGATTTCTGGGCGTCCTGACTGAAACATTCGTGTGTTTCGACAGTCGTAAATGTGACGACGAGATGTGGAGGAGAACATGGAACCACCAGGGAGTATCGATGCACCTAAAGAGAGCAGCAACAAAACGAACGAACGAAGAGCTCCTTCGTGTTGCATTCGGGATGAGAACGACAACCGATCTGTGCCAAAGCTTTTGGACAAAGGTCTACTGCTTGCAAAGACAACATTACACACGGCGGGCACTGGTTGGTTTCTTTCGGCGAGCTCTGTAGGGCTTTGCAATACCACCATGAGACCATAATCTGGTTGATTGCACAAACGTTCCCACCTTTGTGCTGACACGGTAGGAGACGTATGCTTGCACTCCATCTCCCTGCTTGACTGGGTCCGACACAGTGATCTCCAGGAGTGCGGCGCTCTGGCTGCTGCCACCAGAGGGCTTGGTGCCTTCCACTCGCTGCACAGCAAGAACCTTGGTCTCCAGAACTAAATGAAAACATCCCTCTTTCTTTAAAGAAATGTGTGGATCAGCATTTTTAAGCTCTTGATTGTTGAAGGTATTTCAAGTAGAGGTTAGACGCACAAGCAACTGCCACCAGGATCAAGTTATTGCGGCAAGATGCCAGTTTCGAAGTGTCAGAAAATGAAGATTCGGGCTGCAGATAAAGTAACCCGGAAGCGAACTCCTGACCTATCACAATCCAAAGCGGAGCTAGATAGGGGAAAGTTCGTGCCAGAACTATGGCGCCACTGCACACTCTTCACTCTCCTCTCATTCAATTCTGAGCCACCACTCAAGGGAGTCCCCCACAGAAGCAACCATCTCACTTGTCGCCCTTTCTTGAAGACTGGGAAATCAGCGTTTGTTCCCCAATTCCTGCAGCAAAACCCTAAGCGCACCACCATTGGCTGGCCAACCCCATGGCTTCACAACTTACCGAGAACATTTCTATTCAAACCTCAGGTGATCAAGGCCTTGAAAATCAGAGCTGCACCGCAAGACGTACCCCCGATGTGCTGGTGGTCAAATCAGATGCTGGTGCTGCTCGTGGTGTGACGCTGGCTTCGCTGGCGCCAAGGGGGCCCCCGTATGATGTCATCGTTGATTCGCTGTTCCGATCGTTCGACTGCAAGAACTTGGGCCAAAGCTGTCAGGTTTTGCAGTAGGTTTTGCTGTGTTATATAAAAGTACCAAAAAGTAGCTCATTTTGAATTAATGAAATGACAACTCTAGGAGCGGATGCGCGATTGCGCATTTCAACCCCTTGCTAGCGAAACCAGATTCTAAGATTGTTTGTAATCATCTTGGTGCACGCATTGACGAAGGCATCAATTACAGACACACAGGAAAGAGATCCTGAAATCACTCAGCTGGTCCTCACAACCTATTTTTCACCCACCTCATAGAATTGCGTTTCATCCAGAGCTGAGAAGGCCCCACTCTTCTGGGCTGCGCCCTCCATGGCGTCACCGTGGAAGTCCGTTGCAAAGTGCAAACCTGTTTGATTGCTCTAGAGAAGAACGAAGTCCAGCTGATCAGAGCTCTTATGTCAATGGCTGCGAGCCAAATGCACCCATGATTGCCAATTGGGCTGCAATGGAGTTCAGCTTGTGAAAAGCCATGGCTGCAGCCTGAAAATCCGAGGAAGAAAACATTAAACGTGCTCGCATCGCGGCCGCGCGGATTCAGGCTGGCGCGGCCGCGCCATCGCACGGCCAAACTTATGGCGGGAAGACCGACCAATCAGAAGCGAGCAGGTTTCAAAGTTGTCTTTGAAGCTGTGAAACTCTGAGCAGCATTCATTTGTTTTCACTTCAGATTGTCGTAGTTTGCAGGATACATATAGGTAGAAGAGTGGGAGAGGACGCCCGTACTGAATGGTTTCCAGCTTGCAGCGCCCCTACTTTAGTGTGGATTCAAGAGCTTGCATTTGTCATCATCAGTCCTGCAAAGCTGTGCGCATTGGTATGATCAGACCCAGGTTGAGTGTTCCGTTGAGCTAGTTGTTCTGAACGCTCTGCCACAGCTTCACTTGGCTCCATGTAGGAGCCTTTCGGTGGCAGGTGCTATTCCTGAGATGAGGAGCGACTGGAATGCGACAAGGCTCGTTTAAATAAAGCAATTAAGCAAGCGGTCAAGATAACCTCAAAAAATTGCAGGAGCAATGAAAGCTAAGACGCTGCAGATCCTGTGGCATGGGAAGGATCCTGTACTGAGCCTGGACTTCCATCCGTCAGGCTTGCTTGCTACGGGGGGTGCCGACAAAGACATTCGGGTGGGAACACGCGCCTTCATGCATCCGCCACCACATTCAGTCTATGATGAATACCAAAAAGCACCAAGAACGATTGACTGCAGTACAGCAGGCCATGCCAGTGAGAGTATCCTCTTGTTTCCAATGCACCATGTTTGGCAACACTTTTTGAGTCCAGCACACATACACTAAGCTGCATTTGCTTCTGCTCATGAATCGCCCTTTTTGACAAACCGCTACTTCACAGCTGTGGCAACTGGAGAGAGACTCTGATGGCGCGCCAGTGGCAAGCTTTCAAACAAGCCTCAGTCATCACAACCTGCCCGTCAACATCGTGCGCTTTTCACCCACAGGTAAGCTGAAGAGACTCTTTTGCCTTTGGCAGTGGACTTTTGCCATAATCCAACTTTCTGTCAGGATCAGTTGCCACAAGGATAACCTGCGGTGATCCGCATGTGCTTCATAAGATGCTTAGATACTCCTAAAAAGCTGACTGAATGTGACACGTGGTCTGACTTGCAGGCGATCATCTGGCGTCCGGCGGTGATGGTAAGTAGAAATGCAACCCCCCACCACGTGAGTTGCAAGCTGTCCAAATCCAGAGGCATCCGTCGAACCAGATTGTAGCTTCGCGAGCCTCACATGCAAGTACAGCTCATGGGGCCGAGGATGTGACTACTGGCATATCTGCTCAAGGTAGAGGTTGGAGCTTGCGTTGTGTGGGGTCCATGATGAAGAATTTCACATGCCTGCTTGTGCAGGGGGAGAGCTTATGCTGTGGAAGCTAGTGGTGACGGCAACAGGCTCCTCCATCTGGAAAGTTGTGGCGGTTCTGAAGTAAGTTCAATGGACCTTCGTGGATCGCCGCTATCACTTCTACAATTGCATCTCATCCATCATTCCCTCAGTCAAAGTGATAAGAATGTTGCCTTGAAGGGTGGCCAGCCGGGCTCCTTTACGCCGAGACTTTATGGGGAAACAGGAAAAGGTTTGGACGGACTTGGAACTTGTTCACACCTGACCTTCCGACATCTATCCTCACACTGGGATTCCTAATGCTGCAGAAACCATTCAAAAGACGTGGCAGACTTGTGCTGGTCGCTTGACGGCGCATCTCTTGTTACCGCCTCGGTCGACAACTCCTGCATCATCTGGGACGTTGCAAAGGGTGAGCGTCACTGACGACCACCAAGCACACTTCTTTGACAAAGACAGAGCGGCTGATTTCGACCAGCCCGCTGGCAGTCTAGTCAGAGTCGAGGACGTCCTGGCATTATTTCTTCTGTCAGGGCATGTGGTGGTGGCTTCAAATACTAAAGCCTTATGTGTAGACGGCAGAAGAGTGTATGATGACTTGTAAGCAATTGGTGTGAAGGCTTGTAAGCGATTGGTGCAGGCCCGAAACTCTGCCGTTCACGAGCTTGATCCTACCCGCACATTGAAGAGCTAGACATTTTCTTTTGATCACTAAAATCACAATCAGGACAACATTGAGCAACCCGAGCTGAAGAGGTCACCGCTGTTGCCCTCCTGTTGCCAGGCTCCGCCCGGCAGTTTCTGGAGGGCCACCAACACTTCGTCCAGGGGGTGGCTTGGGACCCCCTGGGCCACTTCATTGTGTCTCAAAGCGCGGACCGCTCGTGCCGAGTGTATGCGCCCCAGCCTCAGGGCAAGGGCAAGCAGAGCCGCAGGGGGGAGGGGTTTGTGCTGCAGCACACACTGGCCAAACGGGAGACAGCGCCAGGGGCGGCTGTGGCTGTTGAGCCGGCAGGGGAGGGGGAGGCAGGGCCATCAAAGGTGGGGGGCTTTAGGGGTGAAAGCTTTGTTTCTGAGTGCATGTTGATATGATTACAAAATCAGATGGAGCTGGATCTCAGGGATCTAGGAGCTCGCTGTAAAGATGTTCAAGAATCCCTCAGGTGAACAACCATGTTTATTTGAAAGCAGGGTGAATACGAACTGATCAACTTTTTGGAAACCGTTCATTGTGCCGCTCCGTCACATTTTTCCAGCCGGTAGAGAAGACCTGCTGGCACAACGCTTGTCGCGGAAGTTCGCGAGACCGTACAGAGTGCCTGTGCGCGAAACTTGGCTCCAATGTTCCTGCTCAGTTGTCATCTGTGCCCTATTCCAGCTTTGTGCCATAATGAAACCATGTGACGCGCAAGCAGCCCAGCTCCAATTTACGGTACTGAAGCGCAGAGGCTTGTTGGTGCAGCCGGGCCCCACCAAGCACCACATGTTCCAGGACGAGAACATGCCCTCTTTCTTCCGCCGCCTCGCCTGGTCCCCGGACGGCTCTTTCCTTGTTACTCCCGCAGGTAAGCTGACTTTGATCAAGAACTTTTTTGATCAATAACATGATCGGACTCGAGATATTCTGGACTTCGTTGTGGGCAATAGGATGGTGGATCCAAGAGACGATAAGCAGGTTTGGCGGGCAAATGCATGCTGATATTTGACTCTTAAGAACAGTAACCTTTACTGCACATCACTAGACTTCAACCGATCTAGCAATTGTCGGCTACGGCTTGAAACAGTGGTCTGATTCATTTGTGCAGGTCTCTACAAGCACACAGCTGAATCTCGAGCCGTCAACACTTCATACGTCTTCTCCCGCAAAGACTGGTCCAGGTGCGTTCGATTCTGCACTTCTCAATCTGTGCAGTGAGACGTTCATGTATAAAATTTGAAAAGGCACAGTGCAACCCTGCAACCCTGGCTGCAACGGTAACTACTGCTTACCAATCAGCTCTGAGTTCGCTGAACCTCACACTCAGTCCACTCCAGGTTAAAAGACTGGAGCAATGCTCTAAGGACCTCTTCTTTGGAGCAACTGCTCTTATAAATCCTTTCCATAGCTTGTCTCTATTCCTCCTCGTATGCAGCCCCGTTATGCACCTCCCAGGCGCCGGCAAGTCCGTAGTCGCGGTCCGCTTCTGCCCCAGACTCTTCAAACGCCTCCAAAACTTTCCGGCCGTTGATGGCGCCCCAGATCTTTCGACAACACTTAAGTTGCCCTACCGGCTGATCTATGTGGTCGCTACTTTGGACTCCATCTTCCTGTATGATACGCAGAGGTCAACGCCAATCGCGCTACTGGCGGGGCTGCATTACGCAGCAATCAGCGACGTCGCCTGGTGAGATTCTTTCGCAATTTTTATTAGATCGTAGTGGCAATTGCGGACTAAACGCTATAAGATCTAACGAATGACAGCGGCAATGGCTGCAGTACAACTTGACAGAGTTGCCAGATCTTTTCTGTTGCTCAAGTCGCATTTTTGCCGTTCGTTTACTCGTAAAGTCCCTTCAATCGTCATGGTGACTGTCTTGACACTTCGGACGGGTGTTTCCCCTGCCGTTTCGGCATCCGACAGACTGCCAAAAGAATAGATTTAACAAGCACTTAGGGTCGAGAAGCGGGGCGCACCGGGATCAAACTGACTTTCTATTAACTGAGCTCCCGAGAAGGTCAGCCGATGCCTGTCGCTCACTCATTGGCCCGTTCTAACAGGTCTGCCGACGCCCAGTACCTGTCAATCGCGTCTCAGGACGGCTACTGCACCGTTGTGGCATTTGACGAAGGGGAGCTGGGGGAGGTGGTGCCACTCGAAGGTGAGCCGCATTTACGGTTTCTTTGATGGAGCCTAGGGTCAATGGCAGGACGGGTACACTTGAGCTTTTGTCTTCATGCGACTTCGGTGTAGGCGTTTTAAGACTTGCCCGACAAAGGCAGGCTTCGAAGCCAGCTCTCAGCAAGGCAACAGCCAGACCGAACGTTTCGAAGTACTTCATGAAATGAAGAAACTGTTTCGGAAGATCAGAAGGTCATGCCAGTACGTACGCGTACACACTCGTGAATCGACAAGACCTGAGCTGAGTACTCGATTTGCAGAATTACCAGCCCATGTTGCGGAGCACTTGCCAGAAGCATGCCGTTCGCGAGCCGCAGACAGCGCGGCAAAGGAGAGGGAGGAGGCCGCGGCTGGTCCGCGAACAGGTGAGCACCCGAAGTGTGGTCGACCCGCTGTCCCCTTGCGTGAGTCATTGGCCTGCGGTTGCGAAAAAGAGGAAGGGGGACTCTAGAAGCAAAAGTGAGACTAACCAAAGAGCGGTACTGGTCATTGTCTGCAGATTCAGTAGACCTGACCGAGGGGGACGAATCACCAGAGTAGTACCTTCCCACCGACACTGCAGCCGCCGTTTGAACGATCTTTTAGGATCCTCATCGTACAGCCTCCGTCCACGCATTTGTAACGCGTTCATGTGGACTAGGACCTTCCTTTTTCCTCTGATTCGTCAGCTCTGTTTGGCTTACGAGCGTGTCACGCTGCCCGCAATGACGGAAAGTCTATTTCGACGCTTGGAACTTCTTTGGCGAACTACACCGCAGGTAAGACTTTCCCTCTGCTACTGAAGAAACCAAATGCCACTCAACAACCATACAATGTCCCTGAAATCCATCTAACAGCGCTTACATTCCTCCTTAGGATCCGAGGAGAGGACGCCTAGCCCCGAACAACAGCCACGTGTCGCCACCGCAGCAGGCCACGTTGAGTCCTCCGCCAAGCGTCCTGCCGAGGAGAGACCCGAGGGCGCGGACGCTCCGCCCCAAAAGCAAGCGCGACGAATCACTCCCGTCGCGAGCGCACCCGCGGAAAATGTGCTCGACGCGGCCGCGGCCGATGGGCCGGCACTTGGTGTGAAAACACTCGAGCGCGACTCAAGAGCCGGTGAGAAAGCGCCGCGGCGGATCACTCCGGTGGCGAGCGCCCCAGTGGTCGAGTCGGCGCTTCTCGGCGGGGTCACCTTAGCGGAAGGGGCCTTTGGAAGCAATGGGCACACAATGACGGCAAAATCTTCCGCAAAGCCTGCCGCAAACGTGCCGCCACCCAAGAGAGTTGTGCCGCTGTCGGTCGTCGAGCTAGCGGGACCTAACCCCGCGGCTTCGCTTAACCCCGTTGTAAGCCCTCAGGCTGTTCCGCTGCCGCCGAAGCGGATCGCCCCAGTCGCCGTTCCGCCCTTGGACGTAGCGGGTGGACAGGAAGCGAAGAAGCGGCGGATTACGCCTGTTACGGTGCCGGCTGGGGAAGAATCAAAGAGCCCCTTGGACGCAGTCAAGCAAACCCCCACGGTTACGAAGCCCCGAATCCCCGAGCCTGCCAGCCAAACCACCGAAGTTCCAAAACCGGTTAGGCGAATCACCCCATCCCCGAGCCCCCCCGTCGAGGACGCCTCCTTGACGACCCCCGTGAAGGGCCGTTCCGCTGACGTCAGCAACGGGAGCCTTGACGTCAGAGAGCGTCAGGCATCGCCAGCCGCAAAGGCCTCACCGGTTGCCTCTGGAGCCTCTCCTGACGCCAGCGGCGTTCGGAGCGCAAAGCCTATCCGGCGCATAAGCCCCTCGCCATGCAAACCCGTGGCGGGTTTGGAGGAGCTGGCGCGATCTGCGAGTGTGGAAATTGCGAGGGCGTTAAGCGTAGAGCCAACCGACAGCAACGAGAAATAACTGGTTAGCAGAAGTAGCTAAACATGGCACTCTTTGTCGGAGGTGACCTATGTGTGCCAGGAGAGCAAAAATCGGCCCTGGACGACTGCCGGATACAAGCTGACGTCGTGGCAGGCGCTTCTGCCTTGCTAATATGGTGAAGGAGCACTTGCCGCCGTAAAACGAAATCTGTTGACTGCGCCCAAGATTCGTCAATCTTGCACCTGAATCGTTCTGCATGTCCCGCTATACAGAGCACAATTGACTTCACGCAAAAGGTCAGTGGGTGTATGCCGGTGCAGTGATTGCTCTGTTGCATAATTCTCAGTCATTGCCTTGGACGATGCCCTCAGAACACCACTCGTTTTACAGAATTAATGCGCTAGTACCAATCACCGCCTGTATACACTACAGCTGATGGTGCAGGGTATTATCCGGACTTTAAAGATGGTATTAAAACCATGTGCGTTCCATGTGTCAAGGCCGGCTACCTTCGGCTGCATGATCAATGCGATCATTGCAGCATTCATGCAGGTTGCTTGATGTCGAGCGCATGCTCCGTACATGATGTGTGCACGTGTATATGATGTCAAGCCTCTTTGCTTCGCATGTCTGATCATCATATGCTTAACTTGAAACCACTGTACTATGATCGACTGACTGCATCGGGGTTTCCACGATTCATTGCAGCATGTATACGCCCGGCCTAGCGCGAACCGTACAGCTTTGAAACAACTTTCATCAGATGCATAAGCTCTGGCAACGCACGCATGCGGGAGCCATGGGATACAGAGCTAGTTTGAAATGAAATTGCAGTGGTCGGACAACATACGCAACATCTATAGCTGGCCGGTTGTCCAATCCAACTTTGAATCATTCAATACGTTCAATACGTTCAATACGTTCAATACGTACGTCAAAAGCAAGGCTGCACCGTGCATGACGGTTGCGCATACCTCTGAGATGATTCACACAATGAAACCCTGGGTTTCAGCAAGCACTTTGCGTTACTAGATGTGGCGATTCAAGAATCTGATTCGAGTCCACAGCTTGATCGAAGTCCATGCTAGGGCACTAGGATTTTGAAGGCGGCTATCATACCTAACACGCATCTCCAAGTCGTCTGCGAGCTATCTCTCACATGTACAGCTCTGACGCGGCTGATCCCTACTGTAGTCACATTCGCTTTTGTGGCTTGTATGTACAATAAGCTTAACAAAGTACTGTACAGCCTGCATATACCTTATGGGATGTCTTGAAGCTTGGTGAGGCAACCTGAAATACAAAAGAAGAACATCATGAGATCCCGGTATTGACAGGCTTCGTCTCTAAGCAAGCTTCGAGTGCTTGCACCTTGCATCCGAGCTCTTCTACCATGGACTAGGTTGTCCAAGTAAATAAGATATTTGAAATCTGAACGAACAAACTGGGTCCTCAGGATCAAACCTTGGATCAGTCAATCGGAGTAAAAGCTAATGAGCAATGAAGGACCACAGTCCTAGCACGTATGGCCAGATTTACAAATGCCAGATCCTAAAGAATCACCCGGTCAAAGCAACGCCAGTGGCATAGAGACAATTACAGCTGACAAGAACCAATACTCCTATGATGAGAAAGCAATTGTGTGGGTAGCTTACCAAGATCAGCGTTCCCAGCAAGGTCCCACCTCCAGAAACAGAGCTTGACAGGGCGGAAAACTAGTTGGAGTCTGCAGCTTGACACCTGCTATCCGGAGCACCCCTGCCTGAACTGAAGTAGGCTGCCTCCACTTTTCTGTCAGGGTCTCCTTGCCTGGTTATCAACATCCGGGAGTCAAGCTTTGGCTGGAATGCGACTTCTCTAACACAGTACTTGCTAGCTGTATCTTCCTCCTTACAGAACAATAAGCACGGCTCTAAGGTACAAGCTATGCTATCTACAACATGTCTATGTTTAATTGAGCTTCCTTCAAAACTTCCCCAAGTGGTTGCCTTCTAGTTCACGCCTCCACACTGACTACCCTTCTGGCTCGCCTTACAGGCTGATAGTCCTCATCACCGTACAACCAGCTAGGCCGCAGAATCAGTGTTACACCCCCCCGACTGGACAAATCTGCCCCCTGATCTTGACAGCGCTGAATCTGTTGCCACATTTCTACAAAGGTTTCCTGTACGACCGAATCCCAGCTCTTGCTGACTTGAGCCATTGCCCTCAAGTTCTGCATATTCAGAGGCAGTCGAGCCAAGATTTCCCGCGTGACATCACTGGGCAGGTTCGTGATGTCAGAAGTAGTGGAATCTTTAATGGTCGCCTCCTTAGTTAACACTGCTCCTACTGTCCCCTTCCGGAGGGTTCGGCTGTGTAGGCTCTCTTGTCCATTCATTACGTAATGAAAACGGGGGTCGGGCGGGGGTCATGAGCTGGGCGCTTGACAGGCTGAATCGGACTCTGCAAATCAGAAAGGTTAAAAGCACAATTATTTTAACTGGCGTATCTGATTGGAGATTCAGCACTTGTGACAATTACATTGAAAATCGAACAAGAAGCCTATCAAGAGCGTTGTTTTTAACACTAACAGTTCTTCTGGCTGGCGCTGTCCAGGGCAGAAGTACCACGACACTGGCGCACTTCAAGATTGACCTCTCGTATTTATCCTCCACCATATTGCTCAATTTGGCAAAGCACAGTGTTACTGCATAAGAAAGTACAATGTTCTCAAGACCATCTAGCATGACTGCCAGTGAATAGCTAGGCAAGGAGTGACTGCCACTCGGTGTACACACAAGAGAGACGAAGAGCCAGCAGTTGGAGCATGCAGCGAAACACAAAAAACACCCCGCAGGATTAATCAGACGACTCACCGTTCCCAAGGCACCATGGGAGGTCCCACAGCAAGCATCAATTGGGGCACGATGATACTAGGAACCGACTGTCAACAATTTCAGGCAAAGTTGACACCAACTGTCCGTCATCGGCTTACGTCGCGGGCCACGTCCTGGGAAAAAACTCAGCATCCACTAGCGCAAAGGTTTGCAGCCCTCCACAAGCGCTCGGCCTCTTCACAAGCGCCTCCCCACCTTTGTCACCGGTAGCCATGAACCAAAGCAGTCGCTCAGTCGGGGCAGCACACCCCTGACATCACCAGCTGGGGCTCTGAACGAGGTCGAACGTGGCGGCACCAAACAGCGGGATCATCCTCGTCGGTTTGAACATGTTGAGAATGGCAAAAGCGGCGTAGCTTAAAATTTCAAAATATTGGCCTCTGAAAGCACGCAAGTCACCCGATGGCCGGCGAATTGCTTCTTTGAAAGTTCCAGCGCGGCATGCCCTCGAGGGTTCGCCCAAATTTGGGGTGCTGAGTCAGCGCCCATTCGGCTGACTCACTCCTCTTTGGGATCGACGGTAAGCAAGGCGTATAAATCTCATCGACGGCAATGACGGGGGAGCAAACTGCTCCTTACTTGGAACATTCACCGTCGGATGCGACACAGGGGAAGCTTACAAAGCCGTCGATAAATTGCGATATAGAACGTTACAACGTTATTGTAACCCGTTGCGTTGGTTGATAACCACGACGCCAACCAACCTTGCCCGTAGCTCTGAGACTGCAACTGTAGCAACTGCAGCAAAAAGGCTGAAAAAGCCAGAGTGCCAAGCAGCAAAGCTTTCAAAGTTTCAACGTTCCGTTCAAGGCGCATTGTCTTGAGCTGCTATCGTCTTGTTTGTGGGAAGAACCGTGGATATTCATCTTTGTTCAGCAAAGAGTATTTCTTCCAGCAGCCCCGCCAGCTGAGTCCGTGCCTGTAGTGCCAAAAGCATTTGCGCATATACAGGCGTGCATTGGCACATATGTGATTCACAAAGTCCTTCTCGGCGCACTGATCGAGGCATTGCGCAAGTATTGAAATTGGCTCCATTGTTCATATGTTGTTGCATCCGCCCTAACCACTGCTGGAACTCATTGGATCATTTTGATCCGCAATGTTCAAGAAGGGTCAACCAAAAACTCCAATCAAGGTGCCAGCAGCACCTTTGAGCAGGTGGGCATTGCGCTATATTGAGCTCTTATTTCCATCATGCTTCTGCAGTCGTGCGATCTGAGGCAGGACGTTGTGGTTGAGTAGCAGTTTTAGGGTTTGCTCATTCCAGCTGCACCTGATGCTTGCAGAGACATCTATGGGTTTGCTGTGCGTCCCCAGCATGCTGAAAAGTACAAGGAATACGGGCCAATCTACCAGGTACGCAAACAGCTTCTTATCACAGCTTCTGCTTGTCGGACTGAAGAGATCTTGCAATTCTTCATGCCTTAGGCTGTCCTATCGATATAAGTGTCATATCACATCAGTTTGGGAGCTGATTGCCTGAAGTCCACTGGCAGTGGCTTTTTAGGACATGATTATGGATGTTGACTGTCTTTCAGGAAGAGGAACGCGAGAGAGCGGAGCGATGGGAGAGCTTTCTGCAGAGAACCATCTCCTCAGCTGACAGTGGCATGCTAAGGCCCGCTACTCCTACTAACGCTGATCAAGATGAGCCCGTTGGTGAGGAGAGTGATGACGAGCGGCGGAGTAGAAGCCTCAAGTCACAGGCGTCCAATCTATCTGCCAGCGGCTCTGAGGGAGGATCACGTGACTGGACTTCGCAAGTGCAAAAGGAGTGGCCGAGCTCTTTGCGGATGTCCCTTTGGCCTGTGGAAAGGGCAATCGACGCTCGTGACAAGAAGCGCGCGCGCCAGGAACGGCGGCAAGCAGCAGCAGCTGCGGGGGGGACGCAGCACGAGGTGACCGTTAATGGCGCAATTGAGTCGGAAGCTGACGGAAACCAATCAGAGGCTGTGGTGGAAAGCGCAGACGGGGTGCGAGTTGACGGGACAGCAAATGAGAGCAGCGACAATGAGAAGGAAGAGGAATGTGCGTGGGAGGATGAGCTGCGAGCGCTGGTCAAAGGGGGGGTGCCGATGTATCTTCGCGGAGAGGTATGGGGCCACTCTTTTTTCTCGTAGTCGATGGTACTATCATGAATTAGTTCATAGGCATCAAGCTGATCAATGCACCGCACTATACTTTGAAAACTAGAATCTTCTCATTATGGTGACCTGCTGCAGAGCCCTCTGGAAGTCGAGTTTGAGAGTGGACACCCCTTTCAACGCCTTGGTTTCTGGTGGAACAAGTCAACACAGTCAATCACACCTCGCAAACTGGTCCCTACACTCGAGGAACACAAGGTCCATGATCCTGCCTACCTTTCTGTACCCTGATTTTTTTTCTGAGGCGCTGATCTCGTTGTCTCCCTGTCTGCAGCTTTGGCAACTCTTCGCGGGCGCAAAGAAGCGCCAGGTTCCAGGGCACTATCAGGCGCTTCTGCTGCTGTTAGCGGACGGTGGGGGCAGCGGCGACGGAGTGGGGGGGCTGCTGGAGCCCGCGAAGCTGGACCCGCAGTCCCCCTACAAGATCAGCCAGAAGGACGAGAACGTGATGGAGAAGTGGACGGCGCAGATTGAGAAGGTGAGCTGCAAGAGTCAGAGGGGGGGCCCACTCGAGGGAGATAACAGTACAGTTTTAGGGGCTTAACACAAGGTGCAACAAAACCGCCCCCCTGATGAGATCCCAGCTCACATCCGGTGTTCAGCGGTTAAATTTGTTAGTGAGGTCTTCAGATGCTTATAGTTCTTCCAAAAGCAACCATGTGAAACAATGGCTGAACGTGATGGTCGGATTCTAGATACGAAAGTCTGCTCGATAGAAACACAGCTCCGTCTTGCTGATGGTTGGTGCTAATGTTGACGGCCCAAATATTCGAATGCAGGACCTGCCACGTACTTTCCCTGGCCACCCCGTGCTGGACGGCGGCGGGCGGGATGCACTGCGCCGCCTGCTGACAGCGTTTGCCCGGCACAACCCTGATGTCGGGTACTGCCAGGTCCGTGCTCCTGACTTGCTCCACTTTTCTCGCAAAATCTTCCCCTTCCGCGCAGATCCTAACCAGTCCGCGCAGATCTTAACTCGTATCTGTGCTCCTGCTGATACCCGATTGCTGGCTGTGACTCATTCCATGCCATAAATCTGCAGGGGATGAACTTCCTGGCCGCGCTCTTACTCCTTCTGATGCCCGAGGAGGCTGCGTTTTGGTGAGTCTTTCGGACGACCTTCAGCTCTCACTCAAATACTGCCTCCCTCGAGCAAAGGAAGTTTCTCTGTTTTTGGCCACTGGTTGTGGACTTGTTCCGTGAACGGTCAAGCGAAGTTGCGACAGGGGGCTTCTATGAGCAATCAGCCACCCGTATGAAAGGCGTGCAGCCTTCTCTTTGCAGGACATTAACGGCCCTCGTTGACGATCTGTTGCACGGCTACTACTCTCACAACATGATCGAGGCTCAGGCGAGTTCGAAGTCCCTCGTTGCTTGTTGTCTCGTCTGCATTCCCACTCATCCTTCCTTCTCATCTCCTTTCGCTTGCTCCCAGTTGATCGATGCCATTTCTATCAGCTTGCTCTGTCGCAACTGGAAGCTGTCAACTTGTTCTGTCCATAGAGTTCCCCATAGACGAATCCAGCAATGAGGACGGGGTGCTGTCACGGATGAATACACAGGGAGGTGTCAGTCCAGGATTGAAATTGAAACTGAAAGCCACGCAAATCAATCACAATCCTCGAGCCTACTGGTGCAAACGTACTCGGCCGCGGCAAAGTGAACCGAAGCCAAGTGCAGATGTCAAGCGCACTGAGTTCAACTCGCGGCTCAGCTCGATTGGAAATTCGACCGAAGAAGCGAGCTTTTCATTCCGCTTGACTTCGACAGGCTAACGAGTGCCAGTATTCCGAGCACATGACGCACAAGGACTCAACGATGTTCGTAATCGCCGTGGTGCAGGTGGATCAGCTCGTGTTGGAAGAACTGCTGCGGTTACGATTCCCCACCGTTGGTGAGTTCCAATGCTTCTGAAGCAGACATTTCGCTGGATCGCTCGCTTTCTTTACAAGTACAGCGAACGGATATCCCCTGCATACCCCCCCGAGATCTCCTCGACCCTTGCTCTGATTGCTCCTCTCGTCCACATTCACCAATGGAGGGAAAACCACCTCTAAAATTCGTGTCGGTTGAAAGCTACCCCTGCTCGCCGCTACATTGAGCTCGTCAAATTACAGCACCTTCTATCCTACTACTCCTCCATCAAGAATTTGTGTTTCACCAACAGAGCTGGTTCCTCCTCCAACCACCTAAAGGATTCTGTAGGCCGAAAAAGTGAAACCTGCACAACGCACGTCTCGGCAAATGTCGCCTCTCTCCGCGATTGCAGTGTCGCACCTTGACACTTTGGGCGTGGCCGTTCATTGGGTGAGCGCGCCGTGGTTCCTCTCCGTGTTTGTCAACGTGTTGCCGTGGGAGAGCGTGCTGCGCGTCTGGGACGTGCTGCTCTTCGAGGACGACCGGACCATGCTCTTCCGCACCGCGCTGGCGCTCATTGACATGAACGGTGAGCCTACTTCAGCGTTTAGCAGATCTTTGCGTTGGAAGGTTGCTGTCAGATGCGGTGGACCTCTGGGTTTGGGCATATCAATATTGAGAGGCTGCTTGAAGGATCTTGAGATGTCGTGTTCGGGTGTGAAACATGTCTGGGTATCGACTCGCAGAGACAATTCTTTGCGTTTAGTAATCATACGAAAGCTGACCACCTTCCTTCCAAATTGTCGTCTGATCCGCTGAAGGGGATCCGCCATGTGCACTGGTTATTGCAGTGTGCGCCTAGCAAAATACCATCTCGACATCAACACTATCCACAATATGCGGCGCAGGTCTTATAGCTTAGCGAAGTGCACGTCAAATGCAAACTCTTGGAGCACGGGTTACCGGAGTCTGTCCCCTCCTTTGCGCTGCTACCATCGAAGTCGTGTCTTACTTGGATTTCGATATTCAGTCGCTCATTTGGTAGAAGAGCTCAAGCTCAAACACTCGGCAACGATGTTGACGCTTCATCTCTGTTGCGCAGCACCCCCCTTGACCGCGGTGCGTGATGCCGGTGACGCCGTGTCTCTCCTCCAAAGTCTGGCCGCTGGCACGTTCGACAGCAGCGCACTGGTGCTCACCGCATGCGGCGCCTTTGCTGATGTGGAGAGCGCGGCACTCGAGGTCCGGGCGGCAGTTCATCGGCCTCAGGTAAACCCGCAGTTGCACGAAAGTTAGAAGACTTCGAGCATCTGCAGAATCGGGCCTAAGATCGGGGTTTCTTTGCAGATAGGAAATACTCGACGAAACGCCTTTTGGCTTAGCTGCTCCCTTACTGCCCGCTTTAAAAGGTCCTTCGCTCTGGATTCGTGGCTCCTTCGTTCTGGACTTCTGTCTTGGGCTTCCGTCCTGCTTACTCCCTCCCTCTCTCCCTCCTTTCTGCAAGATTGTACTGGACTTGCACGGAAACGTCCTTCCGCCCTTTTCCGTTTCCGTTCAGGTCACAGAAGAGGCGGAACGGCGCCAAGCAGAGCGCGAGGCGGCAATGCGCTCGCCGTCCCCCCCTCCCGCCGAGCTTCGGTCCGGGGGGGAGCCCAGCACGAGCAGCAAGGCGGAGACCACCCCCCGGGGCCTCGCTCGCGGGGTCAGCAAGCTGTGGCGCACCAAAACGGACGCTTCCGGGGGGGAGTCTAGCCCGGGATTTCGGCCACCCGGCACGCCCGAGCATGCGGCGGCGCAGACTGAGGAGCAGGGGAGCGAGGTTGACGATTTACGGGCGCAGGTACGAGGGGCGAGCTTCGTCAAGGGAGCTAGCTTTGAGAGTACTTTTGCTGAATCTGAGAACGGCGTCAGATAGGTGTAGATTATCTATTTTCAACTTCCCGGTTTGGACTTCCTGCTTTCATGAGTTTCATCAAGGCTGGCAGCTCGCCTGCAGAGCAACTGGTCGTTGTCCAACGGAGCTGACAAAAAGTTTCTCAAACCCTTTTTCAAAGCTCGTAACGAATGTGAAGTTGGCAGTCTGCGTACATGCATCAGCAATTTGCAAAGGCCTCATAACAGATTAGAAGGTTGAGGACCGCATAAGAAGAGGGCAGCTGCTCGATTTAACGTTTTTACGTTCGTCCTGACACCCATGTCTCCTCCTCCGCAAGTGTGTGTCTTTCGACTACCTGAGATTGACGATTGCGTAAACCGCTTTGCGGTGCAGATTGCATGGCTCAAGAAAGAGCTGGTTGCGGCGCTGGAGAAGGAGAGCGCGGCGAGCATACGCGCAGACGAACTAGAGGCGGCGCTCGTGCAGGTTGCGGACAAGCGGCACCTGGACGAGACCAAGCGCAGCCTGCAGGCCCAGGTGCGACAAACGATTTTCGGCAGGACACTCTTTTTTCGCAGTACCTGCCATTTGACTTTCCCAGACTTAACACTTCCGCACTCTTATGGAGCGTTCGGCGAATGTGGTGTTATGTCGTTAGGCTGGGTGCGCTTATCGCCAAAAAAAATCCCCACGACGATCCTTTCAAGTCCAATGCTAGCGTTGCTACTTTGCTATCCTTCCAGCTTTTGAAGGAATACTCAGGACAAATTTGACAACGCAATGTCGAAGAGTGATACCGTTAGAAAGCAGAATGCAATGGTTTGCTCGAGATACTGTTGTGAGAAGGTTAAGTCGGTGGAGAGCGTCAACATAAGTGGTCGTCAATCAATTGACTGCTGACATTTGGTGACGTTTCATACAGGTTGAGGAGCTGACAGCGGCTGGAGAGAGGCTCCAGGCCGAACTAGACGCGGCGCGTGCTTCGCTGCGTGAGAGGGAGGCGCAGGCTCATCAAATGACAGAGGTGAGGCCCTTTCGGGTCATATCGGAACCGAGTACTACGTTTCCTGTTCAGACGCGGACTTGCATACCAAGTTTTCTTGCTTGAGTAGGAACTCCATTAACTACATAGCTTTTATTTGAGAACGAGTTTAGCTTGATGTTTCAACTCGAGTGTCGAGGCCCGTCGCTTTGCTGATCCCTGGCTGCCGTCCGCAGGTGTTGGCCAAGATCGATCAGGAGCACAGGGAGACGGAGGAGGCGCGTGTGCACGCTGAGGCAGACGTTGTGCGTTACCGGCATACGCAGGCGGCACTCGAGGTGAGGATGACTGCCATGTGTCCATACAGCTTCACTGCACCGTAGTGTTCAGTCACTGCCACGTGTTCAATTGTCCATTCATCTGACGTGGAGACCAGGGGTGTCGGCCTACGTTGTCGATCTCTGGATCAGCCGGAGTTTAGGAACAGAAAGCGTGAATACGTCAACTGTGCTTACGATAACGTGGAGCATTTGAACGTGTATGGGGAGCGGATGATCACGCGCAAGGTTGGTGTCTCAACAGCGTAAATGAATTCAAGAAGCTCGTGATGTTTCCTCTGGCGAATCATTGTCATAACCGACTAGTGCATCTCCTTTCGGAACACTTTGTAAGCCACATAGATTCTACGTCGGTCCTGTCCATCGAACACGTCGTTTGCAACTCCGGTTTCTTTGCCACGCCCCCTTCTTCGGCGCTTTTTTCCACCGACCCACTTCTCTTTTCCAGGCCCAGGTGGGCATCCTGCAAGCGAACCTCGCAGCCGTGGAGGAGCGCGCCCGGCAAGCGGAGAACATGCTGGAAGCCATCAGCCGTTCCGCACTCGAAGCGGGGGCCTCCCGTTCGGGGCACGCGAGCCCCCTCCCCGCGGGGAGCCCTGCCACAGGCTCCCCGGCGCAACCCCCCGCGACGGCGGAATCTTTTGGCAAGAAGGCGCTGTTTGGGCTGACCATGAAGTGGCGCGGAGCAGCGGAGAAAAAGGTGGGGGCCGTTGATTGCTTTCTTCTGGGATGGTGCTGTGTGCGGAGAAGGCCGACGGTATCTGGAACGGAGGTCTTCGTGGGAAGGAAGACTTACGGCAGGCGGTTTGAGAGCTTTGTCGGGCTGCCCTTGATTGCTGTTTGACGTGTCAACCACTTTGGATTTATGACATGGCTGTGTTGCCTCGCTTTTCATAATCGGTCATGCGTGCAGTTCTCGGCTGTGTTCCTGCTTCTGGATTGTTCTTCCAGACGAAAAAGGGCAGTGCATCGGAAGTCATCTAGATCTAATCTCAAGCAGCAGATTTATGCGTAGCTGGTTAGTCTCCACTTTTTGCTCTTTGGTGCAACCAGTCGGCATGATGAATGATGGACTTTGATGTTGCCTGCAGGGTCCCGTGCAAGCGAAGGAGGTAAGCAGTCAGAATGGAAGCGAGTCGACTGCAGAATCCGCAAAAGAGTCGAGTAAAATCTCTGACGACCTGCAACAAGACCCGGACGAAAAGGAGGGGAGCTTGGAAGCAGTGCCCCTCTGACTAAGGATATTATTGTTTACGCTAACCGGTTTCACTGAGCCGACGGCATCGATCAGCCTGATTGATTCACGTTATCTTTATAGAAGCCATGAAGGGGCTAGCGACTAATCGCACGATGCCCCTGTTCACTTAACGGCTGCCTGCAGTCCGTTAGCTAAGAACTTCGGAATACGAGCCAACCTACAGGGCCCGCCATTTCGTGGTCAGCGAGTGAATGTTTTTCGAGCGCCCATGGCCGCATATGCAAGCCGTCCTAGCTCCCCAACATTTTCAGAGAGCACGGCTCCTCGAATTTGAGAACTTCTCTCGACTGGCACCATGCGCATCGCGTTGAACTGCGTCAGTGACATGGCCGGGACGTACTGCATCCAATAGCTTCCTTACTTAGCTTGTGCAAGCTAGACAGCTAGTACAGTCACCATATGCGCCTGATACTTGAGTCTAGAAGTGTGATCAATGCGTGGCGGCATTCTGAACCATGATTGCAGAGTTGTAGACGCTCATTAAGTGGCTGGCATAATGGCAGGTCACATGACATCTTATATCTCATCTTTGGGCAAGCAAACAACTTGTACGGTACGTCACTATATTGAATGACCGTCATCATGTATGGGACAGCGCGGCCAGTTGGTAACTAACTTCAAATTAGTATATCTACAAGAGTACATATGACCACCTTGGAAATTCCTCAAGCCGTTTTCTGGCAAGTCTCCTTGTGGCCTGCCTTCCAAGCCCTCCGCTGGCAATCTGCACAACAGTGAGGAGCAACATTACGGTGTCATTCTCTTCAGCTTCTAGACAATATGATCGGCGGTTGTTGTTGCGAGGTGTAGCATTCAAAAGGGACGGCACTACGCGTGCTGATCGCGGAATCAGAACAGATCAATCCTGATTCCTTAGTATAGCACGGAGAGCTTTCTTTGGACGAGGTTATTTTCCAAAAGCAAGATCGCAATTCCAACAATCTCGGTCCCCGGGTTGAGCTGCTTCCGCTCCGATTAATCCAGGAATTTAACTTCATTGAATACTTAAGCACAGCTTAGACAGATACCCCCGAAGAATCCCTTGACCAATTTCGATCGCGTAACGACAGGAGAAGTGTCGGAGTGCCAGGACGGGCGGTCGCAAACCGTTCCTCCTTGCAAGCCCGCTGAATACTTTGACGAGAGTCTACTAAGAACCTTCGAAATAGCGCTTGATATCATGTAAAGTTCACAGATTTACAAGAGCTGACAAGAGCGTCTCGCCTTTTGTAGGGGGTTCACAAGGATTCATGATATTTTCGTAAAGAAGGACACAGCCGCCAGTCTAATTTTCTTACCTTTCCCGCAATAGACCGCGAGCCTGCAACCCCCGCACATCTGGAACTCCCCCGGTCTAGTTTCCGCCTCGTCGCACCCCGGCCCGGAGCACCGTGTCGCCTTCTTTCTTTCTGCCGGCTGGATCCCCATCATCTCCGCCTTTTGCGCTCCCTCCACCCCCCGCGCCCCATCCGACGCTTTCGGACGTACGAAGCGCACGCGGAAATTGTCCCCGTCCGTATCTGGTTCCTGCGCGAGGAGCGTCCGCAGGACCCGCGCGCGCGCCCACGCGGAGGGATCTGCATTCGCCAGCCGTTTCGCGTCTTCGTGGATGGAGACGCCGGGCGGGGGACACGTGTCCTTCGCACGCGCAGCCGGCGTGCCGTACTCGAGGGCTGTCGCCAGCAGAACCATGAGAGAGTGGTCCTCCTCCTCTAGTTGTTCTTCGCAAGAGGACCAGAGCAAGAGCCGCGCATCTGAGAGCGGGGTTTCTAGCCAGGGGTTTGGAAACGCATCCCTCGATGCTCAGACGGGTCCGTTCGACGCCGTGAAGCATGGTGACCGTGAAAGTGCTGAGCATCGGATCGCTCGACTCGGAGAGGATCTTGCCCGCGAAGCGAAAAAGGTTGTCTTCCAGAGCCGGATCGCTCAAGAACTTTCTCAGCGACAGAAGCATCAAGACTGACCCACGGACCGTAACAAGGTCCTGGAAATGGCGGAGCGCGTGGCGCATGACCGCGTTCAGAAAGTCCGCGCTCCTGCCGGTCTCCTCGCGCGCGGAATCGACCATGAAGAACCTGGGGAGCGTCTGGAGGATCGCGCGCGTCACTCTGACGTCAGGTGGAGAAGCAGACCTCTCTGCTAGCTTCAGCTCGTTGAGAAACAGCGCCCTGAGGACAGCTGGCAGGGTGGGGTCCTCTTGCAGGATGTATTTCACGGTGCGGGAATCCAACGCAAGGCACTCAAGTGCTTTGATGCACACCTCAGACTGAGACAGGATTGTGAAGCCCTGCATCAAGATCCTCCACGGTGCAGCGACGCAATCCTTCAGCCCCTCTGCGATTGGTTTCAGAAGCCCTTTCTCCAACAGTTCGGCGGCCACGTGCATGGTGCTCTCCTCGGGATCAGGCCCACTGAACTTTCGGAAGATGCTCGTGAAGCGCTGAAATGCCAACAGCCTTGTGTTTGCATCCTTCGACTGAGAGTCTCGGAGGATCTGCCGCAATGCTTGCTGAGTCTGTGCGCGGAGCAACTCAGGCTGGTTTCTTGACGTGCTCTTTGGCCCGTCCATTTCAACACCAGAGGCCTGACCTGCTGAGAACAAGAATTTTTCCAAGGGCGTCTTGACAGAAAGCGTGCAACCCTTTGCTTGATAAAGGACTTCTAAACCCGCTCCCTCACTTTACGTCCTGCTGAATCAGTTGTTGCGAAGCACCTATTCCAATGCTTGCTGCTGGTCCGTCAAACGCAACAGAGACGATGATTGAATACTCAGCAATCCGCATGTTGAAAACTACCGCCAAGCGCGCTGCCGCTTTTGACAAGGCCTCCGTTTCCTGCTGAGAAGAAGCTGCCTTTGCGGTATACAGTTGCTCCGAACCGTCACATCGGACCCATCTCGTTTAGTGGAGTTTGGGTCACATCAAGCTTCGGTAGCTTTAGAACGGCCTCTCGGAAATGTACGTCTCAAAAAGCGGCGGTCTCGTCATGATCTTAGCTCCCAGATGCTTGGGCCGCAAGTGCAGTTTTCCGTATTATCCTAGATGCTGTGACGAGGTTCTGAGATCATCACATCATGCATCGTCAATGCAGAGTTGCCACTGACACAACGAGCCAAGTCTGTATGATCTAGTGTCCTGCCAACGTCGGTCTGGATTGCATCGTAGCTACTACTGTAGTACTGTAGGATTCACCGAATACGGGGGGAACTCACACCCGCATCGTTTACTCGATGGAGTCGAAGCCCCATATGCCGGGCGATGAGCCTAGTAGGAGGCCACTTTGGCGCGGCCCGCGCGAGGCCCGCGCGCGCGCAATAAGGTACTACGCGCGGACCATCTCCATACGCACAGGCCGATCCGGAAACAACGCTTTCCGTGGCCGCCGGGACACCTTCTGACGTAGCATGCGCCAGCTATTTGTACCTGCTTCACATGGATGGGTCCCGTGCAGCATGTGCTTGCGAGATGGATAATGAGGCAAAGCGTGTGTTTGGGTTTAGAGTCGGTGTAGTGATACGCTATTTCCAACGCCAGCCAGATCGAGGATCATAAGACAACATAGTCGCTGTCATGCACTGCTGTCTATCAGAGATCGACCTCCAAGGGATGCACTCTACGCCTGTCTTAAGGCATAATCTTGACGTGTGGAGTAGATCTGCTGCAGATTCGACTCGGTCCAACCAGAACGCTTGATGCCAGGCCGAATGTGCGGTGCCTGACCACTGATCGATGCACCGAGTGCGCTTTAGAAATCCAGCCTGCTCGTATCTAAATGTATCAACTCATCACACGAAACAATTCCCCAACGCACGATCCGAAAGAGATAACCTTTTAAACATCTGCTCTCATGGCCTGGTACATTGACGTGTACCGCTAAGTTTTTTATCTTTGCAGAGGCGCGTGTTGATCTATTTAACTCTTGCATGTTGTCCTGGCTTAACTTTATGAATGATGGTGCACGGCCATCGACCGCATCCGACATAGGTTTGATTGATCGGACAGCTTGGCATGCCGCGAGCTGATGCTGCGACGGAGAATGATACATGCCATGTGACGGTGCTTTCCGCATGTCTTGCCGCGGGCGTGCGTTTGATCGAGTCACACTTCATTATTTAATCAAAGGCATGGTATCTTTGATTCCGGCCTGTAGCGCAACCATGAAATCTGCATGATGTGACGAAGTGAAGTTGACTCTTATTCGGCAGTACGCTTCAGCTGCTGCCGTACCTCGTTCAATGAAGTAAATGATGTCTTTTTGTCTTATGATACACGAACAAATAAAGGTTGACCGTCAACTACTGTGTATTTCTACCAGACCGTAGCAAGACGCTACGAGCTAGGTGATTGTCAAAGGCGAACAAGAGCAACTACTTTGACTATCGTAGGAGCCTGGCTGTGAAGAATCCTTATTCGTGAGTCCAGTTTTGTTGGGAAGTCTAGGCGGTCTACTTGGCTCCCATCAATCAGTAGTAAGCGCTCCAACTCCAACGTAAGATGCACCTTGTATGAGCGCGAACTTCAATGCTTTAAATGGCAACTCTTACAACCCAGGGTTACACAAAGTAGTGTATGCTGATGACTGAAACAAGCTGTTTCGTTGTGCCAATGGTGCCTCTCAAATACAATTAAATTTATCAGGCCCGCTGCACTTCCCAACCAAGCCAGACCCACTCGCCGAGCTCCCCAGATTCCGTTCCACAAAATCCAAAATCTCCATGATCCCCTCTGACGCCAGCGTGACGTCCTCTCTCAAGTAGATATCCCCACCCGCAGACCAACCCCGCTCCCAAACCTCCTTCGGGTTAGTGACAACCGGATCGTCGGGCGCGTACTTCTTCAACAGCCCAGTCTCCTCAACGGTTACCTTGTAACCCAGATAATGTAACCCGTTTTTCCGCGCCGGCTCCCCGAATGCGCTGTCGCTCGCCCAGTCGACAGCGAACGGGACCAGCTGAACCAACACCGTCCCGGGGCGCATGAACACCATGTGCGTCAGCCCCGCCCCGTGCACGCCGATGATGACGTCAGCCCACTGGAAGGCGCGCACCGTCTCCCGGAGGCTCTGGAAAACTTCGTCACCGATAACCTGCACCGTCATCCCCCGCGCAATCGCGCTCGTTTCGACCTCCGCCTGGTTAACGATAACCCGCGAGCCGGGCCGCCGGTCAACTATCCCGACTCTGATGGGCTGGGGAGTTCCGCCCGGAATCCGTTCAGTGGGGACCGGAAGCTGGTAGGCTTCTGTGAAGAGCCGCGCCAGGTCGAAGATGTCCGACCGGTCGCTCATCCGTTCCGGGTCCACGTGGAGGTTGCCGTGGTAACGCAAACCCAGGGTGACGTCAGCGAAGCAGAGGATGCCGTCATCCTGTCCGATTCGCAAGATGGGATAGTTGCTCAGGCCTGCAAGTGGCAAACTTATTTAGTCAGAGACACGTAACGGACCAGATACTGAAGAAGGTACGACTTGAGGACGGAGTTCGAAGCTTGAAGTCCGACTTTTCAAAGATTGCGGGTGCTCGTTGTGTGACAACGTAATGACTAAGAAGAGGTGGAGTGCCTTAACTTCGACGAGACGCACCTAGAGTCAAGTCGCACCGGTCTGGTGGCAGAGAGAATCTAAGATTAAATGGTGACGGCGAAGAGCCGTAGCGTCAATGAAGCTTGGTCTTGATAGCAATTCACTGGACGATAGCTATGATGATAAGGACTGCCCGTCTACCCCACCCCAGATCTTGCAGTCACAAACAGAATCGAGGGGCAAGCTCGAGCTGGGCGCCAAAGAGTAGAGCAAATGGATAACCCAAGATTGGTAATTACACCGCCCTTCTCTCCAATGTCCTCGGCGTCGCTCAAAGGGGTTGCTTAACAATGAAAGAACGAAGCGACGCCAGAATTTGAAGCACCGTCGGGAGGCAGGAAACAAGCTTCTGTCGTATGTCACTAAATTCAGTTGCACCAGTCAGCAAGGGACGTCTTTCGGCACGTGCCGTCAACGAGATGCCATTAACCTTGGTCATCAATTTGCCCAATAAGAAGCTGGAAAAGAACCCAACAGGAACCCCGCTCAGTCGGGAAAAACTCTAGTAGACTCGTCGCCAGCTGTCGGAATAGATCGAAGATCGAGATGAAATGCTTCTTGCTGTCTTAGTACGCAAGGGGTCGGTCCAATCTGCTCTCTGCTCACCTTGCAAGTACGCCTTGAACTTGGCGACCCACCAGTCGTGCGAGTCGCTTATCATAAGCACGACCTCCCCGCCATAATGCCGCGCGGTTATGAACAGCGGCACGACGCCCTCAATGAACGTGTGGAAGTTGTTGCCGTTGTATCCCCCGGTCGAGAAGACGAGCCCCGGGACGTTGAACCGCTGTGTGCACTGCGCCATTTCTGCCCGGTTGGCGGGAACCGAGGTGCTTTCCAGTCGGATGGGGGAGACGCGGGACTCGAGCATGACGGGCTCGGTTTTGAGGGGGTGGGGCCTGCACGAGATCGAGGAAGGCGTCATTTGTCGAAGCGCACTAGTGAAGACTTGAGTTCTGGGGGAATTGGTCAATGGACGGACAAATTGCATCTTGATCATTGCCTCGGCGACCAACGTGGCCAACTGCGAAGTCTTTGGTCGCCGAGGGGTTGCAATTCACAGGAAATCCTCTTTTGGATGCAGCTGAACAAGGAGCGACTGTCGAGGAAGAATGAGGGAGGGCCGGCTGACAAAAACGACCTCAAGCTCTCAAAGGAAGTGAAGGAGATCGAGGAAAGACTCGTCTTCTTTATGCACTCGAAGAAAGTTGGTAGTTCGTTTTCGTAGTAAAATCGGAGACTGAATCTTATCGCTGCAAAACAGATCCACTCAATCCCAGTTTATTGACGCTGCCATCAAGTCTTCTTTTCCAGTATTGGAGGATATGCAGTTGTTCTTTCAAGAGAAGGATCAAAGCTGTGCAGCTTCTCTTTGGCACAAGCATCGGAACCAATGTCGGCTCAAACAGATTCTCAATTTCAGTGAAACAAATGCATCTGGCAATACCCGATGCTAAACTGACTGACATCTGTTCTGCATCCTCGAAGTCCCCGTCTAAAGTGGTAAAAAGCTGTTGTGAATGTTAGGAATACCTAGATACAGTGTGCTCAAAAGAGGGGGTCTACCTGGCAATCTTGACCCCCCTGGCTGTCGCGGGCTGGCGGGCATACATCACCGCCGCAGCGTTCGTCACGTCAAAGCGCACGTCCCCAATCATGCGCCAGATGTCCTCTTTCACTTGGCTCTCGTCCACCGCGAACACCTCAGCGAAAACGAGGCCCTGTTTCGGCAGGTGTGGACTGTTTCCGAGTGCGCCGGCTGTCGCCTCCGTCTCTGACAGGGCCTCTGAGGTGGAAGCTCTGGAGGGTTCGGTCTCGGAGGGGGTGTCTGCTTCTGTAAAGTCGTTCGCCGAGGCGTTGAAGTCAGCGATCTTCTGATCCAGTTCCTGCCGCCGCGTCTCGATTTCTGCTCTCGTCTGTTGCAGCTCGTGCGCCCGTCGCTTCACTTCGTCCTCCAACTGCACGACAGGTGTCGGTTTGAGCTTAGCAGGTAGATGTAAGTTGCATAAGTTGCATTTTGAGCTGTCTTCTGTTGCCCCTGGCAGAGTCCCAGGTAGTTGGCGGGGCCCCTTCGTGTCAAGGCAGATCCTCTTTCATGACATCAAGCTTGAACTCTGAGGAACCTATTTCAAAGTCAGAGGTCTAGAAGTGGACACTCTTAGGCAACAAGGTGACCAGACAGCGGTCCTTCTCAGTCAATAAGGAACAAATTTTCTGAAACTCAGTCATCTCCGTTTCATTCAAGCATAGCTGATGAGGGCCCATCGCATCCTCATCCTTTCACTGCAATTCACAATCAGTCTTCTCTGATTTGAAGCTCAGAGAGGGCTGGAAGGAGAGTTTATGAACAACTGGCAAAGTGTTCGTATGATCGGAATAACCTTTTATTTGACTGTTGCTGGCGGTATATCTGCGCTTACTCAAAACAAACCCCCCTGCTGATCATCAAACTTCCTCATACCAGCCCTTTCTCACCACACTATCATCGCTCAGCACACGCACTCAGCTCAGCCTCTTACCTCCTTTGCTGCCGCAGACTTCTCCTTCTCCTTCTCGTACGCCCCCTGGAATGCAGACGCCCGTACTGACGCCTCTCGCGACTCCCGTTCCAGTCGCTCCTTCTGCGCCTCCAGCCCCACGATCACCTTGAGAAGCTGCTTCTTCTCTTCGCTGAACACGCCTCGGTGCGCATCACTTCTGTTTCCTGCTCTGATGCGCATCATGTCGAGCTCAGCGCTCAACCGGCCATGGGTACTGAAGAGGGTGCCCTCGCGGAGAGCGCCGAGTGCCAGCATGCCAGAACCTGTGCATGGAAAAAGGAAGAAAGTTGCCTTCTCTAGTTTGTGTTCACAAGTGAGGGCTATTTAATGCATGTTTTTTTCCGAGAAGATTCTTCTCGTAGCCTCCTGCTTTTGACTCTCTTGCTGAATCAATGTCCTGTTTCGGTCGTCCATGCTGAATGACATTTTAGAATGTGAGCTTCCTACTAATAACTGCATTGGCTGAGGACTATCTTCCTGGGGATCAAATCACAGCCGCTTCCACTAGGAGAGTGCATCAAGCAGGTAAAGGCTGATTAGTGCAGAAAAGCAAAGCACGCTCAGCTGATAGAATGTCAAGGAAGACAGACACAAGTACCGCAATCATAGTTTATACTACCTACGATAATAAATGCCCCTACCCTATGGGATGACCTCCTGGCTGATCCAAGAACTATGCTTGTGTCAATGTACTGTATTAGTGTTTCTTCTGCTTCTGCAGCATTGCTCGCCAAGGCAAGTATAGTAGCTATGCTGGGCGTATTTGTGACTGTTGGCATAGCAGGTAAACAAGTACCTGTTTAATGCTGACGACAAAGAAAGGCGTTGAGCTTCTACTCTAAATAGTAGCGCAAGCCCTTTGTTTGGTCTGATGGCAGGTAACTCCAGATAACTTCTTCAAGCTTGCTTAGAACGTCTTTCAGTAGGAACTACTGATGCGGCATTCATCTTTTCACACCTGGATGTGTCCAATCTATCTCAAGAACTCCACCATATTGCAGTCCTCGCGCATTTGTTATCTTGTCTCTTGAATGGAGAAAAGCACTGCTTACTCATGCCAAGTGCCGCCTTCGTAATCTCCCAGCTCAGCAGCCCCAGAATAATCAGCAACAGCTTGGCATGCCACCCCCCCGGCCAATGAAGCCCCTCCAGCTTCTCCGAAACCTTCTCCTTGATCGAGCTTCCCATCTTGCTCACGGTTTGCTGCGCATTCCAGCCATCAAAGTCAAACCTCAGTCTCTTCCGAGGGCTTTCTACACCTTCAGGATCCTCAGGACCAGTTGCTCTCTTGCTGTGAAGTGGCAGCTTGAGAGGACTGCGCCTGTGCTCCATAGGATCAGTGTTGATGGTCAGCGCTGGCAAGCGCCCGGATGACGGCACGCGCTGCATTCAAGCTCGACAAGGATAAGCAAAGGCCCTTGCTCTTGGTACAGTTTTCCGCCTCTCGCACATTTAGGTTTCCTTCTCTTTGAAGATACCTCCAACCTTGAGCAGCGTTCAGAAGCCAAGCTTTGCAGAGTGCATCCTTCGGGTCCGCCCCTTCAAGAAGCCTGGGCCCAAAACAGAGATGATGATGATGGACACTTTGCTTGCAAGTTGCACCAGATTCCAGAGCAGCAGAGGCTAGACTCTAGCCAGAGCTGTGCGACACTCTGTGTGACACTGTCTCTGGTTCTCCTCTCAAGTCTTGTCGACAATTTTGAAGTTCGAAAAACGGTCCGATGCCTCTGCGGTACCGGACGAAATCGGAGCGCGATGGCGTGGAGAACGGTGACTTTGAGGAGTGTCATGTCGAGGAAAGTACCATTGCATCTTGCTCGGTGGGGTGGTCATTGAACCAAGACTGACCCCCCTTTTGAGCTTGAACAGACTTTGCTCCTCACAACCCGGGCGCCGCGAGGAGCAAGGGCTCAGGCGTACAGTGTAGGCCCCGGTCGGCGGTAGGGCCTCGCCGCTCGACCGGTTCAGCACCCGTGTGCCGGGAGTGGTGTTGCAGATGCCGTAAAGAAAGAACCGTCTATACCGGTAATCCAGAACCTAGGCCATTGGTATTCGATCTGTAGCCCCAGGCACGGACGGGTTCCGGCCTATAGAACCGTCAGCTTAATCACTGCCTTTGCTTGCGTCCGGGGGATCGCACCGACTCACAAGAACCTCATCGTTCCTCGACCTCATGCATGAGGCTTCCAAGTTCCAGGACAATCTTTCAAGAGAGGTTCAAGGGCGAGCTTTTCAGCAGATCTTTGAAGTTTGCTTCGATTTGCGCTCTATTGCGTCCCATCCCAGCTCAGGACATGGCCGCTCTTGCCTGCCACGCCACCACCTCCGTTGCATTGAGCCGGCCCTTGTTCCAAAGTGCGCGATCGTCATCAAGTGCTGCAGCTGCCATTAGCCACATTGGCTTCTGTCCAGCTTCTTCGTTCGTTCCTCTGACAAACTTTCCGGGTGTACGTACGCAGCAGAAAGCAGTGCTGGAGTTGAGAAAGATGTCGACAGCGCCCCAAGGTGGGAGACGATTGCTGCGGTTCTTGTGGTTGTCTTCAGAATTGCTGCATATGCTTGGAAATTCTTATCAGAACGGAGATGCATTTGGTTGGCATAGGTTGACCACCCTTCTCAAAAGGCGCAGTGAAGCAGTCAAGGTTACAGGCGTACTCATCGCGTCTGACATTGCCACACTAGAACCAATCTGCTGAAACACATCAGATGCGCATCCTTGTATTTTAGTCTGGTGGCCTTAAGTCAAATTATCAAGGGCAATTTGGCGCCAGCGCGTGGTGCACTTTGAGGGTTTGCTGGGTGCCTTATACCAGATGCGTTTGAACGTCAAGATGCCACAAAGATTGCTCTCCTTTCTGAAATGCAAGTTTGCCAAGCAGCGGGGAAAGGGCATCGATACAGACAGCATTGATGTTCACCATGTGCCGATCACCTTGAAACACCCACCACTCGTCAGAAACTCATGAAGTAACTCACTGTTCTGCTTCTTTGAATGTGTGCACAACCACCAGCTTTGAGGACTTCTGATGACATGGCTACTTGAGAAGCGCAGCTCACAGGATAAGTTCAGCGGACAAACAAGAAGAAAACTTTCTTTATTTTGGTCCTGACAGCTGCCCTCAAGGAGGTGGTGAAGACAGACAAGGCTCCTGCCGCGCTTGGACCCTACTCTCAAGCAATCAAAGCTGGCAACACGCTCTACTTGTCAGGGATCCTTGGCCTCATTCCTGAGGTGCGTTCGTATATCCATGGTTTCAAGTATCCTCCTGGAACACAGGACCCTTCTGTACTTTCTCTAGATGAGCAGAGTCAGACCATGATGACAACATCTCTAATGCTGAAGCAGCACAGTAAATTGATGATTTGTGAGTGCTTGACTCGCAAGCGGGCTCTCTGAACTTCTTTCTAGAAGCTGCTTCAAAGCCGGCTGTCAATTTTCAATTGGTCCTGCTCTCTCACATGCCGAGTAGAACTGTTGTGTGGGAAAGCAAGTGCACTTGAGTTCACCTGGTAATCCCAGCCTTTGCAACCAGATGTGCATGGTGCAAATAAGGCAACTGTCTGTCAACAGATCGGATTGTGACTCAGGCTCTGGGTCTCATCTTGTTTGGGTCTCATCTTGTTTTACAGAAAGACAACTACAAGAAGACAGCATGAAGCCAGAAGTCAAACGATGCGGATTTGTTGCATCGTCTGCTTTTTGCAAAGTCTTGCCGCACCTGACATGATTCAAATCTGCTTGCAGACAGGGAAGTTTGCCGGCGAGACAATTGCCGAGCAAGCCGAGCAGGTGAGTGGGGCGGAAATTGTGAGATTTATGGTCAAGCGAGCACAGTTAGCCACTTGACTTGTGGGCTCTACTCTTGGCTCCACTTTCGCTAGAGCTGCTCGCTTGAACCAAGAAAAGCCCTGGGCTTTTCTTATTGAAGCGGGACTAGTGCATACGCCACAGCTAGAAGAAGGTAGTCAATTTCGCGTGGACACAGATCTGCGGAGCCCACTTTCTACGCAGGGACATCAGTGTCTTCTATTTAGACAACTGAATGCTCTCAGGGTCAGAATTTTAGTTAAACGTAACGGTTCCCTTGCTGCGAACTGTGTGCCACATGGCAGCGAGATGACGGCCGATTCCATCCGCATCAGAAGCGGTCATCTTCCTTTCTCGAACTTGGACCAACCAGTAGGGAGGATGCCAACTGTATGGAAAAGACGTAATGAAGGTCTGAACGTCGTTTGGGATCAACACAACCGACTAGATTGAGCAGAGTAAGCTGCAAAGTCACCTGCTAGATTGAGGTCTAACTTGTCCATAACTCTGTCCCCAGGTTATGAAGAACATGGGGGAGATTTTGAAGGCTGGCGGCTGCGACTACAGCAACGTGGTGAAAACGACGATCCTGTGAGTGGGCGTACGAATTCTGGCCCAGCCACTGCTTTGAACATCAAATTCGTTCCAAGTATTTTATAGTTCAAGGCGTGCAGACTTTGACAGCAAAGGTTGATATCTATTCAGCTGCCGCCCTCGTGAAATTCTGCATGTATCACAGACGGCTTGCAGAGTACGCTGCCTCTGCTTGTCTCTATCTTGGGGGCGTTCTTGAGTTGGAGTCCACACGCTAAAAGCTTGGACGAACAGAATGTTCGACCTCAATTCTAGGGCCTACGAAGGACTTTAAACTGTTGGCGACAAGTTTCACGTCTAAGGATGTCGATGAGGTGTTCGTTGCGTAGCCAGAGCGAATCACAAGCCGAGTCTCGTATCTAACTGAGCTGTCTTGTCATTGAGGTGGCTTTGCAGCAACTCGACCATGCCCTGTCATTGTAGGCAGATCTTAGCAGAGCACCTGGGTCGGCAAGCGAGATTGTGGGATCCAGGGCACTTGTGACTCGGGTGGCAATTTGAGGCCAGATGTTACACGCACTTCAGTATGCAGACTTAGAACGGCTTCTGATATCTCGTCCCTTGTTTCTCTATTGGTGCAGGCTGGCGGACTTGGCCGATTTCCAAACAGTGAATGGTATCTACGGCAAGCGTAAGACTCAATCCTTTTCCTCACGCGAGATATTCCTGATGCCAACGTCGCCTGATAATGGCGCGCACTCTCTTGCATCTGATAGCTTCGTATCTCTTTTCTTTGAAAGTTGAACATCGTGAGTTTTTCTTTAGTATTTTTGGTTTCTGTCACATGTTTCATGATGGAGCAGTTTGACATGTCCATCACTTCAAACTTCTTGCAGACTTCCCTGAGAACCCTCCCGCTCGCTCCACCTTTCAAGTAGCACGGCTGCCACTAGATGCTAGACTAGAAGTAGAAGCGATAGCAATTGTTCAATAGTTCGTTTCAATTGCTATGGGATAGCGATTTCGCAGACGTGGAACATGTTGCATTGGCGCTAGCGGCTCACTGATTTTGGATCCTGCTGATGCTTCAGAGAGGCTTTTTGCAAACCACCACTAGTTATGTGCCATTCCTGGGGGTCAATATAACCGAGTGGTTCAAAAGAGCCATAGTTTTAATTGTCGGAAAGTTTTTCAGGTTTACTTGCGATAGGCACTTTTGGCGGGCAGGCGGCCGCTTGTACATAGCCGTTTAAGCATAATGATGTCAATGAAAAGTGCGATGTGGTGTGTTGAAGATTTTATAATATCGATTCACTCGCTCCGATAGAATCATGTTGAAGCTAGCTAGCCGAGGGAGAGAAGGCAACTAGCCAGCAGCATGACGCACCGTCGCGGCCCTAGCTCAGTTTTTGGCCCCGCCCTCGTGCCGCCGCGGCATGCTCATATGTGAAAGCTAGAGATCATGCGTGGAGGATCAAGTTTATTTAGAATATAGTTTGGCACATGTGTACATGTGTCGTGCTTATTCTTCATGTGTGTTTTCTGCCGGTCGCTGCTCTCGCGCGTCTCGGGAGGAGAGGGTATTTATGCGGGGCGGCAGAGCCCCCCTCTAAATCATTTCAAGAATTATTTCCTTTGAGCTTGCCGGGCATCAACGAGTCTTGACTCTCACCGGGAAGTGAGGGAGGCGGGGGGGGGTCGGGGGCGCACGGTCCCCCCCGGTTTGGGTCCGGCCGGACTCCGGTGTTCGCAGTGTAACAGTATCAATCAATTTCCCATGCGTGC